TTGGAGACTCAATATCGACTCACTGAGCCATCGTGTTGTCTCACTGTGACAATAAACTTGGGATGCACCATGTTAGCGGGTAACGAGTTCTAGAATTCTGATTCCTCGCTACCATCTGTATCCTGACGTGTCACGAATTTTACTGTAAGCACTGTATCACTGTGGTATCCGGAAAATGCGCGTCCACAAATATCGTCAATGAAGGAGCCCAATGGTCAATGTCGTCATTGAATCGTTTCATTGAATCGTTTTCGCGCGCTCGTCCACACGTGGCCACACGTATAAACCTGTGTTTCTGGTGCCAGAAAACGCCGACCGTTTGCGCCTAAAATATCTACGGCTAATAACGGTTATTGCAAAATAATCATTGCATGAGTAGTTGAGCTGATATTTAGTTAACCAAAACCAGGTCTCAATGAAAAACTTTTATTCGCACTAAATGCGCCGCTGGGCGCCGAGCACGATCGAGAGGACACATGGTCACTATGATGAATCTATACACCTTTACTTAGTGCCCAGTGAACTGGGACGAACTTTCAACGCAGGAGTTCACGGAGATAATGAACATACTATAGCCCAGTCAGTTCGTATCAAGGGGAGGCCTGGAATTTAATCTGTTTACGGCTTCCAGGAGCCTCAACCTCGTTCCCAGGTTTCTCTCCTACCCTTGGACGGGTGGGACAGGACCCTGGGAATGAGGTTGGGGGTGCCTTTCTCAGGTTTCAAGTATATGAACGGGTAGGAATTTCACCAGTTGAAGTATATGAAAGGGGAGGGAAATCTGTCATTTCAGTCTGCAAAAGGGCCCAAAGGGGCTAACAGATGCATTTTATGGTTGTGAAAAAAGTCGAAAAAACGTACCGGTGTTGTGGTTTATTGATATTTTGAAGGTGCGTTTACAGCAGTATAAAAAATGCAAAGTTCTACAATAGGTATGTTAAAGGGGTACCATTCGTATAGAAGATATACGAAAAGGGTACCTTTTCAGTTAAAAATGGTGTATAAAAGGGTAACGGGGTGGACCTCAAGGCGGAGCCTTCCCGTATAAAACTTTGTTGAGTATCCCCCCCCGAGACGCCATACGGTTTCACTTCTAAAGGACACGCATGAAAAACACAACAAAAAAACTCACAAGAGACTCCTCAAATGCAAACAATAATGCTATTTTTAATGATAAATAAATATCCCTGGAAAGCCTTTGTAAATGAACGATAATACGATTTAAAAATAAGCAGATTGAAAAGAACCTGCAGTCTAAATAAAATATAAAACATGGCTGAATACAAATATACCAAGGCGGAGAATAAGTGAATGAAACTAGGTCCACGCGAGAAGTAAGTTTAAGGTTATGTTGACGGCACTAAGCTATCCGGCATAGTGTGAACACCTTTCCGATATGGGCCCGGTTGCTTAAAACCTACACTTAAGTGCCCACTTAAGTAGGTCACTTACGAATCCGTTATGTGGGTACACTTAGGGCTGTTGCATGAAACGCACTTAGCACTCTCGTAAGTTTCTGTTTTACGTGGTAACTTACGGGCTCACTTAAAGGCACACGTAACTTTGATATCGCACTTTATTAATGACTCACTCTTTTTTTTAAGCTAACCATCGGTGAGTATAAAGAAAATTTTAATTCGTTTCGAACACTTTTAAGCCTCTCAAAAAAATGAAATTTGCATGCAATCGTTATTTTTCTTTAATGTCTACTGAAAATGATAATTCTTCTTCTTTTTTCACAACGTCGGCTTTAAAGTGTACATCAGAGGTTAACAAAGCGCATTAGAACGAATAATGGGGAAGAAAAATTACTTTCCACTTCTCAGTAAAAGATCTCGTTAACTTTAGTAAAAACAGTAACGATACGGGACCTACATAGGTCCCGTAAAATTAAGTGTTATTTTTCCCGTAAAAAAAAGTTTTATGCAACACCCGCAATTTCTGTTGCATAACCGACACTTAAGTGAACACTTACGAAAATCGTAAGTGCAACCACTTAAGTAAATTCCCTAAGTGGACCACTTAAGTGATTTAATGCAACTCACTTAAGTTACGAGTGCACGTACGTATACCCGTAGTTGTTACGGGCGTTTTATGCAACCGGGCCCTGCGCCGCACAGCGTCGTTCCGTTGCAGAAATTTCGCCGAAATCAACTTTCTTATGTGTGGAGAGACGTCCTATTCGGTCAGTCTGGTTTTCGTGCCGGAGACGGCAACAAGAAAGTAAAAAACACAGAAAGCTTTACTTGAAATAACAAAAGCTCTGCTGCATGCGCGTATCAAAGTTTTGGCACATTTCTTTGACGTCCATAGCACGTCTATGACGTGAAAATTCCGAATGGGATGTTTTCTGGAAAACTTGAACACAAAGACGAATTTTTCTTTTACCTATATTAAATGAGATGTAGTCCTTAAAAAATCAGGAAAATTCGCTCAAAAATGGACAAATCGAGCAAGGGTTATTGGCTGTAAAACAACACTATTTCATTTTTTTCCGGGACGCTTTCACTGTCGTCGTGGTCATGGCTGTTCTGTTGCTCTGTGCTAGTGTGGACAGCCCGGCGCAAACGAGTAACAATTTGGTATGCCTTTGCAACTTTAAACAAACTCCGGCATGGACACAGCAAATTCGTTTGGCTCCGCTCCAGTGTTCTCTTAGGTAAGCACAGAACTAACATCGAAAAAGGGAAGACATTTAGCTGGCGGCGAGATCATCCCTAGCAAAAAGTACATCACTTGAAGCTGCGATCCAAGTACAATTTATGCATCATATGTGGCGCACGATATTCAACGGAAATGAAAATACTGTGCAGGTTTGTTCAAACTGAAGATGCCTGTAACAGTACTCGCATTCATTTTGAAACTAATGTCGAAGGCCAAACGTAGCAAAATCTGAAGCACCTCTTTTACTACTTCACAGAGAAACCCTTCCAAACCGACCTTTATAAATAATCTTCAGTAAATCTCTAGCTTTTAGGCAGTTATGATTACTCCAAAATTGCGAAAGATTAGGCTGGCATTTTCACCACAACGGGGTTAAATTCGACAGTTAATTTTATCAAACTACTTGTAGAATAGTTCTTTCAACTTATTATTACGTTGACACTAGTATTAACGTTAATAAAGGGAAACCTGCTGCCTTCGTTTCCAGCGATTGACAGGAAAATAAACACGCTTCTTAATTTATTATAGTAAGTACCTTGACTAAGTTAACTAAATTTCAATAACTTAAGTTAATTTCTTGTCCAAACAAATTGTATTGTACACATTATATTTTAAAACTCAAAATATTCAATATAATATTCTAGCAATTTACACAATGCCCTAAATTGTTTATGCGTATAAAACCTTAAATAGTATCCCTCATGGCAAAAAAATCCCTTTAGCATATAAGGCTGCTCTCTTCAACAGCAATTATACTGGACAAGGAAAAGATGAAACTTACACCACTTCGTTCGACCACGAGATTTTACAGAAGTTACACGCAGAATTGAAAAAAACATTAACGGTGGCCCTTACAGTCAGATATTTTTTTGTTTTAGAATTTTAAAGGTAACCGTCTTTTTTCTCCCTTTTTGGTGGATAAATAAAACAGAGAATTGCATAACAGAAATTCATCAAATATTATATAATAATTATAAAATTATATTCTTTAAGCAGTTACTTCACGGAAAATTAAGGGAAGCCGGAAGAGTTTGCAATGTGGTATCTACTCTCTATATTTTACGAAAATAATCACTAAACCTCACACTTCAAGAAATTTTTTTTAAAATTCTGTTAAAGGATAATCCAAAAAATATTTAACAATTTCTTGCCTCTCTCTTGTCTAATTTCTCTTACAAATTCCACACGTTATACAACATACTCACCATCGACATTCTGGTATGTTTGTTGTTTACTCCTTTGCTTCAGGGGAAACTCAGGCCCGGTTCAGACGCCGCTCCACTCATTTGCCCAACCTAAGCTGATGAATTAAGTACGGCAAAAGAGCGGCGTTTGAATTAATTTGGTACGGCAGTTTTAGTTAGGTGCGGCAGAAACGCCAGGCTCGACAGAGTCTGTCGCATTATTCGACATTGGAGCGGCATGTGATTCATACGGCACTCCTCTTAAGTGCCGATCCTAATGCATACATTATGCATACATTAAATTTAAAATTTTTCCACACGGTACCGCTCAATACTAGGTAGTTACCATGCGCAGAACACTAAATTGAGGAAAATGGCGGGTAAAGAAGAACAATCTTGCTCCTGTTGCTTGAAGAATACAAAATATACTTGTTTAAGGTGCCAGGAGTACTTCTGTATGCCTTGTTCTGTCTTCGAGAATGATGAAACTGTCAAGGGCTAGAAAACAGGCACTGAAGACGCATATTGTGAGCAATGTTTCCGAAAAGTTATGGAAGAGCACGAAAAGGTCAGATGTAATGATTCAAATGAATCCGGCAAAAAGAGAGCTCCACAGAAGCAAGAAGAACGGTCTATGACAAAGAGGAAATAAATTATGGCGCTAAAATATGGTATCGGACCCAGGCAGGAGATAAAGGTTAGGATCGACACACGGTACGCCGTCTGAATCAGTTGTCGCGCCAATGTCGCTCCAAAGTCGGACCTAATTCAATTGGGTTCAGCACATGAGTAGAGCCGCGTCTGAACCGGGCCTCTTCGACAGTTTTTCGGCGCTAGGTTTTCTGGAATCGATTAGCGGGTAACTAACATTACTTGTGATAGATTGACAAGGCAACCATCGACTTTTATAGCTCTTACTTGTTACTAGCACGTTTCCAGGATTATTGATGAAAAAGCCAAGTTAAAAGCTGGGGTTCGGCTATAAAAGCATCTGGGACATCTATATCTTTCGCGTTAGCTTTGACATGTCCAAGAATTTCAAATTCTGGTGAATTGATCGTAATCTCTCGCTGCCTTTTACGGTTGAATTTCGACGGATATCACACATTTTTGGACCCAAAAAAGTAATAATATATTTTTAAATATACATCGTCATAGCCAAGCTTGAAAACGAGGCTCAGGCGACAAAGTTCGCTGGTCTCCAGTCTCCTTAGACTCACCATTTGTGGGCAGCATATCTTGTATCATTTCCTCCAGTGTAAACTGACGTTGAGGTCGTGGAAAAATGTCCAGTTCTTTTTCCTTTCGTCTGGTTTTCTCGCGGGACATTTTTCTTGTTTTGCTCTCGTAACCCTCGGGTGGTTTCTCTCCGGGAATCTGCTGGAGTTTCGGGCCCTCTCGGAGGCTTGGAACTGAGTTCATGAGGTTTTTGTTGACGTCATATCCTATGTGGTGTTCACGTGGCACTGTGCCCTCCTCCGAGGTACAGAAACGCTGTTCAGTTCCGTTCTTGATGTTCTCTGTAGTAGGACTCTCCTGTAAATTTCAATTTAAACATGTGGTTTGGTATTTGCCTTCATTTGGTGAAGACAATCTTAAGATGACGACATATGTCGTTGATCTCATTTGTTAAAACACTTGTTACGTTACGCCATCTGCAATGTTCATTCACGTATTTTTCATTTGCAAAAAAAGCTGCAAGACATCAACATGAGGGGAAAAGAGAGGGGTACACACGGAGAAAACTGAGATAGATAAGTCGTTGAAGAAATCGTCTGCTTTCGTCTAGTATTTCAACAAAATTTGAGTAGTATTGCAGACCTTTTATCGAAGAAGGGAATGCATTTTTATCATTGCTATTTGGCTGTGGCTTTCTTGGGTGCATTCCTAAACTTATATCAAAACCCCTTTTTTACGCCAGGGGGATAGTGTAATTCCTTTATAACTTTTGAAAAATCAACAAAATAAAATTTACCTTTGGGTTTCTGGCGCATGGTGTTTCGTGACTGCTTACTAAGGCCCTTCGAGTGGCGGCCGATTCATCTATGCTATGCTTACTGGTGGCTCCAGAAGTAGGTCTGGTACCAACTGCAGCATTTTTGTAAGGTGTACTATGCGCATGACTGCTACTTCCGCTCCGCCTCTCGATGGAGTTGATAAGAGACTGGACGAGAGACAATTTACGGGGCGAGCCAACGATAACTTCCTCTTCATCCGGGCTTCTGTCGTTATACTTCTCCACATCAAAGAACATAGCTTTGTTCGCTGGATCTGACACAGTCTCTTTTGACAAATCTGGGGATTCTTCTTTCGGGTCAATTTGATGAGCGGCCTCAAATATGCGCCTTTTCATTGTCGGAGTTACAGACCCTTGCAGATTCAAATTCACCAGGCAGTCCTTGACCGTCGGAGAGGTCCCTAGTTCCAGAACATCTGGTTCACCACTCGACTCTAGTGGATTATTGCGACCGTTTTCAACCGAGTGAAATAGCTTCCAGGCAGGACTAGTGTCGAATGAGAAATCACTAGACGTTTCTGAGAGACCAGAATACCGCTGATTTCTAAAATCGTTGTCAGTGTCTGTAAAGTCACTCAGACGATCACTAGTGAAGTCACTATCTGTTTCTAACGAACATTCCGACGCTTTAGCCCCACCGTTCAATGCGAACGTTTGACAGTATGTTTCGTTTGGTGAAAATACGTCCTCGTTATAATCATCGCCTACTTTTTCTAACTGGTCACTTGAATCAATGGACTGGTCAACCGACTGTACATTAAGGGTAACCTCCGTGTTATCCTCAAGTGCTAAGGGTAAACTCACCATGCCAGGCGTACTTTTTTCGGAGTCGTTTATACCTTCTTCCCCATGGTTGGTCTGAGAACCTTTCTTGGTTTTTTTTTCACTCGCGGTGTTTTTTCCATTCATCATCTTATTCCCTGGCTCCTTATTCTGATTTACAAGCTTATTATCGCGGCGTGATGATGGTGGTGTTTTACACCCTCCTGCCTTGCTTTCAACTGCAATGGCTTTAGCTGGGTGTTTTGGTTGGTCATTTTGCTGTGAGGTCGAAGATTTTCTTTCTCTTGGTGTCGAAGGTAGCGATCGACGTCCGCGGGCGGATTCTGTTGAAATTTTCCTATTTGCTACCGGCTGTGTTGTTTTCGGTTGAGGACTAGGGATTTTGGACACGCTAGGCTTTCTACTTCTCTCCTGCTTGACTTCCGTTGAGTTTTGCGCGGGTTTCCTTGAACCAGGAACCCGTGATTTCCCGTCGGGGGTAGCGGAGGATGACCTTCGTTTGGCAATTGGCCCCCCGCGTCGTGCATCTTCTGTGGATGAAGGCAATTCACAGATCTTAAAAGTGTATATAAAGCCCTAAAAAGGGAGAATAGCTTTGGAGTCGAGCACGGCTCAATTGCAAATCCATCGCAAACATGAGGTTGGCAAACGGTATCTATTGAAAACTATTTTCCTTTTTTTTTTTATTTTTTTTATTTTCAAGTTATATTGTGAGATCCACAATTTGTAAATACGCTCGCGTTGAACTGGGCTTTAGTTTTGTATTCTTGTAACATCAACGATCCAAAGTCTAGTGAATGTCAGACTAAAGATGCGTTTAGATCTAATCACCCATTTAAATTGATGATACTTCAAACAATTACTTACCCGAAGAGTCAACTCTCCCAGCCACGGCTGAGGACGCCCTCCTCTGCATGTCCCTTGTGGGTCGCGAAGACATCGTTGATTTTGCGCGAGGTTCCATTACGGGCGTCATTGGACGGGGCCGCGCCCCAAAGGATGCACTCCTTGTAACCTGCACGGGTCCCGACCTTGGAGAACCTACAGGCCCACTTGAACTCAAACGATTCCTACCAGCTGGAGAATCGCCTTGTGGTCCCAGATTACCTGAGAACTTTCTAGGGCTGGTTACTGAACTTTTCCTTCGGGCTTGTCCAGGGTTGCCGTTGCTCGTGGATGTTCCCTCCCTTTGAGAGTTCTCACCGGTTACACTTTGTTTCCGCATAGATGAAGTAGTAGGATTGGAATAGGACGGTCTGCGACCATCTACAACGACGCTGCTCAATTCCTGCATGCTTTTGCTCTTGCGTGACAGCCTACCGCGGGCCTGTGTGTCAATAGTTCTGGGTGGGGTGTCACGTGTCAAGGTACCCCTTCTTTGCCGCTGCTGTAAGCGCGGAGAGGAGGGTGAGGAGCTCCTTGAAGGGGAAACACTTGTCATCCGTCTTCTCACAGGGTCTCGTGGACTCTTAAGCTGAGGATAAATGAAACGTCTTTACAAAAAATTCCAAAGTTGGCCCTTGTGCTTTACAACTGTTTTAGACTTAAATGCCGGGAAAAGTAGAGGTTAAAGCCGTGGTCGACGTTCATTTGGCACTGCTTATCGTAAATTGTCTATTAAGCCACGTCTCTCAAATAAGCCTCCCTTTTTAGGGCAAGAAAGTTAATAAACCCCTCTCTATTTTAAGCCCCTCCTCCCCTCAACCTTATTATTCTTCACTAATAAATGATTGACTATATAAATCAATCATTACTGTAAAACTTTATTTGGACTGATCCACGATGGTTTATTCACGTGTTGGAAGTTCGGACTGATTTGTTTTTGATCGTCGGATGCATGACCTCCAACTTCTTGTACTTGAGCTTTTTCACTTTGCATTCTAACTTTTTGTGGAGAGCTGATACTACCATCTTCTCTAAATTAAATAAGCCCCCCCCTCTAGCACCCCCCCCCCGAAACATGTTTGAAATAAATAAGCCCCCCCGGAGGGGCTAATAGAGGATTTACGGTATTTTCATTTTAGATCTGGACAAGTGCAACTACAATATTGGGAAGCGTTCCAAGATTGTAACAGGAAGCTTCATACTATAAATTGCAACTTTCTATCAAAAAAAGTGTATATGACATCTTACGAGGAAGGACAGAATGACCACACAAAATAGTGAGAAAGCTGTCAGGTCGCGATTTTCTTCATTTTTTGATGTTGTAATTGTGTATATTGATCAATTTTTCACTGTTGAGTTTAATTCATGAATGTTCGGCTGTTTCATTCATTTATTAATGGCAGAGACTACGGTAAGGCCACCAGCTTTCTTCAAGGCGAAGGTAACACGCGCGCATGATTATGTTCCTCGCAGTTAGTGATTTTCACGCGCGCACGCATTCGCTCTACTCCCTGAAAAATGATGAAGGGACTTCTCCTAGTCTACTGAGTCCCTATTTATGGGATGGATTTAGCGATTTTTGACTTTTTTTCAGAAAACATGATTGCCCTGCCCCCAGGGTTAGGATTAGGTAGGGGCCTTAAAGTGGGATTTTTGAATGAATCTGCTGGCCTATGCTGGCGCCATAAATTGTGCATGTTACTTATAATCCGCGAATCCCGTACCCAGTAACTAAATGTTAAAAAATCAGATCTTTATCACTGGGTGGAAACTGCCTCGTATCGAGACGTCTGTCTGTCTCTCTCGATGATAAATTGTGCGCATCTCATTATTCTCCTTCCCATGGTCCCTTGCGTCGGCAGTCGCTCGCGTGTCACTCGCGTTTCGAGCTAGTCTGCCGAAAACGACGCGCCTGAGGAGGAAGCAGGGTTGGCAGTGTAATCATTTCGATGTACTCTAGAGTAATTTTGCATTTTTTTCTCAGAGAGAGGACTGAATTTGCGCATTTCCCGATACTCACTGCACTGTCACTGCAATACTTAAAAATGCTAAAAACGAGAAAGAACATTGTTTTTTTTCTTTAAATGGTTTACTTATTTTTATTGAAGACTGACGACAGAAAACTAAATACATAAAAAGAAAGAAGAAAAGAAAAAAGAAAAAAGAAAAGAAAAACAATTAACTAGCGGTGCGAAAAAACGACCCTGCCAGGACTCGAACCTGGAATCCCCTGATTCGTAGTCAGATGCCTTATCCATTGGGCCACAGGGCCTTTGACAAGGGATACTGGCGTTACATTAGTATTTAAATGAAATGGAATAAATTATGTACTAAACAATGCTAACCAGTCACCTGAAACAAACAGTCTTGATTTCCGCTCATTTTATGCTGTTCTAGCAACAAATCCAGTCGTGGCTAAATGTTTTAAAGTCTCTTAGTTAAGTTTTGTATCCAGTTTCTTCATATTTTTCTTTCAGTTGCTTTAGTAGCGTATTTTGCTAACTTTATTTCCCTTCATTTATAAGACTTTTTTTTTCAGTGTTATTCACCAAACCCAATATCGACCAAGAATCGTTGCCGAAGGTATTGCCGGTCCCTGTACTGTGATCGAAAGACTTTTCGACTTCACAAAACCGTTCAACTATTAAAATAGAGGGTGTTCTAAATTTTGGTCAAAACAGATAATGCCTTCTCCCGATTTGCATTCCTATCCTCTACAAACTAGCCTGAGTATCGGGCCTTCCGGGTAAGAAGGAGGAGATTTGAAGGAGAGGAGAGCTTCTACAAACCTGAGAAGACTGGGGCGAAGACCAGGATGCAGTGCGTCCGTGTGCCACAGGAGTACCATATGAGTCATGACTGTCTGTACTGGAAATGCTCATAGAACTGGGAGATCGACCAATCACATCGCTTCCACTACGTGATCTGGGAGATCGGACTGAGTTTCTCCGTTGCCTCTCTTCATCATAAGCGATAGGAAAAATTGCATAAGTAAACCTAGCATTATTGCAGTATTACATTTAGCCAGACATTGGGTACCTCGTTTAGTAACCAGAGTTTAGTTTCGTCTAATGTCATTAGTAGGCCTCGTTGTAACAAAAAAGACTGGTTTCTAAAACTGAACATCAACCCAAAAACAACTGACAGGATTTACAAATAGTGCCTGCGTTCAAGTTCTCCTCGCTCAACCATTTTAGTCGTTCATAGACTCGTTAAGCTCCCTATACTCTCTCGCAAAACAGCCCCAGTGATGGCTGTATTAGCAGGCCAAAAAAACTACCGTAAATGGTATTTAATCGGCGGGGACGAGTACCTTTCCGCGCCAGCCAACAAAGGAAAACCTTCATTAATCTTGATTTTGGGAACAAAGTTGGCTAGTTGCTTTCAGTTAATGGACTCCTGGAGGGGGAGTGGTGAGAAAGCTAGGCGTTGTTCTATAGAATCTCATACCTGACATCTTACAAGGATCGTGTTTTTCGAAGTATCTTTCTAGTGTGTCCCATCCTCCACCAACTCTAACCATTACGTGCTTACGCATGACCTAGAGAGAGTTAACGATCAGTAACGACATTTGATTACTACCTGACAACAAAGCGCCAATGTGAACAAGAGAAAGGTCAATCTGAGGCTTCGTTTATATGGAGTAAACTTGTCACGAATAGAAGGTTCAAGTGGCTACTCGAGCTACCCGGGCGGGCCAACTTTTTGTACATTTCCTTACAAAAACTTGGCAAACCGCTGACAGGTCATGAGGAACAAAATGGTTGGCTGGACGTGAAAGGTGACCCTTGGCTAGGCCGTTCGTTCACCATTTTTTCGATGGTAGATTCACCCTCCTAGCCGCGAAAATTTTTCTCCATAATAATAGACACTTTGGGTCGCCCAGCCGGGTCAACTCGTTCAAGGCAAAACAATCAGAGCATGTGCGAGCGCTGTTGTCAGCTCTTGGTTCGGGCAAAGGGGTCAACTTTTTTTCTCACGCTGGCAAAAGTTGACTCTGCCGGGAGGGTGAACCTCTATAACGGAAAAACGTTTCTCAATATAAACGCGGGCTGAGAAACAAAAAACTGCAACATGCATAAAAATAGTAAAGATCAACAATATAACAATGCGTTTTAACAAACTAGAAGAGGTCAACATTACTCTCTTACCCTGACGAATATCAGCGACTTGTTTTCTCCCATTCGATATTTTCCCTCCGCAACGCGGAGGACTGGGAACTTTACTGGGCAAGTGCATTGCTCCAACACTTGATAAACCTATAAACATAGATGCGATTAAAAATCTTATCATACTAAAAGAACATTAGAAATGGTTGGGTCAGATGTTAGCCGTGCTAAGTAGTCATCATTGAAATTGTCTCTTTAGTAACAATGAGCCGTTTGCAGTTTGTCATCCGCGTGGTACAGAACAGCCATGGTAGAGAGGACGAGACGCACTGGGACTAGACAAAAAAAAGACTCACGTCATTTAGGGCGCGTCGATGGATCTTATTCTGGAATAAAAGTACGCAAAACCTGCTTTAAAAATCTGAAAACTGGGATATTGAACAACCAATTAGTGTAGGCGTAAACCTAAAAAAATGCTTGAGCGATCGCTGATTTCACGGAATCTAGGTCGCTTTGAGTAACTGTCAAATGAAAAAGAACACCGTTGGTATTGCATGTAAGTTAAAACATTTTCCACGGTCTCTTGACTTTTTTTCTAATGCAGAATTCGTTTTGAAGTTTGGCTCGTCATGCACACGTTTAGGGACGTTTCGTGACGAACCAAATTAAGAAAGTCTGTGTCTGTAGGAGGCTGAAGCTAGCGCAAGTGGGACACAAGGAATACAGGAGGAAGTCGCTTTACGGACAAGCGCTTAATGCGGACACCTCGTTATTACGGACAGTTTTCCTTGTCCCTGTGGGGAACGTAAGACCTCACATTTTCTTTAAATTCAACCCGCTTAATACGGACACCCCGTTAATACGGACATTTTCTATCGCCCCCCGTTAGTGTCCGTATTAACGGCGTTTGACTGTACAGTCTTGGACAGAACTGACGGAAGATCTATAGCCCTCTACCCGCCAAATCAAGAATAGAAAAATGGAACGTCTTGGGAGTTTGCAGTTCCATTTTTTCATGTAGTTGATTGCACCCCCTTTGAACATTTGCAAGTTTTTGGCAGTCCTACTGACAGAAGAAAAAGCTTTGCAGTAGGAAAAAAAAACCACAACAATAAATAATTAGATTTATTGATTTTGCTTAATTAGTTCTTGTTTTGGCAAGTTTATAAATTTTGCGGCTCGTTACGTAAATTTTGCATGTAAAGCAGACCTTAACATTCATTCTCCTAATATGTTTACTGGAACAAAAAGACATCAATGATAATAAAACTGAATAAAAGCGTGTTTCGTATCACCATTAGTTTATTAGAACATCTTGATGAACACGTCGTTCTTCTTGGTACCTTATCAACGATTTCAAACTCGTCGATCTCGCTCAGTTTCTGATAAAAACGTGACACTCAATTTTCAAGAAAAAAATGTAGAGTTGTTAACTCACAATTATTTTATTAAAAACATTTTGGAAATAAGGTGCATGTGATATGAGCAAAGTGGACGGCAACAACTTCCTTACATCAATGGCGAAAGGTTGTGTAAAATATCTTATCACCACTGATTTTATGTTATAATTAAAAGAATCACTTCGATTGTTGGTCCTACTTTATCGATTCTTTACTTTATCTTTTTTTCGCTAAAGACAACTTAACGGTAGACAAGATGTACAGGAGTTCACTGTTAGCAATTTTGGGGGCGCTGGATTTTTGAAAATATGCCAAGAGCAATGTTCTCGCTTTAGCTATCACAAACAGAGATATTTATGTCATTTTTTAGCTTAAAAATTGCCTTCACCGAAGGTTAGTTGTTATTTTTTTTCTTTGAAAAATTATTGATAATTTTCACTTTAATTCAAGTGTATTAGTGAAAAGCATTGTAGACGAAACTGGTTTTAAAGAGTTCATACAATAAACATGTTACAAGATTCTCTTACGCAGGTTTTAGCTTGTAAGTGTGAACATTAACAAATGAAGATTATAATTAGATACAAATTGAAACTTTTTTCATTTTATCTCAGTAGCACTTCAGGAAAAAAAACAACTACTACAAAAACTTGAAAGAAAAAAATCTTTGTCTCGCGTAAGTAATATGATTTTGTAAATAATACGAAACTCATTGAGGATTAAGGGATTAACCTTAGCGAATTAAAGAGAATATTTGTATTTTTATTTGACACATGCCTTGCTTATCTGAGAAATTCTTTTTATTTTTCAGTTTTAAACTCAAAATTCTGACTGTCGAGGTTTTTTACCAAAACACAGTACTCGGATATTGTGCGTGTATCATGCGATATTTTATTCTAAATGATTTTGCTACACTTTCTGCGCTTAGTGAATTAGAGTTAATATAGAAACTAATTAAAAACCAACAACTTTGTGTAACTCGTGAATCGAGGAAAATATGAAATCGAAAATACAAGTTTTAATTAGTTTTACGAGAAATTTCCCTCGATAAATAAAATACTCAGTACTTCGAAATATGGTGATTTGGTGCATTTTTATGGAGTTAAATCACTCGATGTTTGGTGATTAACATACGGAGTTGACAACGATGGACAAGAATTGGGCACGCGATACCATGACAAATGTTGCTTACTGAAGGAAAAAAAGCATGTAATTGAAATTTAATCTGTGACCATAATTTTCCTCCCACTGGGTGTAACGGCTAGCTTGACCATGTGAACTAAAATTCCCTGAAAAGAGAAAAATACGTCCACGGGAAACACTTTTTTCAATTTGATATATCATATAAAGTAAATGCAGTAGTAACGCTGAAGAGTTTGTTTGCAATTGAATATTTATCTGTGGGCTATGATCCATTTTCTCCGCTTCACTAGAGGGTAATAGTTCTTTCATAATCATCTTCATTTGACTAGAAATTTTTTGCCGTTCAAGTTTTCTTGTTTAGTAGTGGCCAAATGCTTACGTTCAGCGTTTTAACATATCGCTTTGAAAGCGGCTATATTTTATATATATATTTATCTTTACAAAAATAAAATCGATTCTACCGCCCTTCTGGTCAATTCCAATAATTCAACAAAACACAACCGGCTGTCCAAATAAAGACCACGTCGTATCTATTTATAAGAAAAATACAAGCATTTAGGATTTCTCTGCAGGAGTTATTATTCGAAGCTTATTCCAAGACTATTATGATGTAATCTTAAAATTTTGGAATATCTATAAATTAATGCAATTACTGTATCTCGGAATAAATTCAGATTTTTCTGAAATGGGGTAAAAGTACATGAACAATAATCATAAGTATCGTTAAAAACAAATCTGCCGATTCCTTGATCATTTTCTTTACTTTTATTTCATTCTCGATTCTCTTTCCTTTTTTCGAGACGGACGATTCTATGGTAAATCACCAATTCTTGGTTAAAAATTCTGTGGCTATTCAACGAATAATTTTTACTGGTAAAGGATGTAAAACAGAGGGATTTTATCGGATAAATACATAGACGTTTGCGGTTTGCTCATTCCTTTTTTGCCTGTTTTCGATCAGGAATATTTGTTGTTGTAATCGTACTCCAAAATCTTCGAGAACCGCGCGTTAAGTTACTCGTTTTGTAATGCAAACACAAGTGCTAGCAAGGGACAATGCATTATAATGAAAACTCTTTGAAATAAAATTGCAACTGTCAGCCGTGCCTAATTTGAATAATGGTAGAGTAAGCTTTATTTTGTTTAGTTTATACACTCAAATTCGACCATCGGGGTACACTATTCCATGCTGCGCGAATTCTTGTGCAGTGTGTACTTTTGTTTGAATCATTCAACAAAAAAGCGCGATAATCTATTGACATTTTTTTTCTTATGTTTAGGACACATGATAGCACGCACTCACCAGATCGTCTAGGCTGTGTGATTTATGTTTCTTCTTTAATCGAACCATCGGCTCCTCCATAATCTCGTCCGGTTGCTCTTCAATCTCTTGGTCAATTTCATTCTCCAGTCTGACTAAATCTGGCGGTTCAAGGCCAAATTTTACGCTCAATCGTGCCACGTCCATGAGTGTTAGAATAACAGACTTCTCGTTTTTATGAAGAACGAGATCTTCCGTTTCAAACATAATTATGTCTGCAACTCCCAATTGCCGACACCAGCGAATAAAATTCGCTACATTATCCCTAGCAAGAAATGATCCGCGAAAGCCTGTTCTTTCTTTGTAAGTAACTCCGCAAGGTGGAAATGTGTCTCGAGGTATGAAGCTGTTATACTCAAGAAATTCTTCGCCCGTACTCTGAATTGTGTTAGCTAGTCTACACAAAACCACTCCTGTCTCTAAATCCTCTAACAGCGTCTCGGCCGTGACCATCAAATTCAAAATTCTCGACATCCACGCCGCAAGATCCTCTTTCATAGCCGCCATACATTTGTCTGTGTGATCCCCTGCTCTCTCTCCCTTCCGTTCCGCCATGTTTACACTGCAGCTGAATTTCTTAATAAGCGAGATACTTCTCAAAAATGGTTGTTGCAAAAGGTTTGTTCCTATTGGCTTTGTGTGTTATTCATCAGGAGAGCGATAGCCCGGTGAGATGCATAGCGTTGTATCGCTCGAACCTTTAGCTGTTGTCCTATGGAAACGAGTTCTACATGTACAACGCGCGCGCGCGGAAAAACTTGTGATGTCGATGAAACATTCATTACATAAAACAAAACTGCAGATTTGGTCCGCTTTTGTTTACAGCGATTATCATTGCTATGCGTCTGCAATATTAGTGATCGCACGCTTTGACAGAACAATTGATATCAATAGTTAATGAGACATGATTTAAAGGTCTCCATATACCTTCCACCAATATTCATATAAACCTTGCCTTGAATATAATTTCAAGTTTAAGTTCAAGCTAAAAAATATTAGACCAGTTATTACGCACATTAAAAATAAACTCGTAAACAAAACGGTTCATTAGGCAGTATACTCATGCAGGGTAAAAACCTCGTTCTTTAAATGTTTTTCCCCAGGGGCTCTACCTTTGTTCGACTCTACATTTGTTTGTTGAATGTTTATCTGAGTGTAGTTTATGTATACAAATGCAATTATCATTTATTTGACAAACAGCTTCAAAAAGACGTGCCGTTTTCTTACCACCGACAACACCACATTTATGTGCACACTATCTTCATCCACTTGATTCACTTCAATGGACCAGGTCAATTCTCATATATTGAATTTCGTTTTACTTCTCTGTAATTGGCGGAAGTTGTCATAGCGTGCTAGCCGGAAGTACCATGACACGTGCTTGTAGCTTTTGTTAATTATTCACTACTCAACACTTTCATAGAAACCAACTTCTCGGAAGTACCATGACACGTGCTTGTCGCTTTTGTTAATTATTCACTACTCAACACTTTCATAGAAACCAACTTCTATTAAAATGTCATTTGTAGCCTCGTCTGCTACACAGGCTATGTCATCTGGTATGTATGGTGCTTTGAAAATGTGAACTGACGCCAGCTTTACGTAAAAACCCAAATTCTGTTTTGTAAGAGTATGCTGAATCGTGTCACAGTTTATTTTTGATCATACAGTACCTTTAATCACTGTATATATTTACCGGTACTTTAAAATGGGTGTGAAAATAGCGAGTGATTTCATGGTCTTATCCTGTTCTTGACACCATTTTCACACATTCTCAAACTGTTCGAGATTCGACAATCTCAGATCAGATTCGATCCTACGGCAGCAACAAATTCGCAAGGACCAGTGTAACGAAGTGGAAGTAGTAACGTTAGGGAGCTTAAGCAATAACGACGACTACGGCTACGAAAACGCCAGTTAAAAAGCGAATTCGCGCTGCTTCAAACTTTATCGCGCTTATTCCATCTCGTCCAATTCGTCAGATGTGTGCGAATTTTTCTGGAGTTCAATTCTAAAGGACTGTATCTAAGTTCAGAAAAAGAAAAAGGAAGTCGTCTTGCGTCGCGTTCTCTACAAAACGTGAAATTAGGTACTTTCACGTCGTAGTCATGCATCGACGGCGAAGAAATGTACTAAAAAGCGTGATGCACGTTGTTGTTTTGCCAATCTCAGAACCTATTGTTTTTTGCCTTTCTTGTTGCCGTCGTCGTCGTCGTTGCTTAACCTGTAAGTCCCAATAGTGACCAACATCAATTTTCTCCCAATGATATCCGTACATTGTCAAGAGACTAGGTTATGAGAATTGATAAAATGATCAGCTAAGAGAAAATGCTTTGATCTTTTGGTCAAATTCTCTCTACTCATTCTTTAAGGATATATATAGAGATCAGTTTGGAGAATTTGTATGTGGACATTGGGGCTTTAAGCTCCCTATTAATATCCCTAAACGACATGACGAGCATCTCTTCTCGTTTCACATGGGGGACCCTCGGGCTGAATAAACTCAAAGAAGCCCCCTGATAGATAGCCTGCGTGGCACTGTTGGCAGAGGTACGACAGGTAAGGGTTCCGGGGGCGTTTCCTTGGCCCTTCCCTATCGAACGTCTGCCACGCAGCCTACCAAGCCCAGTTGTTCAAAAGCAGGATAGCGCTATCCACCGTATAAATCATTATCCAGTGAATAGCGGGTAAACCAATCGCGCTATTCGGTGGATAGTGATTTATCCGGTGGATAGCGCTATCCACCTTTTGAACAACTGGGACCTGGTCGATGGACTACATTGCACCGAATAACGAATGAAAAAGAAACGCAATAGTAATGTGCGATGTCCAATGAAGTATTGACAGGAGCCCATAACTACTCATGGGCTCCTGGTATTGACAAAATTTGACGATTGCTCTCGAGGCTAACTAGCTAAGTATGGCTATGATGGAGGGGGGTATAAAGGCCTTTTAATAACCACAATAAACATCACTGAAAACGGTGAAACCGCAACAGAACCAAGAGTTTATTTAATAAAACAGGACCGTTCTGCACCAAGCAATCCTCAGGCATTTTGGTCAGCGGGTGGCTCTGTGCTGTTAGGAGCCGTTAAAAGGTTAACTAGCTAAGTATGGCTATGCTGGAGTGGGGATATAAAGGCCTTTTAATAACCACAATAAACATCACTGAAAACGGTGAAACCGCAACAGAAGTAAGAGTTTATTTAATAAAACAGGACCGTTCTGCACCAACCAATCGTCAGGCATTTTGGTCACCGGGTGGCTCTGGATTGTTAGGAACCGTTAAAAGATATTTTCTCTCTGTATAGTTCTGGCCCTGGGGAAGGCTAATTTTGTTAGCCGAAATATTGGCCTACAATAAATCAGCCCTTTGCCGTAGTGCCAGCCCTGCATTGAGTTTCGTTTTATTTCACACTTTCAAGTGACGTCTCTACAGCATCTCTTTGATTACAGATCCGGCAACAGGAACCAGTCAGTTATATTTACGCGTTGCGTGGACCTCTGCATTCAAACAGCCGTTAAGGAAGGAGGGTTATACTCAGGCAGAATTAGACGATCTGTTTATTAATTTCACTGTTTAGTTATCCCTAATTTGACCTATGGTCTATCGCTCTGCGGTTCTGTTGATGCAGAGCTTACCCTGACTGTATAGTGTTTACTGGACAGGTGTCACAAGCGAAGCAACATATCTAAGGCGGTAAACGTCTACGATCTACTCAGTAGAAAAAACAAACTAGGAAAATTTTCGACAAGGTAAAACACCAAGAAAAACATCCTCTGAGAAACCTTACGCCTAAACTGAAGGTCATAGAACTTGGCCGGTGACTAGATTTGTACCTTAGATTGTGACAATCTAGGACACAAATCTAGTCACCGGCCAAACGTAAACACTGATTGAGTGAAGAACTCCTATTTTAATCGCTTAATCTTTTAATATGGCCTAGCTTTGAAAATTTTTTTTGTAAATGAGTTAGTAACTTTTAGATTTTTTTTAAATATAATTTAGCTCCGTAATTATTACAGTGTAACTTAGTTCATAATTGGAAGTTTTGTAACATAATATTAAATATATCTAGTTTTGATGACTCTTGTACTGTCACCAACTTGCAATACCTCTCGCAATTTGTAACAACTGTCCATTGAGTTAATTCTTGTCTTGTGTCGCGCGGTCTGTTCCTTCACGTTATTTGGGTCATCATGCCTTTGAGACCCTCGTCTCTAGATGTCTCTAAGAGGATGGAACCTGCCTCAAGTCCTTTTATGTTCTCTTACGTGTATTCAGGTGATACAGGAGCCGAGTACTGCTATAACCACTGATAAGATTGGAAAGAGCAGAATGTATACTAGCACCAGAGTTCAAGGGAAACAGCAAAAATGCACTCTGAATGGAGGATCATCCCAACTGGACTGAACAAGCTACAAGGAACCGAAGTATCGGCGTTATTTTTGAATGCGTGGAAAAAGGAGTCGTGCAACGTATACGTATTGATGACGTTGTTATCCAGGTCTGCGAGAAGAGTCAACGTCACAAACGTCAACACAACTTCCTGTAGTTCGGCTTTTCTTCTTCCATGCGGAAAACGAGTGAGTTTCCGCCAAACTCGGGGATGGGAGCAGCCGAAGTTAGCGCGGAACGAAAAAATTTCATTTTTCGCGGCAACCGCAGTTGTAGAACAGTCAAAATATATACAATCTTCCCTGCATTAGATTGCATTATTTTATGTTTACTTTTTCGGAAAACACATTTAACGTTCAGACCGACCTCGCAGTTACAATCGCGAATCACAATCAGGATCGATCCAACTAAAGAAATTCGACTCTACTGACAGATTACAGTCGACAGGATAGGCAGAAGGAGTTAAGGAAAAGTAGCCTGTCCCCCTCGGGACACTCCCTTCTGTAAGCCCGTTATAGTAGTGTGAGGTGCCGAAGGTATGGTTTGGTCTGATCAGTTATGTGGTTTCAAGACGGTGGGGGCACACCTCCACCAATTGCCAAGTTTACCCCCCGGTTATTTCCTTGTTTGAAATTTTAAACACACAGTCTGCTCTCTAAGCTGAACAATCTGGAGGAGTGAAACAGCGAAAAAAAAACGGCGAGCGGAGCGAGACTAGCCTGTGCCAGGCTCTCATAGTATAGTGGGGACGTGAACGAGCAAAGCGAAAATAAACCGGGCGTTTTCCGCATTTCTTATTACTTTTCACCACCATCTTGGAGCCTGGAACAGGCTAGAGCGAGCCTGGCGATGGACTTTCTTTTCCCAGGTTCCCTCCGCTCGCTGATTGTTTTCGCTTTCGCGAAGCCTGGCCCCAGGCTAGTACAACCGTAGCCTGAAACGTCAGCCGTTCAGAAAAAAATACATGATAGGAGTCTCACAACGTAAAGTAGTAAATAAGAGAAAAAAGAAAACGGAAGAAAACTGAAGGGTTAAAATGTATTTCAGTAATTAAAACCATGACTGCAGTTATCGCTCATTCCCACCTGATAGAGAGAAGATTCCATAACACTTACAGACTGTTCCAATTGAATCATCTTGGTAAATTTGAATCAGTTTATTTCAAAACTGATCATAAGGTTAGAGGATGAGTTGGAAACTGATACGCTAAAATACATCCTAGAAACTGAAAATACTTACGTTTTAGCTGTCACGCCCGTTGAAACCAGGAATATTTTTAAGGATATATTTAAGTATCATTGGTGCATCATGTTCCGGTTGCAGTAAGCGTCTCAGAGCGATGGAAGCTAGTATCTTTCGATTCATTAAAATAACTCTTCATTCCTCTTCATTCAGTAAATTGATTTTCAAATATTGAAGGCCATTAAGATGAAAAGCTCTAAAGCCTTAAATTCTAAACATTATGGCCTTCGTAAGGGTTCGTGCCGTTGTGTTTATTCAAAGTCCCCAAATCTTGTGAAGCTTCCGGATCCGGTCTCAGCCTCTCAGCCAAAGTGAAAACACCTGGCAACAACTTCCGGTACGCAACGTGTTTTCTGAAATTTGTCAGGCTATAAGTACTTCTCTGAACTGATTTGTCTGGTTATAAGTTGCTTCTCTATATAAGGAATAGAACGTTTTCATTTTTTGTCAAAATGGAAAAAGATCTATGCAGGACCATAGTAAAACGAATTAGTACAGGTTATGCTCATGACAGAATACAGAGAGCTCAACAGCTTTTGGAGCAAATTCGCTTGTGCGACTGCCTGGCGATCGGAGGGAAACGCTGTGCTTGCGTAAGACGACCAAGAGAAGTATTGAATGGAAGAAATAAGACAAGAGATAAAGGAACCCAAACTGAAGAAAGAACCGGTAAGTGTTTAAATCAGATAGAAATGAGGAAAATTGATTTTACAGTCCGCAAGTTTAACCCATCGCTGTATATATAAAAGGCCTTCGGCAAAATGTAATCATCATCTTTTTGACGTTTTTTTTGTTCAAGTTCAGCGAGTTTCATGAACATTTATATGTTATGTACAGCGATATATCACTTTGTTAACCAAAAGTTTAAGAAACAAGTGATTTGTTCTATTGTTAGGTGCCACTACAGCGCAATATTTCCGACATTTGGACCGAGAAGATGCTGCAAATCCCGTGAACGCAGTTCCTCAACCAACTATAAGCTTATTGGATGTGAATAGAAACGTTGTTTCCCTGGCCAAACGGAGGCATTTACCTGAGGATGATGTGTACGATGGAATAAGAAATCCTTACGTGTTAATCATAAATAATGTGAACTTTTGGTATATACCTCAGCCGAGAACGGGTGCTCAACACGACCTCGACAACGTGATGAGCTTTGTCAAAAAAGCTGGATTCAAGACTGTAGTACAATGCCCTGATTTGAGGAAAAGCAAGTTGCTGGACTTACTTGAGGAGACTCGACAAAGTGAAGTATTAGGTAAGGAGAATAAAAACTGTAATCTTTACTTCCTGGGTTTTAGCAGTAAATTCTAAATTTCGTTTGAGACCGGAAGTTGTAAGGCGAACATACCTGCATTTGGTTGACTGGAAAATCCGGATCGGGGACCAAGGATATCGGATCGGGGATACAAGTATTATATTTTCCGTTTTGTTTGGTTTTGTGCTTTCGGTGGAGGCGGGGTGGTGGTGGGGCAGTTCCAATAAAAAATAATGCCTTGTTTATATGAAAAGAACGATACCACCAAAGTCTATGTGCATGTCACTTCAGTTGGTGATCGATGAACGATCCTTAAAGTCAGTTTATTGATGGTATAGGGGTATTTAAAATGCAATCAATTTATCGAATCCTTTAGCTTATCAGCTGACCTAAAATTCCAGACGTTTTTGGCAACAAATGTATGACTCCCTTCTTCATTCCTATTAACACCTTTTGGTGTCTTCCTTCTCTGAAAAGCATATTAGATTGTATAAAATTATACACTTGTAATATTTTTTTATTTTTGCAGTTGAACATGACAGTTTCATCTGCTTTATAATGAGCCACGGAGATGAGGAGGGCATCCTTGGAGTGGACAGCAGGGCCATACCAGTTGACGAAATAACAGCCAAATTTCAAGGTGGCAAATGCCCCTACCTTGCCACAAAACCCAAGCTATTTTTCCTACAAGCCTGCAGAGGGGATGTTGACGATGAAGGGTATTTGGTACCAAGAGGACCAGGTCATGTCTATCCCGATGCTATAGATGAGATGCCAGTCAAGCTACCCTCAGATGCAGATTTTTTGATAGCATATTCCACCACAAAGGGGCATGTATCAAACAGGAGGTTTGCTGACAATGTAAGGGTTGCTGAAAGCATTGGAAAATTTTTAGGTTCCTGGTTTATTTCCTGTTTGGTACAGATTTTGGAAACTTATTCAGGAAGAGAAGATTTGATGACAATGCTGACAAGAGTAAATCGATCCATGTGCAAGGAATATTCAGTACCAGGAGGATTTAAACAAATTTCCTGTCAGCTCTCCATGCTAACTAAGAAGGTGTACTTTACCAATTTTCAATGATCGAGACTCTGCCGCAGTGTAACTTATCCAATATATTTTGACACACCATCTACCACTGATGATAATTTTAAACCATAACCACTTCCCAGACAGAATTACTTGCTGTCGATTTGAGATGGTTTCTGCAAGGCCCAGTTCAGACCTAACCTGCAAATACAGGCCTGTTTTTGAGGTGCAGATGTCTCTCCCACAAAACATCTGTAGCAGCAAGGAGCAAGGAGAGACAACTGTATTCAAAGGCTACATTCAGACCACATAGTAAAAATTGCATTTTTTAAGTAGCACCATGGCACCTTTGTTCTTAAATACCTGTAGGCTTTCAAAGAAATTTTTAAAAGGGCCACAGATGTAAGGATGGCTCTATATTGTTATTATGGACTGAGGCCCTTTGCATTTAGTGCCCTGCTTGAACTCCCAACATGATACAAATTGTCAGTGTCATAGATGTTACCCCATCTCAATAGTTGCCCAGAGTATCAAACTAAAAATGAAACAGTTGACAAGAAACTGTTCTACTGGATTCTTCATCTGCATGAAACTAGAAAAAATGTCAAAATGGTGTTTGATCATCACTTCTCAAACTCATTAATAAATAATTATTTATTATTCATCACCATGGAGATGGTTTGGATCATGTTCCCCCACAATATTAATAGTTTGAGAGACTGCACCAAACACAGGAAAGAGATTTTCATAAGCTATCTCAGTGGTTGAATATTTTAATGAAACACAGCTTTTTTAAGAAATAAAACCACATTTATTAGTTAAAAAGACATATTTAAGAGAGGACATTTTAAAACTAACTGATTCACCAAGAGGTAGGCATTAGGATTAGTAGATAAATACTAGTCATAGTTTATTGTTCTTTTTACCATAAATTATTACTATGAAAGATGTAAATAAAGAGGCGACTTTTCAATTTATTGGAGTGTGATTGAGTCATTGGTACCAGTGATGAAGCCTACAAATACAGCTATCTCTTTGTAGTTATAATTATTTACTGGCAAAATAATGTAGCAGTTGCAAAGATCTGCATACAAAGAATACCCTCTGTGATTAACAGGCCTGCCACTTAGGGCTAGGGGCTGGAGATTTCCTCCAACTACTATAAGCATGAGAAAGCAAAAGAACTTCTGAGCTCTTCTATCCCCACCCCCCACCCCACTACCAACTTCATATACTCTTCAACTTGATCTCTTAGAGCCAGTTATTTAAACAACGTCTAACTTGGACAATGGTTAAAAAAAATCATTGGTGGGTTATTTTTAGAAGGTAAATGTTTCTCTTGTCCACCCCATATCGCCTCAAGAAACTTTTCATGATAAATAGACTTTACATAAAAGTGTTGGGAAAACTGTAATTGGCTCAAGACATGGTTTTGTTTAACATTGGCAAAACTTCATTTTAATAATTAGTCCCACTGTAAGCCTCATGCAATCTGATGCTTTGCAGAATGGGTTACAATGAAATGTATTTGCAGGCACTAGGTTTTTATGTGAGATGAAGGTCACGAGTAATGGAATTGCTAATTGTGTAATAAAAACCATTAACTTAATACTTTCTCCAAAATTGCCATTCCCTTCGTCAGAAAAAATAATATTAAATATCCATGTAATAACATGGTGCACAAAATAATCTCGTTAAAATATGTCCACTGTAGTTCACCCATTTAGTGATTAGCACCATTTTTTCAGAATAGTGTCAAAGCAGAGACATCACTTCTGTGCAATATTGCTGACAGGTGTTCCGAACATAGCTTCCCCCAAATCCTCACTCAGCTCAGCAAGCTTCTTGGGATTGTTGTAATGAGTAACAGCTTGAGCCATAGCCCAAGCTCGCTTCTTAGGATTGTCACTCTTAAATATTCCTGACCCAACAAACACTCCATCTACACCAAGCTGCATCAACAGTGCCACATCAGCTGGTGTGGCTGTACAAAACAAAACAAAACAAAAATAATTAAAACAGTAAAAAAAATAGCAATCCAACTGCTGTGCAGTTTTCTACAAACCAGACTACAATTATTTAAGTAATTGAAATGATGAATATATAAATTCTATACACATGTGTATTTGAACTGTGGGATGACTAAATAAATGCAGAGAAGACACACAACCTATGCAGTAGCCAAAAGAAAGCCTGGAAAAAATTCAGGCTTTCTGGGAATCAAACCCTAACCTCTGTGATACCTGTGCAGTGTTCTAACCAACTGAGCGAGCAAGCCAACCGGAAGCTGGTCATTAAATTGGCACCTTAAACGGCCCCAAGAAAGATAGGTGAAAATAATGACACAATATGAATTTCCTATGTTTGAAATGTGGGATAATATAATAATAATACTTTAATTATCCTCTCCCCTTATGGAGCTTTTTAGGGATAATGAAACAAATAAATTAAATTTAACATAACATGGTTAAAAATCCCAACTGGTAGGAGGCAACAAACTAGTTGGCTATTAATTTTTACAAGCGCGGTTGAGGATTTGAACTCGAGACTACCGTGAACAAATCCAGCCTGCAGTTAGGGCTGGACTTGAACTTTGGGCCTCCGAATTACAAGTCCATAGTGCTCCAACCACTCGGCCACTTTGCCTGACCAAAAAATGCAGAGACGATCACTGCAGTTAAATATGCAACTTAAAAGAGAGTCAGAGCAGAGTCAATTTAGTTAATACTGCTGAAAAGACAGCTGGATTTTTCTTTTTTGGACCAGTGCACACCATGTTCACTGGCTAGAACATCAGCATACATTATGTAGGATGTGAACCTGTGTGTTTTATCTTTTGGATAACACGTATTTACCAGTGTTTGAAGAACCAGGGCTCGGTTGCCAGTACTTGGAGCTACATGACCTGCATACTGCCAGGACTGTATTTCCGATAGGTGGCATATGCCAAAATATTAATGATATAAAATAAAACGCGACGGTAAAATTTATTTAGCCAGGTGAATACATGAGAATGATTTTTATTCAGTCAGTGATAGTGTTACGAGTGACTCGCAGAAGAAAATCAGAACCTACAATACCATACTTACCAAGACCTCCAGCAGCAAAGTTGACAACTGGTAACCGACCCATCTGAGCAGTCTTCTGAAGGAGCTCAAATGGTACTCTTAGTTCTTTTGCATAAGAGAACAGTTCAGCAGAGTCTAGTGACTGAGCGTGACGAATCTGACTGCGAATGGTTCTGGCATGACGAACAGCTTCAGCAACATCACCTTTAAGTCGAAAAAGAGATGTTTAAAATCAAAAACTACAATTCCACCACTATTAATTAGTTGAACAGTTGACTCTTTCTTTTTAATACTGGACAGCAGTCTTTCAAACAGACAAGTCCATGTAACTGACACTTAATAATGATCTCTGCCGTTCAGACCTTTACAAAAAAATACTTAATTAACAACTTGTCCTACCATTTTCCCCCTATTTTTAAAGAAAGCAGTCAAAAATACCCTTTTTTGCATGCTTTTTAGCCTTTCGTAACACCTTAAATAGCAGATTTTTTGTGTTGTCACAGCCACAACAAAGACAAACTAAGAGAGGAAGACTTAGGACCATGTACATACACATTCTGCTTGAGGACATCGGATTTGTCACTACTGGAGAACTCAGAATGACAATGCTAGACCAAAGTGGCTGGTGAGGGAGAATCCATGCTGTCCAAGCAAGTGTTCAACAAAACTAACTAACTTATAAAGCAGATACCTCTCAGGATGGACACTTAGTACAAGTCCAAAGGACTGTCCATCTTAGAAAGAAATAACTGAAAACATACACTGTATTTCCTTGTGCAATATTCAGGGGAGATTTTTTTTTCGCATCACAAGCCGGGGTCATTATTTGAGGGAAGGTGATTATTCGAGGGAGGCGACCATTTCAAATATTACTCACTGGAAGTCATACCCTAAATATTTTGTTTCATTATCCCATTAAATCAAAAAAATTATCTCATCAAATAAACTGAACATGGCCTTTTTTAAGTGTTTCAAATTTAGTCCCTTGATTAACTTTCAGAGCTCGGATCGTCACTGATCAGTTGTGCTTGATAAGATTCAACTTCAACTTGACAGGGAGGAGGCAAAAGAAAGAGAAGATGGCGAGCTGGGTGGGGATGGGCAATATTATTATTCGAGGGAGGCCATTATTTCAAATATTTCCATCAAAGGGGGGGGGGGTGATTATTTGAGGGAGGCAATTAATTTATCGAGCGAGCGACAGCTATTATTCAAGGAAATACAGTAAGCACTTATTTTAAAGATACAAGACTGATTTTCAGCAAACATTTCAAAATATGGTTTTTTGAGTGTAGGCCTGCAGGAAACTCCTAATGGACTCAGAATCGTGAGAGGCCAGAGGTGAGGGGTTTAGCCCTTTTGTCGGGTAAGGGATTGATAAGGGTTCTTAATAGACAAGTGCAAGCTGTTGAAGCATCCTGGCCAAAAAGGGACAATAAAATTGCCCGAAGATTAAAGCCTCCAATTGCTGACATCATTCAGATAAGTTCATAGGTAATTGGTTTGGCCGTTGAATATCACCAAAAAAGTGTCCATTTGCACTGGAAGCTACAAGGATGATGGAGATGTGTCTGTTGTTGCTAAAATCAGTTCTTGGGTCAAACCAGTACCCCACTACTGGTACATCTAGGTGAAATAATGAATTAACCTGAGGAATGATTTAAGCTACACAAATAACGTACTTTAACACAAGACACCAACACAGAAAATGATTGAGTTCAGCTCAATACTATCCACATGGATTATGCTGTTCAGTTCCCACCTGTTCCTGCTTGTCCTTTTGTCCTGATCATGGCTGCACCCTCTGCAATCCTTCTGAGAGCTTCTCCTAGATCTCTTGCTCCACAGACAAAAGGAACTGTAAACTTGTGTTTGTCGATATGGTGTGATTCGTCAGCAGGGGTCAATACTGTTGATATGAAATTACAGATAACTTTTATTTGTTGATTCAATTTCCATTTGAGGACAAGGGTGCTCAAGGGTTTATATAACTCCATGAGGAGACATCCTATTATCACTAAGTCGGTGTAGGTGTCACAATGATATTATTATGATAAGTAAAATTAGAGGCTAGAGGGCTAATTTACCCTACATTTTCTTGTCAGTTTATCTGGCTAGAGAATATTGTTTTGTTGTTTTCAGGAACAACATTACATTATTTTAAATACAAAATGTATTAGAAGCTTGCACCTTCTGACTCATCAATCATGTCAACACCAATTGCTTCCAAGATTTGCGCCTCTGCAAAATGTCCAATCCTGGCCTTGGCCATCACAGGTATGGTAACTGCATTTATGATTTCCTTTGTTAGCTACAAGTCGTGAAAGTAAAACAAAAAAGAAAAACATATGGGTAAAAATAAAATAACGGGTTGAAGCAAGAAGGTAAAAAGACTATCTGCTAGTAAGATTGCTGGATTTTCAGGACAGTCTTTATTGTGCGACCATTATGGTTTGACAAGACTCTTAACTGTCCCAAGCTTCTGTTATCAATTTTGCATTTCTCTTTTCATACTAATAAAAAATATAAAGCACAGACTGGAGCATAACCAAGCTCTGAAAACCAAACAGCAAAATGTTACAATAAGCAAAGTTGGGCTGTGAAAACACAGCACTGCAGGTAACATGGACCATAAAAATGTCCATGAAAATATATAAATAGTGCATTCCTAGAGCATTTTCCTATGGAAATAAATGAAGTAGCACATCCACAAAGTGGTTCTTCATCTACCATTCCAAGTCAAATTCAAATTTGGAAAAGTTGGTTTTTGAGGAGAAGGAGGAACCGAAGAACCTGGAGAAAAACCTCTCATACCTTACCCCCTGATAATTCTTGGATCATTTTACATTTCCGGCAAACTGCCCACCTACCCCTCCCCTAAACCAGCATTTTGCCCTAAGTGAGAAGTAAGTGTTAATGTTGGCTTGGGGGAGGGGTAGGTGGGCAGTTTCCCAGAAACGTAAAATGATCGTAATTCTTGACTATTAAAAAAAAAATAGAACAGGATATAGTGTACCTTAGGATCTGTCATCCTTGCCACTCCTCCCTGTTTACGGATATCTGCTGGAACTCTCTCCAAGGCCATCACAGCACAAGCCTGCAAAGATCATAATATTATTCAACCTACAAACTACCACTATAAACACTGTGATAATCCAAATTTCTGAGCAAGAACCTAGAAAAGATCGAAGACTGCTTGTCAAGAGCACACATAACTTAGACACCACCTGTAGACAAGTAGCATCATTGCTCATCCTAGCATTATTAAGCACAACATGTGTTAACCAGCTTACTTTCTGCCAACAACTTCAAAAAACACAATATTATTCTTTAAAGACCTTTCCAGGATGTTTTAGAGCAGTATTTTGGATTTGCTAACAACTGCCATTAGCTGCACCTGCAGTATGGAGAAAATTAAAGTGGATATTAGGGCCTAAGGCTATGGGTCGTACCCCTGCTTCTTCAGCTATCCTGGCTTGTTCGGCTGTAGTGACATCCATTATAATTCCACCTTTTGCCATTTGTGCCAACCCAGCTTTGAGCTTGAATGTTCCTGTAACAATAAAGGGGACATCTAATGGACCACTCTAGATTCAAAACACTAAACAAATGATTTTAAACCACACACTATTAACCTAAGAGTACAAGAAAACAGCAGACCTGTCTTGTGCTGAATCAGTGCGACATCCTTTGCACCATTCTGAGCTGTCCTGCTGTTTAAAGTCAGATTGCTTACCTCTAAGTCTGAACCTAAAAAACAGAATGGAAGTGAGTCACAAAAGAAGCACTGTCAGATTATTTTTCCTAACTCCAAATTTATTACCATACACTAAGAAAATACAGTAGAATCCAAGTTTTTCGAACCTCCAAGGGAAATGGAAGTTGATTAAAAAAAAAATGACGGTGGCATTGAATTACATCTGCTTCATCATGGTATTGTTTTATAACAACAAAGACAGCCACAGACAACAACAATATAGCACTCTAGCAAGTCAATGCAGTACCACAGCTCTTAATTATTTTACATACAAAATGTACACTTGCGCTGAAAAAGTACTGTACTGATATATAGCATGTGTTAATCTTGCACTGACTTAAATAGCATTTCCTTCCATTTACTGCTAACAGAAGCCCACAGATTGTGAAAAAAGTAGTACTAGTTCATTCACCCAGCTAAAATAACAGGCGATAAGCTCCTGTGTTTTTGGTTAAAAAAATTGAGAGCTTTGAAAAATTGGTTATTAAAAAAAATCAGGAATCTGCGGTACCGCCTGAATTTTAATTTCTAACTTACCAATGTAATATTGATAGATGGAGTTTGTTTGCCTAGCTGTTAAAGCAAATCTTTAAAAAAACATATCCTAGAATGTACCTAACCGTAATGTAAATGGTTGTTTGTCATAATCCAATTACTTCTAAAGCACTATTTCCATAAAAATGATCAAACACACTTTTCAGAGCAATGATATAAAATATATGCAAAATAAAATACAAAATACAGTAGAGTAATAACCAATCAAATAATCTTAAAAAATAAACCTGAATACAATCAAAACTTTTGGTCTACCATACTGAAAAAAACTGCTCTTGTAATTCAGTGGGCAGACTACCATATTTCCTCGAATAATAGCTGTCCCTCGATTAATCGCCTCCCTCATATAATCACTTCCCTTAGACAGAAATATTGAAAATAATCGCCTCCTTCAGATAAATGTCCACCCCTCCCCTCTTGCCACCTTCTCTTTCTTTTATCCCCTCCCTGTCAAGTTGAAGTGGAGTCTGATCCAGCAAAACTGACCAGTGACGAGTCAAGCTCTGACGCTGAAGATATTGACACTGAATATTAAACAAGTAACCAAATTTGACACACTTAGAAAGCTCATGTCCAGTTTATTTGACGTGATCTTTTTTTTTAATTCAATGGGATAATAAAACAAAATATTTAGGGCAGAACTTCCAGTGAGCAATATTTGAAATCATTGCCTCCCTCAAATAATCTCCTTCCCTTGGATAATCGGCCCCTTTTTGGGAGAAATTAATAATAATCATTCCCGGCTATTATTTGAGGAAATTCGGTATTTCATACTTCTGTTTGATCTAAGGTAACCTAAACTGCCAGTGGAGCAGTTTACATGGATCAACAAGTCTGGCTACCTCCCAGGCTGGGATGTAGCTTAATAATTATTAGCTTAATTTCAGTTTATTCATCCTTTATTAGGCAGGCACTTTAATACCATTCATATGTAAATACAATCTGTTGAACAACAAAGAAATTGAAAACAATGCTCATGCCAAATTTTGGAAGGAAAACAATAAGTATTATCTAATGTTACTTTTGAATACGGCCTATCCATTTCTTACGAGCACTATTTTTAGTGCAATTTACAGTGGGGTCTTTGTCATTCATGCTTCACATACGGTATGTGTTAATTTCTTTCAGAGGAATGGAATAATAGAGTTAGAAGAGTATGCAGGCAAGTGATGCATTTTTCTTGGTAGCTTTAAAAGAAGCCTATTTCATTTTCAAAATGATCTGCATGGCTAACCAACTCTGACTTTAGCAAAGCAGCCTCAAATCCCGGGGGGGATACTTCTGAGAATTCTTGGTGGGGGTGTGCCGCCCGCTTCTTCAGATCCTGACCTGATTTCAGACCAAAAAATGTAATTTTCCGCACCCATTTTCAGACTAGAACTCTAAAATCCATACCCATTTTCAGACCTAGCCTTTAGGTAGAAATTATGTTATCATTACTTAGATTAGAGTGCAAACAAAAAAATTATGCAAATCCATTTCGAATTTGCATATTTCTCTTTCTTTCCTTACTCATTTGGAATTGAAACGATAAATACGTTGATACACTCCATACCCAATTCCAGACCAAAATGGGCCAAGTGTATGTCCGTTTCAGATCAAAACGGTGCAAAAACCCTATCCGATAGGGGCGACACATACCTATATGGTCTATATAAGGGAATACCCCACCACCCCTGTCCCCTGCCCCCGGCCTCAAACACAGTGCAGTCTCGATTACAATTCATATTTGTAACAATAAATCCTCAGTTTACGTTCAATTATTTGATCTCTCACAACCAAAGGCAGTGGGAAAAACGTACAGGAGTTCCAGGTTTCTGGCATTAAATCCTCTGATGGAACCATGGAAATGAAATCTTTTTGTTTCACAGTATTTAACATTGCACTATTTGTTTTCTAGGATCTAAAAAAAATTACAGTTTGAATTTTTCTTTAAACTTAGAATTTGGCCTCCTCTACTAAAAAGTGATAGAGACGAAATATGAACAATACTTTTACCTGGGGAAAAGGGGTCCAACCATTCATTTCTTACAATTTTTAAAGCAATTACTTGTAGTGGAGGTCTTTGTTGTTCTGATGCTTCATAGCGCGACACATTTTGATGACAATCGACATACGACGAGCAGGCAAAAAGTACGCCCTTCACCTGACGACAATAGTGCAGTTGATGAACAATTTTATCAAAAATACGAAAAGGAAAGGATTGCAAACCAGGGATTGAGCAACAATGTTGACTAAACTTTCGCTTACGTTATGTAACTCACATTTTTGGATTCGTTAAGAAACTTAATATTACTTTTAAGCAAGGGAAATTTGCCAGTGGCAAACGTAACACAGAGGTCTATATCATTCAATAGAATAAAGACTTAATTTTCACCAAGTATAAAAGTTTCTAAGACTTTTTCGTGCATATATTATCTGGCATGGCCATATTCGATCGAACTGTAGCTAAAATACTTCGGGTTTTATTTAGGCAAGCCTTCAAAAATGTTAAACATTAGACATATCTTACCATTTACTACACCATTCCTAATCGGAGCTGTGACAGCATTAGACATGGCTATTTACAAAGAAATTCTCTCCAAAGCAGACAGATGCTACGTGGTTTTACGGCACAAGTGTGAGTGGGTGACTGACTGGTCGCCGAAACATTTCGTAATACCCTTCAAATATCGCGGGCTCCATCAATACTATTAACTGAGGGAGGGGTAGGAGTTTAAAACGCTATCTTGACAATAATGCCCATTTCTGTGTCCAGAACAACAATTACTACTTATCTCTAAATTACTTTAAAATATGATAATATGACAATAGACTAAATCACTCCATCGACGCCTGTTTGCAATAATCTTTCGTAACAGTGTATTCCTAACTTACCCTCCCTTCCCTTAGATGTGACGATGATGCAATCAGATGCAACAGGTCCGCCACGCGGGTTCTGTTCGATTTGCAAAAATCAAAATGGCAGAGATTCGCACTGAATTACGGATCGGTGTTCTGGCCATTCAGGGTGCCTTCTTTGAGCACAGGGCTGCCCTACTCAAAGCCTTAAACAACTCTCCATTTCATAAAGACGTTGATTTAGAAGTTATTGATATCAGGGAGCCTGAACAACTATCCGGTTTACATGGATTAATTTTGCCCGGAGGGGAGAGCACGACTATGAGTCTATTCCTTCAATCGAACAATTTCCACGATGTTTTGAGAGAATGGGTAGCGGCTAAAGAGACACCTAGGGTTGTCTGGGGAACGTGTGCTGGCCTTATCCTTCTGTCCAATGCCATAGAAGCTCAAAAGGAAGGCGGTCAGGCAAAGGTATGGATTAAGATTTTTCTTAGAGTTCCGGGGGGAGGGAAGCAGGGGTAAGTTGGGGGTGGCATCGTGGGTGTGGCTGTGGTCGATTTTGCTGTATGTTTTAAAATACGTATGCTAAGATACGTTAGCAATCGATTAAACATGACCTACACTCAGCAAAATGATACAGGGAGCTACAACAAAAATGTATGTTACTAGATGTATTAAGAAAACAGCTCTTTGAAGCCCTACTGCAAAAAACTCCCCCTTCCTCCCCAAAATAATGTTGAAGCCAAGCTGAATCATTTTTGCACCCAACGAGGGTGGGTTTAGGGAGGAGGCACCTGTGTAGTGGCTGTCCTGTGGGTAAGAAAGTGCCAAATTCTTTATAACACTTTTTGTCCAAGATTGTAGCTGCTTTGAAGAGAGGTTTAGATCTCTCCCATATTCATGTGTGTATTAGAAAGTGCAAGTTTTGCCAGTCTTTGAAATTTTCTTTTAATGTGAACAGAAAAATTTAGGGAAAGCAAGATGCTTATGTTGAGTCTTAAACACTTTGTTCTTGATCATTAGATTGGTGGTATTGATGTCACAACCTCAAGGAATTTCTTTGGACGCCAGGTGAACAGCTTTGAAACAGAAGTCAAACTTCACAGTAATCTTCTTTCAAATTGTAGTACAAGTAATGAAGGAGTCAGTGTGACTGAGAATGGTACAAGCTACCATGGAGTGTTCATCCGAGCTCCAGCAGTTGTGTCTGTTGACAGCCCTAAGGTAGAAGTTCTTGCGACTATTGACTTACCATATAGAAAGGAACCTGTTGTTGTTGGGGTAGCTCAGGAAAACCTGATGGCTACTGCATTTCATCCTGAATTAACAGAGGATACAAGGTGGCATGCATTTTTCTTAAAGAAAATTTTGGAAAAGATGAACGTGGGAAAACAATAAAAACCAAGACATGCCAGCACGGCAATCATGTGGCAAACACAAGACAAAAAAAGTGATGAAAAATAATAATGAATACATTGCATGTGATTAGACTTGTCAAGGTTTTTGGCTATATGATATACAGTGTCTTTCAAAATGGGTAAACCATAACTTTCAGTGTTATTATTATTTACCTAAAAATTTTGTAAATAAAGTATGCTATGTTGAATTTATTTAATTTGGGGATATCAAGCAACAAGGTAATGACATAATGTTCACTAATGTTGTCCTGGTAGAATTAATTGATGCATGGTTAGGTTGAAACTTGTAAAAACTATCATAAATGTTTGGTCCTGCATTAAAACACCTGTAATCAGAATTTGCAAGAAAATTTTATGAAATATTTTAGACCCTTTTACCCAATAATATTATTGACTCCAATGCTGCTTTATTGCCTAGAACGTTTTCACTCATGTGCTAAATTTAGTTATTTTCTTAATTTATTTTGAACGTACATGTATTTCTAAAATACTATAGCCGAAAATGTTTAGAATACTACATGTACCTGTGCTCACACTTTTTGTTAAATAAAATTAATCACCAGTAGTAAAGTGATGAAACTTTTTATTTTCTTTGCCATTGAGATGACCACATGTGTTTTCTTTTATGGTATTTATTGTGAATTGGTATTTATTCAATAACATCCATATTTTTTACTTTAGTGTTATTTATCATTAAATGCAGGTCTTACAATGACAAAGACCTTCACCCACCAGTGAGGTACCCTTGGGAGGGCATCAGCCTTTTGTCAGTCTTTCCGCAATGCTGGATTCTGAATTCTCACTTAAGTGCATGTGAGAGAGGTTTTTGACATGAAATGTATCTTCATTAGAACAGCTTTCAAATTTTTCTGAATAAAGTTTAACAAGGTAAAATTATTGCAAGTTATTGGCCTTGAAACAGGGACATACGACCACTGAAATGGTGACAGATGACACACAGGTGGATTAAAACTGCAACAGCATCAAAGACAAGTGCAAAATACCAACAGGGACATGGCTTCTTCCTTGATATACAAAACACAGGGTTTTGAAACTCAGATTAGGGACATACATCCCTCCTCCTATCAAGGTGTACCTAAGTAAGGGGTAGTTTGGCACCCTCCCTTCCCTTACTGTGTGTGAGTTTAGAAAGGTCTTTGAAAAGAGCTCCAACTTTCTTCTCAATTAAAGGAATGGCAAAAGAATTCATTTAGTAATTGTTTGACAACTACACAATTTATTTCTCGTTTTAAAAGTCTTCTGTTCTACTTTAGAGAGTTTATTATAAACATTGACATTTATACATTTTCATACTCAGGTTCTGGTCTCTATAACCTTCCTACATGTACCTAAACCTTTTTGTTGATATCTAGTTTGGGTGTACATATCTAAAGATGATTAGACTGTGAAGTGTCGCTTCTGGTGTATATGTAACATGAGCAACAAGGAGCAAAAATCCTGCTTCGCAACACTTGTGGTACACGGTGCTGCTTACATTCAAGAGAGAATAATATAGATGAGAGAGAATCTTAGGGTGTTGGCCGGGATAGGCGAGTTTCACTTAAGTTATTTTTAGAGGTTGTACCCAAATGGAAGTCTAATTTCTGAGATGCCCCAACATTTTAATGCATTGTTCAAAACCGTCAAGTCCATTCACAACTGCCTCAAAGCAAACAGTGCAGAATATTGTCATGGCGACTGTTGAATTCTATCTTAACAACACTAAGTAGAAGTTTGTGGACCTCTCCGGAAACCAACTTCCAATTAATTTGAAGCAATCTAAGATAACTGAATGTGGTGAAATTCACACATATTCTAAGGGCTAGACTGGGGGTTTTCCTCTCTGTGCCATTATTCTTTCTTGCTGCATTCTAAAAATTAATTTGAAAACCGAAAAATTTCAAACTCCCTGCGAGGAGCAAGGAGAGCCGGCTAAAGAACAATTAAGGGTCGACTCTCCTCAATTCTTTATCAACTAACATTCCCCAGAAACGGTCGAAAGTATGTATCGAATCCGTGTCCTTTCCATCCGGGTCAACAAGGTCCTTCCTTTCATTGGCCCATTTGAAAATGGCCCCTTCTAAGCTGTACACTTCCATGCTAGACTTGATATCCTGATTTTCAGGTTTTTCTAGTTCGTCTAATAACCGCTGTGACATGATGCTTGCCCGCCAACCAACAGCACAGTAGCATACTACTGCCATAGGATCTTGTGAGGTCCCAGCTAAAATAAAAACAAAAACCAGTGGGTATTTCATTTAAAAATGCCTTTAAACTTTTTTACTTACATGTTTTAAACGAATTCTATTCTATCATAAATGGTACCTTATTTACATACCTAGTTCAGAACTTTGCATCGTTTTAACTGCTGTAAACGCATTTATCTCCGCATAGGGAGTACCCCGGGAGGGGGTGGGTACTGCGAAATGGTTTGGGATAATTGCCCGTTAATTAATTATAGAAAAAGGAGTGTAATCCAGTGTCACCTTGGACGCAAGGCATTTTGCAGTCATACCTTCTTTCTGGATCATCTTCATGGCTTTGGTCAAATCGGCTTCCGCAGGGTCCAGACGTATCGCGTTAGCTAACCGGCTGACTCTGAATTCTTTTTCCTCGCGCGTGTCCTGTTGAGGTAAAAAAGGACCGATTAAAAACAAATATAAATTAGAAAAAGAAATTACTGCAGGATCTAGTCGGTTATTTTCCTGTGCCAAACAGTATTACATTGAATGTTGTGCATAAAAGTCAGAGTTTGTTTTCCTGTGGCCTTGTTAGTCTGGCTTTTCTTTTAGATTCGTTTTGTATTTTTCTGCTACAAAATGGCTGGAGACAGGACCGTTTTTTCTACCTGGCCATCCGAGTAACGCCGGAGTGTCTTGCCATTCGCAGGCCAGGCCAATGGAAGGAATCCGATCCCGCGACCTCCTGCTCCGCGCAGACCAGTGAACCCTGTATACCACTAGTCTGTTCCAGGCGTTCATATCGAATTTTACTGGAACGATTTTTGAAGCAACAACTTTTGTAATTACTGCGTTGTTTCACAAGCATGGCGCCTGAAATATGGCGCACAACAAAAAGTTGTGTGTATTGTTAAACGAAGCAGGTTTTATGCGCCCAAAGAATTTTAAAATAATCGCATTTAAACATAAAAGTCACCGGGACAAATTATATCAGGCCATTGGAAAAGTCTTTCCCGCATTTCAGTGAGTATTATGCTCAACGAGTCGTCTCAAAGGGTGCTAATGTGGGGTTGGCAGTTCAGGGGCACCCAACGATGGTTTCCCCCTAAATGCACTGACAACACTTTTTAGGCTATCTAGGGTACTTTTAGATCTCTAGAAATGCATTCTAAGCGGCGCTATAAAATTTGTATCTGTTCGATCGTCCTAGGGCAACTTGAGTCTTTCCGAAATTATAAGGGCTTCGGTATTATTTTCCCGAAAATTTAAGATGCAATTTTAAGTTTTACGAGAATGATAATTTTTCTGATTCTTCTCTCCGTCGCATTTTCGAATCCGAAAATTTTAGGTTTCCTTTTGCTACGAAAAATAGCCTGACTTGGGGACTAAAATGCGAAATTAAACTTTAAAAAATCGTAGCGAATTTATTAGATATGCTGCGAAAATTGTAGTACATATTAAATGGGACGGTCATCTAGAAATTTTTAGCCTTCCTCAAGCTATAGAAAATCTTAGGCAATTTTTGCTTCTCCGAACAAATATTTTACAGAAAACAGTCGCTGGGTGCCCCTGGCAGTTAACTGATATTTGGCCAAAAAACTAGTAGTTAACTGAGAAATGAAAAGTTAACAGTTACGTGACATTCTATTAATTAGACTCAGTACCATCGTTGATGTCAATGAAAGCAACAAAGTTTTGCAAACAGAAATGCTATTTTCTGATTTTTTTTTTCTGTCCCGCTAATGATCAATGACCCTGTGGCACATTAACGAATCAGATTATCATGTGCAAAAGGCACCAGAGCAGTACCCGGCAAACAGAAAGCGTCCGTCATAGAGCTGGTTGTAGACAACTCAACGAATAATTCGTAATTCTAATATTAACAAGATTTTTGTATTCGGATAAGGAAATACTGTTATCACAGACCCAAAAGGACGTCAAGTTAAACATTACTACCAAAGAAAAAAGCTGTGACTCTTAGCATTAGAATTTCTGATGGCTCAAAGAAATCAGAATCTTTCACTTAAGTACATGGAATTTGTACTTACGAGATAACATTTTTGTAACCGATGTTTCAGTTCCAGCTGTTGAGACTATTAAGCTAGCTCGTGTTCAAACCGGTCTTTCTGAAACAGTTTCATTTCTTAAAACCTTTGGATATCTTTATGACGCTTTTGAAATAGGCGAAAAAGGTAACACTGAGGGACGCGAACGAGGATGTCGACAAAGTCTGTATCGAGGTAAAAAAAACTTCTGACGACGCAGGTGGAAAACCTAAACGCGGTTTCTAACTTCAAATACTTTCATGCCTTTGTTAGCACTATCAACTATGTCTCTCCCATCGGTGCAAACAATGACAAAAGAATATGAAGCTGGGATGGGGGTGAGCTGAATAGAGAACTTTCGACCTGTCAGTTGACAACGAACTATAAGAAGCGAATCAACTCAAGATAAAGCGGGATCTTTACCACCAGCGTCATGGGACTATGACATGTTATTTGCTATCTTTGTAAAAAGCTAAAACTTTTTTTGGCATCAACTGAATTCCAAAAATAATGGTCCAGTTTTGGTATTTAAGACTTTATTTTGGCATTGATATTGTTTCTCGTCGTCCGTTGCAACGGATTGCAAGGTTTGGCAATGGATTGAAACTTAGGCCAACAATAAGATACATGACGCATACAGTAATTTCAAACAGATAAGTATATGACTGATTCAGATAATGAAAGTGACAAAAAAGGTGACTTTGAAGTAGTTTATGGCAGGACATGCATGACCAGTTCGGGAAGATCAGTACGAGATCATCACTGGTGCGTCTGGATCTATGGGGCTGTTGTCATAATGATGGTTATACGACTTGATCTAATTTGTACTTACAGCAAAAATCTGTAAATAGGTGTCCTAATAGCTATCGCTTACCCATTTTTGCTACTTCGGTAAGATAATTATGTTCTTTTTCATATTTTTAATTACTTATAAATTGTACTAGTGGTGGAGTTTATGTGAATTCATGTAAATTTATAACTTGATTTTAGTAAGGCCTGCCCCCAAAAGTGATCGACGTGCTGATGTAAAGAAAATTCCGGTTATGACAGAATAATATTTGCTGTAGGAAAGTAAAAGTTAATAGCTAACCAAAATTAGTGGTTAACTGAGAATTGGCCAAAAAAATAGTAGTTAACTGATATTTGGCCGAAAAATTAGTAGTTAACTGAGAACTAGGTACCCCCACTAGCACCCTCTTAGACGTCCTCAGGAGCCGACCTCCTCTTTTCAAATATGGCAAATGAGTATCAGTTTAAGCAGGGCGTGGCCTAAAACGTGACTTGAGCAAAAGAGGTTCTTAGTGAAAAATACGGATCTTGGCAATTGCCAAATATGGACAAGCCTTGAAGCGAACACGTACATCGTAATAACTAATTTACGTTACGATATACAATACCTAAAACTATTTGTTTTTAATGTTACTTTTTGATATTAAATAAAATTAGATTTCGTTTTCCAAGGCTGTACTTAAAAGCCTATCACTGTAAAAGTAAAATCTGGAATTAAAAAAGAAATGATATTGTTGTTGTTGTTATTATTGCTGCTGTTGCGGAACGTTTATATTCGTTAATCTATTTTCAATCCTTTTCCGGTCCATTTAAAGGGCGTTAACCACATTTTGTTTTTTTTCTTAAATTAACAATGCAGAAAAAAACAACGACAAAAAAGCCTATATAAGCTGCACCACAACAACTGGATAGCTATTTCTGTAAAGGAGGCAACCGATAAATCAAATGGCGGAGAGTTTGAGCGTCGAGGCTACTGTGAATCAATCCATTTGCTCAAACCAAACTAGTGAAGAAATGTATGTAAGCACTCGAACGTCACGGGAAAAATATTTTAGCAGTAAAGGGGAACTGATACGCCCAGAGGACATCCATGTTGAGATTGAGAACAGTGAAACGCACGGCAACTTGCAAAAAGCCGATGAACAAGAAGACATTGATCTCAGCAACACTGATAGTGCTTATCAGTGTAAGGATATTCCTGAGAGAATACAACAGAGCTCAAGTAATAACGCTGCGGATCATGACGACCAAAAGGTACGAAGGATTGGAATGGTTGAGGCCACTGAAAAAGAGCTCACTCAGAAACGAAGGCAGCAGACCAGAGTTCTTCTCAAGAAATTCGGTGAAGATATGGAAACGGCCGTGGATATGCCCAGGATTTTCACCAAGAAACTGTAAGATTCAAAAGCCGTTTTAAAATGATTCCAACATTTCCTTCATGGTTGAAAACTACTGATGAAAATAGCACGATTCATGACGAATATGATTATGATTATGGTTGTGAAGACAGATTTTTAATTTTAATCAGTTAATTGCCAATAGTACAGCCGGCTAATCGTGGCTATGGCTGTTCAAAATTAGGTAGTTGATGACGACAAATAACTTTTAAAAGTTATGGCTAGCGAACTTAAGGAGTCGCATGAGTAAATGATTCGGCGTTTAGTCCAAGTAAATTCGTTTAATTGCTTCATACCCGTCGACATTTTCAAAACTTTTTTCCCTGGATAGGCTGACAACAAAACGGTTCAGAAGATGTTACGAGTTTTATATTCCGCAAGCGTTGCCATTCCAAAAACTTGATTTTGACCAGACTTTTCGGCAAAAACGACATTTAAGTCTCTTCCAGGCTTCCTGTTTGATTTTGTTTTATCACGAGGCGACATATTATAACTGATTTTCATGACAACATTATTTTGTGATCTGTCGCTTTCACGCATTCTTGAGTTGATCCGCCGGGGAGCTTCAATTTGCGACTATTCCCTCTTGGTGTCTTAAACAAGCCAGTACCGTGATATAATATTAACATTCAAAAGGCACATTTTATAGCTCAGATTGGTCGCATACAGGTTGTTTACTCAAACGAACAGCTTTTTTTTATTATTATTTCCAATGTTCCAATTCCATACCTGCAAATGATAGCTAAATGATTTTGTCATGGGTTGTGTAAAGAGCTTCTCAGTTACGTGGGTTTTGTAGAATTAGCATCAAGTGATCTTTCTGGCTCTCACAGTGAGTACATAAGGATTTATGTATTTATTCATTTATTTATTTGTTTATTTATTACCCTCAGTTTTGTAAATAAGTGAATTTTTTGGTGCATCAATACTGTCACAATTTTCTTTAAGACGAAGGCCATTAAGACCGTTGGACAACTATGGGACTGTTGTTAAGGGAAAGTCTTTACACGTTCTAATTCACTGCGCTCAAATTAACGTAATCATAGCGTCAATTTTCTCTTCGAATGCTACTGTAAAACATGTCAAACAACTTAAGATAATGGTTGGTTATAGTTGACTAAAGTATAGTTGACCCGTCATAGTTATGTTTTGTCTGTTGAGCAGTTCAAATGCACAATAACCTTTCAGTTTAAACACAACGAAGCTGTCTAAATCGTAAGAAGAGTCATTCAGCTTTTAAGGGATGAGGATAATGGATAGCTCCATTAACCACGTCCGCTGTTCGACGGACACTTGGTGGAAATAATATATGTACCTTGAAATAACAGACATATCGTCGATATTTTAGGTGCCTCTAGCTATAGAGATAGATTATTTTTATTGCAAAACCAAATGTGGCAATACGTTTCTCGGCGGCTTTCTCACACAAGGTGCGATTTCTAAGGAAGGCCTTATAGGACCTAGGAATAGCCGGACTATTTTACTGTTGTTGTCTTAGTACTGACCCTAGTCCTCGACCAGGAATGCGAGGCTGAGTTTGACCAAGTTTTGATAAAAACTTCCTTTATTTTCTTACAAAAACTATGCTTTAAAAATACTAAGCTATACTAGTTAGCGCAATAACAACAAGATTTACATAAGAAAGCGGAAAGGGTTGTATCAAAACAAGGTCAACTGCTACCATGTAATCATGGTAACATGGTTTATTGCTCCGCAATACAATAGAAGAGATTGAAGCTTTAATCTCAATACGATAGCCATTCGACGCACAATGTTTTTTAGTTTTAACTGTGCGTAAACTCCTGGCGACTGAAGACCATATAAAAGACCATATTACTTGGGAGGAGTGACTGTGGCGGGGAAATCTCTATTCCTCATAAGCTCGGCTTCTCGGAGATTTCCCCGCCACAGTCACTCCTCCCAAGTAATGCACAAATTTTAAATTTAATGTTAGTTAACCTATTTATTATCGTTTTTATTCTGCTTGTAATTCATTGTGTGTGGCAAAATAATAAAATAAATAAATAAATAAATAACATTTTAACCCTACAGCCAAGATCCTCCATCTTTCTTTTTATCATCCACGGAGGTGTGTACGACAACAAATCATCTTTCGCGCCAAAAAAAGTCTAAGCCAATCAGAGCAGAGTAAGATTTCCAGCAAACACCTTTGTGGTGAAAAACGAGCAACTTCGCGGGAAAAGAAATCTAACATGGAGTTTTTATTTTAAAAAGTCTGAACGAACGTTATGTGAGACTTAAATATTGGTTGCAAGTGGAACTCCAGGGTGAAGGCAGGTGATGATGACGAACTCCTTTGGCCGTAATTTCTCTTTGTGTCGTTTGTTTTTCAACATTTTAACAAAAGATGGTTCAGTTTTTTCTGGGTGGAAATTGTTTCAAGTCCCCCAAAATAAATTGAGGCACCCGAGAGGCAGGTGCATAGAGTCCCTCGGGTCGTTCAAACGCGCCATCACTGGGTAAAGCTCTTTAAGGCACGGCATTCACGGAAAGCAGCTTTTTTAATATCAGGAGCGTAGCGTGGTTTTTCCGGTTAGGTACGCGCTGGAAGGCGTAGTGAAACAAGCGCCAAAGGCGCAAGCCTCTAGGGGGTCTGGGGGCATACTCCTCAAGAAAAATTTTTAATTATTTTTAGGGCCTCGGAAATGCTATTTCCCATGATTTTCAGGTGGAAGTTTCATAAATAACTTAGCATGGAAAAAAGCTAACTTTTCATTAACTTTGTTGTTTATTTGTCAACCTTTAGTACTACTGATATATGTGTATATTAGTTATAAACTGTAAATGTGGCAACAGGAAAAAAGTCAGGCGTCTCCCTTTACAACGGGAATTCGGAAACTACTTTGTCAATATCACGATTCTTGCGCTTGTGTATGTGGTGCATTGCCAAAGTGGCTCACTCATAGTGCTACGAAGAGGGGTTTTTGAGTCCCTTCATGCCGCTAAAACTGCCTTCGGCTGCGCAGGTTGACACAGGATACGTTAGCAAAGTGACAAAAGCGACATACATCCCTGGATAGAACTGGCGGCTTGCGTCATCAAGGGTCCCGTCGACCAGAGTTGTGGTTTCACTTTTTTCTTTATGTATTTCATAACTTTTTTCTTAAAGCAAAAATATATAAACAACGAAAAATCACGTCCTCTTCTGGTAAATCGAGAATTCTAGAAGGACAAAAAACCTTTTTAAAATTATTTGATTCAATTTTCAAAAAGAAACTTCACTTTCGGTTGGTTCCGCTTCATTGACCTTGTTAATCACACTCCGGCTAAAAAAGTCGCAGGGTTTTGAACCCATATTGGAATGTTCAAATAGAGCAATTTTCACAAAGTTTTCTTCTCGTAAAATAGCAGCAATACAAAAGAAAAGGGTGCATGTGTAAAGGTCTCTTTTCGTCAAAAAAATCTATAAATAATAAAGAAATAAATAATTAAATAGACCTTGTCACGGTTTTCGACGCCATCTTGGCGAGTAGGCAAACTTGTGAGAAATTACCATCCTGATTACAGTGTTTGTATGAGAATGTAATGTCGAATAATTTCCGTAAAACAGCTGTTTAAAAAAATATATAACTGTAAACTAAAGCTACAAAGCAAAGGATTGGACTAAAAAAATTTGGGGGCGTACCTGTTCTTAAATTTCTCCAGAGGCTTGCTTCAGATTTCCATATATTTGTCTGTAATTTTTCCCGGGACTTTCTTACAAATGTTTTGAAAATTTAAAAAAGTGGTTCTAGATCTTCTAGCACATGTAAGGCCCTCGATTTTTTTCAGTAGAATCCTTAGGAGTGAAACTTTAGTTTACAACCGATATTTTTTTTCAGAACAGCCGTTCTAGGGAAATTATTCGACAGTAGATTCTCATGCAAACATAGCCTGCGTACCAAGCGTTTCCTCGCGAGGTTCGTCTAGAAAACTGGGACAAGAGCAAAAAAAAAAATTAATGACGGGGGAGGGGGAGGGGAATGAAGGAACACTGTAATTTCTCACGCGTTTGCCTACTCATCAAGATGGCGTCGAAAACCGTGAGAAGGTCTATAAAAAATCTCTATTTTTAAACTTTTGAGGTACGCACGTGCGTATGTGAGTATATGGTCGCTACGCTCCTGAATATAGTGTAGTTCAATGCTTAGTTTAATATAATCAGAGCTGTGTAGTTACAGTTTCATAACTTTTGGTAAATTGCTGATGAATTGCTCGTGGTTTAAATAAAGTTTATCTGCCTTCTATCTAAACGCAGTTTGCGTGAGTTTAATGTGATGCATAATGCAAATTTAAAAGGATAGTGCAGCTACGTTTTAATTACGTAATGAATAGAATCGCTTCCTTCGCGAAAAAAAGACGGTCAAATCCAAGAGAAAAATTACTCAGTTATCACCTCCTATTCTTGGTAAACAATAATTTCGTGACTATAAAGCAGCGATGATGTTTTTCCATCGAGTTTATAATCCCGGAAATTGTCTGATACTCTTGAGTTGAGCACCCCATGTTACATGCATGTCACGACCTTGTCTGGCTTTTGTGCCCCATTTTTGTTTATAGTGCGGCTCTTTGAAACCGTTCAACGTTGCTGCTTACATTAAAACTGAACGAATTTTTGAAAAAGATAAAACAGAAACAACAAAAACAGCAGCAACAACAGCCGTATATCAAAGTGCTGTTAGGCTCCTCTTGCTATGTTCCGAAAGTGTATTTTTGTCTCAGCTACACTGAGTGTCAACACTGTTGTAACCCTGTCTAATTAGGCTTGTATATGCACTATGCCACCTACACTTTGATGGCTAAGCTTGCTGCAGACAGTGTTTATTGTCACGAAATTTGTAATTACTGTTGACGTTGGTTGTTGTTGGTTGTTGTCTAGTACAAAATCTAATAAACCTAGGGCGAGTTTTGAATTTTTCCTGTACATATTTAGCTTTAGTTCTCGATTGAAAGCTGTAAGTTAGCACTAACCGCAAGGGCAACGCAAGCCGATAACAAGGGACAGAGTTTCATGAACTCTTTGGAAACTGCGCACCGAGGTCTGCGGTATACACAGTATACAAACAGCTGAAAAAACTAATGACGTAGAACATCTCTTGCTTACCAACAAGACGAGCTTTCTGTAACCTGACTGTGATGCGGTCTTCTTCATTAAATGCTGTAGCTCGTCTGTGGTCATCACCGGCACTCTCGGGTATGCTCTCTTCAAAGCGCCAATTATCATTCTCAGAGCCATGGTTAAACCCAAACTACAACTCCGTCGCAAAAGTACACGTAAAGTACTGCGGTTAACAATGACAACAGTCAACACGGTTCTCGAAGTTTTAGGGGCACGAAATAATTATGCAAGTTGTATTGTTTCAGCTTTTCTCCGATAATTTATGGTAACGCAATTGCTGACAAAATGGGTGTTTCCACTGCATTCGTACTGAAGTCAGGTTGTACACAACGCGAGAGAAGAGGAGGGAAGGTGGAGGAGACGAATCAGGGCAACAATCCGCGGCAGCAACGTCAGTTTAAAAACAAGCGGAAACTGAAAACCAGCTTTCAGCACTGAAATGTTATTTTATTTCATGCAGGTTTAGAATAAATTCAAGCGGGAGAGCTTTTCCCTAATTTCTTTTTGGGGCTACCTTCCAAAGAGGTCACAAAGGCGTTAAGTTGGCAAGAAGCTCACGTTATGAGCAATGGCTATCTCTAGGACAGAGTAGTGTGTGTCGTTACCTCAGAATGTTATTTGACCACTAATCCACCATTCAGAACATTGACTACGGCAGCCCTCCTCGATAATGTTTCGGTAGAAAGTCGAACCTTGCGCGCAATTGCGTAAGCGACCACGCCAAATGCTAATATTTAGTGGTCGCTTGCGACAATCGAATCACAGGATGTCTCTTCAGGGATAAGGTCCTGGCATATTTTCGGAAGAGAATTCACTGCATGCTATTTCTTAGTTAAGATATATGTAGTTCCATGCCATCACCAAAGTTCTTTTTATGATCCGATTAGCGTAGTTCATACAGCTAACATTGAGATCAGACCATGTGTCGAGTGGTGGCCTACAACATTGTGCGAAGCAGTTACGCCCAAAAGTGGTCGCGGTCGTTTACCACTTTCCAGCGGCTTTCGGCTTTCGGCTTTTCGGTTTTAACTGTGTTTTGAATAGGTCATCGTCATGAAGAGAAGCAGTCGCTTACGAGAGTTGGTCGCGTGTGGAGGTTCGACTGTACTTAGTATTAGACTTGATCGGTAGAAATGCAAATTGTAGGTCCATGTAGTCCGGTTGGTAATCGATTGACAATACAACTACATCTTTGCTTCTGTCAAGGAGGTTTGCATAGCAGTCTCTTGGCGTGACTCACAAGGTTCTGAACTCCGCAATTCAGCATTAAGAAGCTTTCCCCAAACTATATTATAAGGATGAACATACACAGTTTTTCTTCTCTTGTTGTCTTCAAGATCTTTCCCCTCGTTTGCCCATTTAAAGATTGAACCCTCCAAATTATATATGACAGTTTTTGATTTCAATTCTTGGTGGACGGGTTTATCCAGTTCATACGCCAGCTGTTGAGCAAGAGCACTAGATCGGTAACCCAAGGAGCAGTAGCATACAACTGTCACAGGCTCACCTATTGACGCACCTTGGAGATAAAGAGGGAAGAGAGCATGATGCAAGGGTGCGATCCATTTAATCCAAATGTTTGAAATTTCGTAAAGGTCAATAGAATGTGAATTTCGAACCTTGAATTAAAAGACAAGAATAAAAAAAGACCCCATTGTGTTTTGAACCAAAATTTTGCAGAAAGTTTGGTTTGACAATTTTGGCAACAAAGTTTTCCTGTACAGTAGAGGTTGTTTTGCAAATTGAGGGTTCCGTGCGCCAAGCATTTTATGATAATTAAACATGAGGAAGGCCAAGAGGAAACCCTTTGCAAAAGCGCAAAGGAGTTGAGAAGGGAAGACCCAACGATATGAGAAAGTTGTGCTTCAAGGTTTTCACCTTTCCAGTGTTTCTTTAAAAGCTGTTTTTTAGACTGTGAGCGGTCTCTTATTTTTCTTTACAAAGTTACTGCACGCGAAACCTAAGCATGCGAGCTGCAATAAGAGAGGCAATCGCGCGGGCTGAGATAAGAGCTAGACCTATTTTAAGCAAAAAAAGGCAGACTGCAAGCAGTCTGTTGTTTTTTCACACAGTGTGTAAAGCCCTGTGCCAACAACTCCCAACATTGTTGGATGTTACACGTTGCGTCCGTTTTCACACGCTGTTGCATGTTGTTGGGAGTTGTTACGCTAAGTTGAAACCGATCAAACTTTTAGCTACATGCAAACAGACGCAACATTGTTTGGGAGTTGTTGCGTCTGTTTGCATGTAGCTTAAAGAAAATAATGTAAAAAAAGGCAAGTGCATTGCAGATAGGCATTGCACTACACAAAAAAAGGTAAGGTAAAGGCGCACACCAGCCAAAGGCCCAAACGGCCAGAGCTTATCCCGGTTTCCTTAGCATGAAGCACCTAGGAAGATTGCTACTCCCCCCTGGACGGGATGCTAGTCCATCACAGGGCTACCCCCAGCAGTATGTTGCCAGTACCCATTTATACACTGGGGTGGAGAGAGACAAAGTGAGTAAAGTTCCTTGTCTAAGGAAACAACGTGACGGATGAGGCTTGAACCCCTGACCTCCAGATCTGGAGTTCGAGGTGTTACACACAAAACCATAACGAAAATCTTCTTTCCCACACTTTAATACATCTCTGGTCAATAACATGAAACCTTATAATCTTACTGCCCTAACACTTTGAAGATGCAAATAAGAACAAAGGTCTGTGTATTCAGGGGAGAGAAGGGGTACTATTATAAAATTTAGTACCTGATTCACCAATCAATTTAACAACTTTCTCCAAGTTCGTTTTGTGATGTGCTTTACAGAGATGGCTGACTTGAAACTCTTTCTCCTCACGAACATCCTACAACGAGAGAATTTTGTAAGTGTTACATGGAACGTGACTGGGAGGTCCAATTTTTTTGTTTAGCAACATGGCATTTAGTAGAGGCTGAGGAATATTGAACTTGACCTACAATAATAACTGTCAAAATTTTGGGGAAGTACTACTGTTCTGTTTTATCCCAACATTGAAAAGGGAGGACGTGGAAATAATAATTAGCAAACGGAAAAACCTTAACCATCTTTTTTGAACACTAAAATGCACATCTGTACCATATGTTTAAGCTTTGACATAAGGAACCTGTTGTTGTTGGGGTAGCTCAGGAAAACCTGATGGCTACTGCATTTCATCCTGAGTTAACAGAGGATACAAGGTGGCATGCATTTTTCTTAAAGAAAATTTTGGAAAAGATGAACGTGGGAAAACAATAAAAACCAAGACATGCCAGCACGGCAATCATGTGGCAAACACAAGACAAAAATAATGATGAAAAATAATAATGAATACATTGCATGTGATTAGACAGCGTCTTGTCAAGGTTTTTGGCTGTATGATATACAATGTCTTTCAAAATAGGTAAACCATAACTTTTAGCACTATAATTTTATTACTGGTATTTAACTAAAAATTTTGAAAATAAAGTACGCTATATTGAATTTATTTAATTTTGGGATATCAAGCAACAAGGTAATGACATGATGTTCACTATTGTTGTCCTGGTAGAAATAACTGATGCGTACTTAGGTTTAAACGTGTCAAAACTATGATAAATGTTTGGTCCTGTATTTAAACACCTGTAATCAGAATCTGCAAGAAAATTTTATGAAATATTTTAGACCCTTTTACCCAATAATACTATTGACTCCAATGCTGCTTTATTGCCTAGAACTTTTTCACTGATGTACCAAATTAAGTTATTTTCTCAATTTATTTTGAACTTACTTGTATTTCTAAAATACTATAGCTGAAAATGTTTAGAATACTACATGTACCTGTGCCCACACATTTTGTTAAATAAAATTATTAATAACCAGTAGTAAAGTGATGACAGTTTTTATTTTTTTGCGATTGAGATGACCATATATGTTTTCTTTAATGGTAGTTATTGTGAACTGGTATTTATTCAATAACATGGATCCATATTTTTTACTTTAGTGTTATTTATCATTGTAAGACCTACATTTTAAGACCTTTGGCAATTCACCCACCAGTGAGGTACCCTTGGGAGGGCATTGGCCCTTTGTCAGTCTTTCCACAACGCTGGTTTCTGAATTCTTACTTTAGTGTTGGTGAGGGAGGTTTTTGACATGAAATTTATCTTCACTAGCACAGCTTTCAAAATTTTCTGAATAAATTTTAACAAGGTAAGATTCTTGCAAGTTATATGGCCTTGAAACAGGGACATAAGACCTCTGAAATGGTGACAGATGACACACAGGTGGATTAAAACTGCAACAGCATTGAAGACAAGTGCAAAATACCAACAGGGAAATGGCTTATTCATCAGTATACAAAAGATAGGGTTTTGAAACTCAGATTAGGGACATGCATCCCTCCTCCTATCAAGGTGTACCTCAATAAGGGTTAGTTTTGCACCCTCCCCTCTCTTACTGTGTGTGAGTTTAAAAAGGTCTTTGAAAAGAGCTCCAACTTTGTGCTCAATTAAAGGAACAGCAAAAGAATTCATTTAGTAATTGTTTGACAACTACACAATTTATTTCTCGTTTTAAAAGTCTTCTGTTCTACTTTAGAGAGTTTATTATAAACATTGACATTTATAAATTTTCGTACTCAGGTTCTGGTCTCTATACCCTTCCTACATGCACCTAAACCTTTTTGTTGATATCTAGTTTGGGTGTACATATCTAAAGATGATTAGACTGTGAACTGTCTCTTTATGTCCTATAAAGTTCATGAGGTGGCATATGTAACATAGCGACAAGAAGCAAAAATCCTACTGCGCAACACTTGTGGTACACGGTGCTGCTTGCATTCAAGAGAGAATAATATGGATGAGAGAGAATCTTAGGGTGTCGGCCGGGATAGGCGAGTTTCACTTAAGTTATTTTTAGAGGTTGTACCCAAATGGAAGTCTAATTTCTGGGATGCCCCAACATTTTACTGGGTTGTTTAGAACAGTCAAGTCCATTCGCAACTGCCTCAAAGCAAACGGTGCAGAATATTGTTATGGCGACTGTTGATTTGTATCTTCACAACATTAAATAGAAGTTTGTGGACCTCTCCGGAAAGCAACATCCAATTAATTTGAAGCAATCTAAGATAAATTTGGGAAAATTCACATATACTCTAAGGGTTAGACTGGGGTTTTCCTCTCTGTGCCATTATTCTTTCTTGTTGCATTCTAAAAATTAATATGAAAACCGAAAAATTTCAAACTCGCGGCAAGGAGCGTGAAGAGCCGGCTGAAGAACAATTAAGGGTCGAGTCTCCTCAATTCTTTATCAACTAACATTCCCTTTAAACGGGTGAAAGTATGTATCATATCCGTGTCGTTTCCATCCGGGTCAACAAGGTCCTTCCTTTCATTCGCCCATTTGAAAATGGCTCCTTCTAAGTTGTACAACTCCAAGCTAGACTTGATATCCTGATTTTCAGGTTTTTCTAGCTCGTCCAATAGCCGCGTTGCCATAATGCTTGCCCGCCAACCAATAGCACAGTAGCATACTACTGCCATAGGATCTCGTGAAGTCCCAGCTAAAATAAAAACAAAAGCCAGTGGGTATTTCATTTTAAAATGCCTTTAAAATTTTTAATTTCTTGTTTTAAAAAAATTCTATTCTATTATAAATGGTACCTTATTCACATACCTAGTTCAGAACCTTGCATCGTTTTAACTGCTGTAAAATACGCATTGTCTTTAAAATATCTCCGCATAGGGAGTACCCCGGGAGGGGGTGGGTACTGCGAAATGGTTTGGGATAATTGCCCGTTAATTAATTATAGAAAAAGGAGTGTAATCCAGTGTCACCTTGGACGCAAGGCATTTTGCAGTCATACCTTCTTTCTGGATCATCTTCATGACTTTAGTCAAATCTGTTTCCTCAGGGTCCAGATGTATCGCGTTAGCTAACCGGCTTACTCTAAATTCATTTTCCCCACGTGTGTCCTGTTGAGGTAAAAAAGGACAGATTAAAAACAAATATAAATTAGAAAAAGAAATTACTGCAGGATCTAGTCGGTTATTTTCCTTTGCCAAACAGTACTACATTGAATGTTGTGCATAAAAGTCAGAGTTTGTTTTCCTGTGGCCTTGTTAGTCTGGCTTTTCTTTTAGATTCGTTTTGTATTTTTCTGCTACAAAATGGCTGGGGACAGGACCGTTATTTCTACCTGGCCATCCGAGTAACGCCGGAATGTCTTGCCATTCGCAGGCCAGGCCAATGGAAGGAATCCGATCCCGCGACCTCCGGCTCCGCGCAGACCAGTGCAGAGGATGAACCCTGTATACCACTAGTCTGTTCCAGGCGTTCATATTGAATTTTACTGGAACGATTATTGAGGCAACAACTTTTGTAATTACTGTGTTGTTTCACAAGCATGGCGCCTGAAATATGGCGCACAACAAAAAGTTGTGTGTATAGACCTTGTCACGGTTTTCGACGCCATCTTGACGAGTACGCAAACGCAGCCGAAATTGCAGTGTTTGTATGAGAATCTAATTTCGAATAATTTCCGTAAAATGGCTGTTCTGAAAAAAATATGATTTGTAACCTAAAGCTTCATTCCTAAGGACTCTACTGAAAAAATTTGAGGGCGTTACATGCACTAGAAGACCTAGAACCACTTTTTAAATTTCCTATACATTTGTATGTAAGCAAGTCCCCGGAAAATTACAGACAAATATATGGAAAATCTAAAGCAAGCCTCTGGAGAAATTTAGCACAGGTACGGCCCCAAATTTTTTTAGGTCAATCCTTTGCTTTGTAGCTTTAGTTTACAATTAATATTTTTTTTGAGAACGGCCGTTTTACCGAAATTATTCGACAATAGATTTTCATACAAATATCAGTAATTTCTCACACGTTTGCCTACTCGTCAAGATGGCGTCGAAAACCGTGACAAGGTCTATTGTTTCGAATTGTTAAACGAAGCAGGTTTTATACGCCCAGTTAATGTTAAAATAATCGCATTTAAACATAAAAGTCGCCGGGCCAAATTATATCAGGCCATTGGAAAAGTCTTTCCCGCATTTCAGCGAGTATTATGCCCAACGGGTCGTCTCAAAACATCTTAGACGAGGGTGCCAATGTCGGGTTGGCAGTTAACTGATAGTCGGTCAAAAAATTAGTAGTTAACTGAGAAATGAAAAGTTAACAGTCAAGTGCCATCCATTAATTATACTCAGTACGATCGTTGATGTTAATGAAAGCAACAAAGTTTTGCAAACAGAAATGCTATTTTCTGACTTTTTCTGTCCCGCTAACGATCAATGACTGAGTGGCACATTAACGAATATTATTATCTGCAAAAGGCACCAGAGCAGTACCCGGTTAACAGAAAGCGTCCTTCATAGAGATGGTTGTAGACAACTCAACGAATAATTCGTAATTCTAATATTAACAAGATTTTTGTATTCGGATAAGGAAATACTGTTGTGACGGACCCAAAAGGACGTCAAGTTAAACATTACTACCAAAGAGAAAAGCTGTGACTCTTAGCATTGGAATTTCAGATGGCTCAAAGAAATCAGCATCTTTCATTTAAGTACATGGAATTTGTACTTACGAGATATCTTTTTTGTAAGTGATGTTTCAGTTCCAACTATTGAGACTATTAAGCTCGAGTTTAAACCGGTCTTTCTGAAACAGTTTTATTTCTTAAAACCTTTGGATGTCTTTATGACGCTTTTGAAATAGGCGAAAAAGGTAACATTGAGGGACGCGAACGAGGATGTCAACAAAGTCGAGTCTGTATCAAGGTACAAAAATCTTCTGATAACGCAGGTGGAAAAAGTTGGATACATGCGGTTTCTCACTTCATTCGACACGAAACATTTCAAATATTTAAACGTAGTATAGCCAGTGTTTACCCCGGTAACAAAACCGCGTTCTACGTCATTTTCAATTTGCCAAACGTTTTTGCCTATCAAACATCATTTATTATTGTAAAGAGTTTTAGAAAAGCACTGACAGAGAATAATAGAGAAGCATTTACTTGAGTTCTTAAAACAACCCACCAGAGAAGAGATTTGGAGGTTCAAAGATTCGTTAAACCAGGGCTTAAGTGACACTTCGTTTTCATTTTTTAAGTTGATTCATTTCATTTATTTTGTCATTAACCAGAAATCCAACAACAGTATACAGAAATACATTAAAGATAATATACAATATTCCACTGAATTAAGTTATTTACAAGATTAAATGTGGTAAAGGCAAGGAAGCCTGTATAGAATCCGGGGGCTTATAAACTATAGGCTTCCTGGAACTATAGGGTAAACCATACTGAATGAAAATTTGGATTCATTTTTTAAAGAAAAAAAAGAAAGAAGAGAAAAAAGAAAAGAAAAGGTGTGTAGCTCAACAAAGAGTCAATTTAACTAAGAAAGAAGGAATTTTTTAAGTCTTTTGCCAAACAAATTGATACTTTCACTGTTTTGAATTTCCCGACTTAGCGAGTTGAAAAACGAAGGACCTTGAAACCGAATTGAGAATTTTCGAAAATTAGTTCCACAATGAGGTATACAGAAAAGGCTGGAATTTCTTGTATTATAAGAATGTATCCGGCTTGCAAGAGTAAACACATCACGAAAATAATTTGGAAGTAAGCCTCTTTTAAAAAGATACATAAATTTACCTATTTAGTATAAATAAATGTCCGAGAATTTTAAAATCTCCTGCTCTTTAAAAAGAAAACCGGTAAGAAACTTTAGATATTATTCTGATTATCTTCTTTGCAGAATAATAATCCGATTTAAATTAGACTGATATGTCGATCCCCACACTGAAACACAATAAGTTAAGTAAGGGTAAACTAAATTATACAGTATGTCCTTGGTCCGCGCAAGTCCGCGATGCCCTTGGTCCGCGCCTTTTCCGAAAATGATAAAATATTTCGTCGAGAAAAAAAATACGTTGAATAATGAAAGATATCGTGATTTACTGATTAGCATTCTTTCATATGACGAAGTTTCAGCCTCCTTTTTCTGTGGGTGAAGGCACAAAATTAAAGTTTGTTGACAGTTAGGTTAATTTGTCTTTCTTGAAGTTTGGATTTCTGCGGCACCGTAAATTACATGGTCATGTTTACTTAGCCTGCGAATAAATAAAACGCAACGGGAAGACGTGACTTTTTGCAGAACAGGTTTTCAGATCAACTTTTTTCTGCTGTTGGAAGCATATTGCTGTAGACTTTGAATTTTTTGTTGTATCGACTCTTGAAAAATATCACCAAATTTCGCTTGGCGGTCCTTGGTCCGCGACTTATGACCTGGTTGAATAAAACTTCGCAAAACAAAAAGCGACGGCCTTTGTTTTCAAAAAATGTTTTGAAAATCGTCCCTATACATGTCTACAAGTTCTCTTTTTTTAATACCTCGCATACATACAGAGTTTTTGGTAATTATTTTCGACCGCGCTGAAAACCGCTCGCGACGCTCATGTAGGAGACTCGAGGAGACTGTTGTCTGAAGTCTTTGAAAGAAGAGCAGATTATTTTATACTCACAACATCTTCCGAAAAAAAAAACTTTAGCTTAATTGCATCAAGAAAAGAAAAAAAATACATGAAATTTGTGAAAATGACGATTTCCTGTGGAAACTATAACATTTTTTCGTGCTGGTTACCTGAGACGCGGACCAAGGGCCACATTCGCGGACCAAGGACCATCGAAAACGGTCGCCTTTTTTCGAACTCCAAGCAAAATATTTAGGTCTGGAACTTGAAACTTCAGGATTATCGAGAAGAACATAAAAGCTATCTTCAGGAAGTATTTCAGCTCGTTACGTATTGAAGATTCGTTCAATAACATTGGTCAATTTGAAAGATATTCAAGTTAATGACTTTTTTTAAACACGCGGACCAAGGACCACATACTGTAGTACAAGGTTGTCAACGGTGTGTGATATCAACTGTGCATTCTTTAACTTAACAAGAGAGATGGTAGGTGGTTAAAACTATTTCCTTGCTCATTTACAGCATCTAGAAATATTAAATAACTGGTTTTCAGTGGCCCACCCCCGAGTTAATTTCCCAGAAGGCGATTCAGAAAGGAACCCTTAAAGCCTAAATTTACAATGGATGCTATTTTGAAACAATCAGAAAGAAATGCCCAGCGGTTCACTAAAAAGTCTGGCAAAATCTATAGATGATAGTGATTATGATGATGATGATAATGATCCTTTTGCAAAAGAAACATTCGTCTCGAAGAGAAGAGTGAAAGGAGGAGGACGAGGAGGAGGAGGAGGATGGTAATGCTTCTTAACAAAGAGAGATGGTAGGTGGTTAAAACTATAAATAAGTAATTTAAGGTAAATTTACAATGGATGGTAATGGTGAAGATGACTAAAGATGATTAGAAGAAGATATTAAAAAAGATGTGAACATAAGTTAGGTTTATGAACACACAGTAAAGCTTTGTTCTAGATTTTATACTATAAAAAGTTTCCTGCGTGACTACTCTTCAGATTTAAAGACTGTACATAAATAGAAACAAAATATTCAATATGTGAATTCCTGTTGTCATATAAAGTTGGATTAATGTGGAAAAGTAGATTTATTATTTAAAAAAATATTTTACTAACTTTTGTAGTGATATGTGAATAATTTAACATGACCCACCCCTAATGTAGTGCATTATTTTTCCTGACCCACCCTTTTAATGTGTTAAAAAATAGAGACCCATCCCCAATTTTTCATAGCCCACCCCCACCTGTACTTTATGACTGGTCCCTTAGTGAAATATTTGCAAAAGAAATTAGCTATTTCCTTTGGATTGGAAATTTCTCGAGAATCTGCCCTAAATATATATGGCAAACCACGCTTTCCTTTATTTCTATTTAGGATTTCATTTAGAACTTTCCAAGTGGCCTTGACATTTGATTTTAGTTTTTCAATTTGTTTTTCATAATATAAACGCTTAGCAACTCGAAGAGAATGAGTAAGTTTGTTTCTGTACGACTTATATGCATTTTGACTGGAAGAGTTAGGGTTATTAAGGAATGACTGATATAACATATTTTTCTTCCTTATGGATTTAGCACGGCATTCACGGAAAGCAGCTTTTTTTTTTAAATATAGTGAGTTCAATGCTTAGTTTTACATAATCATAGTTGTGTATTACAGTTTGATGAATTTTTTTAATTAGCTGCTGAATTGCTCGTGGTTAAATAAAGTTTATCTGTCTTCTATCTAAACGCAGTTTGCGTGAGTTTAATGTAAAGCATAATGCAAATTTCAAAGGACAGTGCAGCTACGTTTTATATTAGTGTTGAACAGAATTCCTTCCGTCGCGAAAAAAAAAAAGTCAAATCCAAGAGAAAAATTACTCAGCTGTCACCTCCTATTCTTGGTAAATAATAATTTCGTGATTATAAAGCAGCGATGATGTTCTGCCTTCAAGTTTATAATCCCGGAAATTGTCTGATAATCGAGTTGAGCAGACAAGGTCGTGACATGGGTTGCTTTTGTGCCCCATTTTTGTTTATAGACTCAAAACTGAGTGTGGCTTATTTGAAACCGTTCAACGTTGATGCTTACACGTAATATCAAAACTGAACGAATTTTAAAAAAAGATAAAACAGACACAACAACAACAGCAGTTCATCAAAGTGCTGTTATGCTCCAATTGCTATGTTTTGTTCTCTCAACAAATACTGCTGTAAACTTGTGTAATTGAGCATATACACTATGCCACATGTTCTTTGATAGCTTTGCTTGCTGCAGACAGTGTTTATTGTCACAAAATTTGTAATTACTGTTGACGTTGGTTGTTGTTTTAGCCGTGCAAAATCGAATTAACCTAAGGCGAATTGTGAATAGACCTTGTCACGGTTTTCGACGCCATCTTGACGAGTAGGCAAAGGCGTGAGAAATTACAATGTCTGTATGAGAATCTAATGTCGAATAATTTCCTTAAAACGGCTGTTCTGAAAAAAATATCAGTTGTAAACTAAACCTACCAAGCAAAGGATTATCCTAAAAAATTTTGGAGGCGTACCTGTGCCTAAATTTCTCCAGAGGCTTGCATTAGAGTTTCCATACATTTGTCTTTCTTTCTTACAGACAAATGTATAGAAAATTTAAAAAAGTGGTTCTAGGTCTTCCAGAGCGGCGAACGCCCTCATTTTTTCCAGTAGAATCCTTGGGAGTGAAGCTTTAGTTTACAAATCATTTTTTTTTTTCAGAACAGCCGTTCTAGGGAAATTATACAGTGCACGATTTGGGGACAACTGATTAAAAACACAAAGTTTGTGATCGCATCACTTGCTCACACAATCACTATATCTCTCTCTCCTCCGCAGAGGCCTCTTTGTATTGTGGGGAGGCTTTTGTGTTGTGGGGAGGCTGGGGAGAAAGAAAAAGAGAGCGCGATTATTGATATTTTGATGGGGATACCCAGCGGGAACCTCTGCGGAGGAGAGAGACTATATCTTAAGATATCTTATTAACTTGAGTTTTTAGTAACGTAACCCCAGTATCATGCCGGTCTGTTCTACAATTCACTTATCATGTGAGGTGACACAAATTCTAGTATCAGTACAAGGCTTTAAACCACGCAGCGTCACAAGGCATCATAAAGTATCACAAAGTATCAAAAGGTATCACAAAGTATCACAGAGTATAGTATCACCAAGTATGACAAGGTATCACAAAGCGTCACAAGGTATCACAAAGTATCACAAGGCATCACAAAGTATCACAAGGCATCACAAAGTATCACAAAGTATCACAAGGCATCACAAAGTATCACAAAGTATCACAAAGTATCACAAGGTATCACAAGGTATCACAAAGTATCAAAAAGTATCACAAAGTATCACAAGGCGTCACAAAGGGAACTCACCTTTACCGTAGCGCTTTTATCTTACATTACATTCACTAACATTGCACTCTTTTGAGTGCGCAATTCAACTGAACAGTACCGTGGCTCATATAGGACATCCATAAAAGAGGCAATCAGCGGGACGGTTTCTGGCTGGCACGTATGAATCTTGCTACGCATTCCTGCCGCTCGAATACTGTGGGATTTAATTTTCTTCGACGGCTAGCTCCGGGCTGTTTGGATGGATTTTCGATCGGAAGGTACGAAGAGAAACGTGAATCTTTCAACCTTTTTTCTACGAAGTTTGAAAGCGGAGCAATGCGATTTTGGGGAAAAAAATTGCTCCGGCACTGGAGCCCTTTCAAATCATGGATTCCACCCTTGTCCTTCTATTATAAGGAACAGTCAACGGTGAATTCAAACTCCTTCAAAATCGCTCAAAAAACCGCTTTTGAGGTAAAAGGACGACTATATACCACAGGTAAGGTAATTCAACGCTTATTTATCATTGATTTATATATAGTTAGCGACATATCGCTATAGGTGAGGCAAACGGTAAATCCAGAACATTTACTATAAAATAACAATCGGCTACACAAACAGATTGTGCGGGCTCCCTGTGAACAAACTGTTTTCATTAACTCTTTTGTCTCAACAAACTATCACACTTAAGGTGATTTCCTGGTTTTGCACTGCGCATCTCTTACTTCGCATAACAAGATGGCCTCCGTAAAAAAGAGCATGTGAAGTAACATTATTAAAATGAAGTTGACCGAAGAGAAACGCTATTGCAATTTTTGCTTGCGGTTGTTTCTTGCCGAGGTGAGACTCGATGTGGTGGGAATGTGCATAACGTAAGCAGTATGTACGCGTGTTGCTGAGTTCGACTTCCTCACGGAGAACCTCGATAGTGGATGTTTAATTTGTGCTTATTCACTTTGATTTTCATATAAACGCTTTCTTTATCACATTGTGTCCGATGAATATGATATCTCGATGTAAATTATGTAAAAACGGATTTTTTAATACTTTCTTCTCCCTTTCGCATACATTCTATTTTGAAACTCGCCCCAATCCTGTCTCAAAAATCAAGGAAAATGCATTTGGTGCGCACTTTCTGCAGCTCTACCGCAAAAACGAGATCGGTGACCCCCATTTTTTATTTCATGATTTTCATACGGACAGTGCTTCCTTTCGGTGAGAAAAAAATTCGCACAAATCTATGTTCAGTTTTTTGGCAATTTTACTAAATTGTACGGATTGAGCTATCACGTGTTGAATAGCGCGTGTCCAATTTAATTCTACTTTGGAGTGTAAAGTAAAAACAAGGGCATTAAAAGGCATTTTTCTGGTACGTAAGTGGATAAACAATACATTAAAGTCTAATTCTGTGCGATACCACATGCATCATTGAAGAAATCTTTCCTTTTTGTCTAGTTTTGGGCTGCGCGCGGTTTTTGTCAAAGCGTCCAAAATAGCCGTATTTGTCAGCATTGTGACGTCAAAACGAGCACGGTGACCCCCACTTTTTATTACCTTTTTATCATCTTCTTGACTTGTTACATCAGTGTTAGGTTCTTTTACTAGGGAATCACCACGTGACCAATTTTGTCCAATCACGTCATTGCAGATGGCGGACCGATTCTTTCTCCTTTGTGCGGGTAGTCTCTTCGATTTTCTTCGGTTTTCGCAGTTTAACAAGTGGTTTACGATTATATTTTTTGGAAAAGTTTGAGTAGACAGATGTAGCAAGCCGCAGTTCTTAAAACAATATGATGTATGTTTGTTTTCTATTGATATTGTTCTTTGGAATTCTTCATGCGCATAATCCCTTTGTTTAGTTAAGAGCTATTGTTTATGCTTTTCAGTCTACATTTTCTCAGTGTTCAACGACCCCTGACCTCCAGTTTTAGCATAATCTATTAGTTTTGTTGTTCAAGTATCTGAAATGGTCGGCGGGCCCCGTTTTAAGGGTCAAAATGCCACTTGAAGTTTACCTAAGTGCGTGAATCGTGACTCCATTCCGCGGCATCTTTAGTATTATAAATATACTCGCGCGGTCACGATCGAATCGGCTTAGAAGACTTTCACTACACGATCAGCTTAGAATACTTTCTTTCTTTCCTTTTTTATTCGTCTTAAAAAATATGATATGTTTTTGTGATATATATGTCATCGAAGCGGCCCTTAGGGCCTCCTTTTTGAATAGTTCCTTGGCTTCTTCCTCCTGCGCTTGTTTGCAAAGAGTTAAACTTGTGCGAGATTCTTCACGATCCCTGATAAATCATACAAAAAACAACGGACAAATAAAACTGAATTCATACGGACTAAAATGAATAGAAAACCTCCGCTAACTTGCTGTTGCCCTCAACAACAACAAGTTAGCGAAGGAGGATTCCACTTTTTGCCTTGCGCTCCAGCTTCTTCTAGAAAACAAGAATAGGCTGCACATTATAGCAATATTTAATACTTATATTGCGCTTTTTCTATAAAAATACTCAAAAGCACATAACAATATTATTAATAACTAAATTAAAAACCAGTAAAATTACCCGGTAAAATTACAATATTTATTTTCGATGAGAAGATCAGTATCCTTAATGCACACGTCAGTGTGCCTGGAAAAAAATCTGAGGTGAGAAGAGCACTGAAGAGAAGCTTACGTTCAAAATCAAGCACTTTAACCACATGTAAGAACGAAGTGTTGATACGTACCGCGGCGGTTTCGATCCCTAAAATTATCTCTTCGACACAGAAAACAACCGTTTCGTGAAGCCAGCAGTAAACGTCGATTGCAGCCACCTTTCCGGAGAAAGATCTCAAATGAACATCGCATGTTATGTCTTTTAAAAGCGGAAAAAGACCTATAATGCCCATATCACACTATTTCTCACGGTATTTTTATGCCGTAACGAGAGATGTGAACAGAGCGAAGGTCAGATGCAAATGAGCCGTTTTTGATTTTTTCCCCATGATGCCCTTCGGACCGTGACCAACACCGCCTGAGCCACGCACAAATAATTCAGCCAAAGAAGCGACGACCGGAAATACGTCGGTGATTTATGGTATCGGCTATCCTGTGATGTATCATCAAATAAACAATGAAAAAAGACTCTTAAATAATCCTTTTGTTTTAACCTGATAACGCAAAATCAAAGCAAAATAACTTTCCAAATAAATCACCCTCGCAAGACAACAAATTACCACTATTGAAATCGGTGAACAGCAAATAAATGAATCAATGATTACCAAAACTCCCCGGAGCCTAAGAGATTATTAACAATTATTTCATACTGAGCGATATCCTTTGAATGTTCCTATATGGCATTGTGACATTGCCAACGTTAGGAAGACTGATTATGGTACACTCACACCTTCTCTCTTGCCTTTAAATTTAGTACCCAAATTGTGATGTTGTGATGCTCACAAATTCCAAGGCGCAATCACCCACTCCCCAAATCGGTCACCAAGCTGAGGGAAATTATTCGACATTAGATTCTCCTACAAACATTGTAATTTCTCACGCGTTTGCCAACTCGTCAAGATGGCGTCGAAAGCCGTGACAAGGATTCCTGTACATACTTTAGCTTTAGTTCTCGATGGAAACTAACCGCAAGGGCAGCGCAACCCGATAACAAGGGATAGATTCTCCTGAACTCTTTGGAAACTGCGCACCGAGATCTGCCGATATACACAGTATACAAACAGAGAACATCTCTTGCTTACCAACAAGACGAGCTTTCTGTAACCTGACTGTGATGCGGTCTTCTTCATTAAATGCTGTAGCTCGTCTGTGGTCATCACCGGCACTCTCGGGTATGCTCTCTTCAAAACGCCAATTATCATTCTCAGAGCCATGGTTAAACCCAAACTACAACTCCGTCCCAAAAGTACTGTGTTACTGCGCTTTTCACAAATATGCGAACTCTAAAGTTCAAAACGCGCCTTCACAATTGCGTTTTTCGCTGCCGTCAATCATAATTACGATCACAAGCAACGAACCTTGAAACATGTGGGCGCTTTCCATTTAGGGAAAAAACCCGGAAATTTCGGTGGGAGCAGAAGTGGAATTTCCGACTGGTAAAAAGTTGTTCCATTTGGTCGTAAACCCCGGTACGTCGCTGTGCCCGACCGTGGACCTGGAACTGGTACAAACTACTAGAAACGTAAATGGAACACGAGATTCCGTTCGAAAATTCCAACCGGGAAAACGGGCCCACCTTTTTAGATTTTCCACTTTTTCTGGGAATTTTCCAGTGGGACGAACCGACGAAACGTGTTCCATTTACCGCTGAACCAGAAATTCCGGAAATTTTGGCTAAATGGAAAGCGCCCACAGAAGCACACAAAACGGATCGAAATCCACCAATCACAAATCACAAACCATGACCTTTTTAACCCGTTAAACTAAAGTTCTGTTCCCTAAGAGGTCCGTTATGATGATTGACGGCAGCGAAAAACGCAATCGTCAGTTGGCTTTTGAACTTCAGAATTCGCATGTTTGTGAAAAGCGCAGTAACAATAACAGTCAACTCGGTTCTCCAAGTTCTAGGGGCATGAACTACTCTCCGATAATTTATGTTAATGCAATTGCTGACAAAATGGGTGTTTCCACTGCATTCGTACTGAAGTGAGGTTGTACAGGGAGGAGGGCGTATGGAAAAGCCGGAATCCGGAATCCGGAACCCGGATCCGGATCCGGAAACGGAAACGGAAACGGAAACGGAAGCGGAACCGGAACCTGAGCTTAAATTGAGACTAGGGTAAACTGGGAAGCACTGAAACCAGTTCCCAATAAAATTCAAGATGGCGTCCTCTGTTATCATTGTTTTGGGAAATTTTCAGCACAGTGATCACATTCGGAAAGTGAGTTGCAAAGTGACTGCAGCTGTAGGTCGAGCAACTTTCGACAGATCGAGACTACAACTAGTCAGAAGTCGACTGACTGCGAAAAATAGCTATTATTAGTATGTTATGTTTAAGACCGCTGTGTTATTCATTTCCTTCTCTTGAGCCTAAGTTACTCTTTTTTAAAAAAGGCTCTGTGTTTCATCCATTGTGAGGGAAAGGCGGCAAAGGGAGGAGGAGTATTCATGCCAATCATGATCCCAAGTTGCAACGGTCACGCGGATATGAAATTCTCGAAGAAAAATTTTGCGCAGTACGCAAAAAATGCGATAGTAAAAAATATAATAACAATAGATAAATATAATGTGGGAATGAAAAGTCTTGATCGAGCAATTATTGTTAGTGACACTCTCAAGACAGAAACGTCTCCAATTTTTTATTTTTTAGGTTCCGGTTCCGTTTCCGGATTCCGGATTCGGGCTTTTCCATACGTCCGGAGGAGGAGGCGAATCAGGGCAACAATCGGCAACAACGTTAGTATTACATACAAGCGGAAAACCAGCTTTCAGCACTGAAAAGTTATTTCATTTCATGCAGTTTTAGAATAAAATCAAGCGCGAGTGCTTTTCCCTAATTTCTTTTTGGGGCTACCTTCCAAACAGGTCACAAAGGCGTTAAGTTGGCAAGAAGCTCACGTTATGAGCAATGGTTATCTCTAGGACAGAGTAGTGTGTGTCGTTGTTGGCTTAATGCTACTCAGTGAGGTCAGTACCATTTAGAACATTAACTACGGCAGCTCTAATCGATAATGTTTCGGTAGAAAGTCCAACCTTCCGTAAGCGACCACCCCAAATGCTAATATTTAGTGGTCGCTTACGAGAATCGAATCACAGGAGGTCTCTTCAGGGATAAGGTCCTGGCATATTTTCGGAAGAGAATTCACTGCATGCTATTTCTTAGTTACGATATATGGAGTTCCATGTCATCACCAAAGTTCTTTTTATGATCCGATTAGCGCAGTTCATACAGCTAACATTGAGATCAGACCATGCGTCGAGTGGTGGCCTACTATATTTACAAGAGGTTTAAAAATCAATAGAACATTGAGAAACAGTTACGCCCAAAAGTGGTCGCGGTCGTTTACGACTTTCCAGCGGCTTTCGGCTTTAACTGTGTTTTGAAAAGGTTTAAGAGAAGCGGTCGCTTACGAGAGTTTGTTGCGTGTGGAGGTTCGACTGTACTTAGTATTACAGTTGATCGGTAGAAATGCAAATTATAGGTCCATGTAGTCCGGTTGGCAATCGATTGACAATACAACTACATCTTTGCTTCTGTCAAGGAGGTTTGCATAGCAGTCTCTTGGCGTGACTCACAAGGTTCTGAACTCCGCAATTCAGCATTAAGAAGCTTTCCCCAAACTATATTATAAGGATGAACATACACAGTTTTTCTTCCCTTGTTGTCTTCAAGATCTTTCCCCTCGTTTGCCCATTTAAAGATCGAACCCTCCAAATTATATATGACAGTTTTTGATTTCAATTCTTGGTGGACGGGTTTATCCAGTTCATACGCCAACTGTTGAGCAAGAGCACTAGATCGGTAACCCAAGGAGCAGTAGCATACAACTGTTACAGCCTCACCTATTGACGCACCTAGGAGATAAAGACGCAACATTGTTGGGAGTTGTTGCGTCCATTTGCAGGTAGCTTAAAGAAAATAATGTAAGAAAGGCAAGCTGGGTGCATTGCAAATAGGCATTACACCACACAAAAAAAAGGTAAGGTAAAGGCGCACACGAGCCAAAGGCCCAAATGGCCAGAGCTTATCTCAGTTTCCTTAGCATGAAGCACCTAGGAATATTGCTTCTCCACCCTGGATGGGACGCTTGACCATCATAGGGTTACCGCCAGCAGTATGTTGCCAGTACCCATTTATAAACCTGGGTGAAGAGAGACAAAGTGGAGTAAAGTTCCTTGTCTACGGAAACAACGTGACGGATTGAGGCTTGAACCCCCAACCTCCAGATCTGGAGTTCGAGGTGTTACTCACAAAACCATGAGGAAAATCTTCCTTCCCACACTTTCATACATCTCCAGTCAATAACATGAAACCTCGTAATCTAACTGCCCTAACACTTTGGAGAAGCAAATAAAAACAAAGGTCTGTGTATCCAGGGGAGAGAAGGGGTACAATAATATACAATTTAGTACCTGATTCATCAATCAATTTAACTACTTTCTCCAAGTCTTTTTGTGATGGATTTATATGATGTGCTTTACAGAGATGGCTGACTTGAAACTCTTTCTCCTCACGAACATCCTACAATGAGAGAATTTTGTAAGTGTTGCATTGAACATAAGCAGGAGGTCCAATTTTTTTGTTTAGTAACATGGCATTTAGTAGAGACCGAGGAATATTGAACTTGACCTACAATAATAATTGTCAAAATTTTTGGGAAGTACTACTGTTCTGTTTTATCCCAACACTGAAAAGGGAGGACGTGGAAATAAAAATTAGCCAAAGGAAAAACCTTAACCATTTTTTTGAACATTAAAATGAACAACTGCACCATATGTTTAAGCTTTGACATTATTTTAAGTGAGGAAGGACAGGGGGTGGGAGCCTGGGAGAATATCTACAGGAGGAAGGAAATGAAATGGTGGGAGGGGGAATTCCGAATGGGTGGGAAGCGAGGGAAATGGGGGAAATTATGCAAAAATGCGTAATATTTTGCAATCAAGAAAGAGCTAGAGGGAGGAGGCCAAGAAAAAAGGTGAAGGAGCCGGGAATGTAAGGAGTGGCAAGTGAAAGGTTTGGACCCCCCTTTGTATTCCCACAATCCCCCCCCCCTGCCCCCATCCACAACATGAAAAAAGGGTATTGATCATTTTCATACCAGACTCAATCATGAAAATTTCTTACTAACAATGTCAATAAGTTACTCATTACGACTCACCCAATCAGAAATTTGTGGACACAAGCAGCCGCAGAGATGAACAAAAGAGGGTTCTTAAGGCGGGTGTCCCTCTCCTTTTCTCCCCAATCCCCTCTCTCTTTTCCTTCTTTTCCCATCCCTTTCAATGCCTGCATGCAAGCTACGTCTACCAGGGACTTTATCCCATACTTAGTTTAAGTGAGCGGGTTCTTTTGAACAGTTATCTCTGAGGTGGTTGCTGTGTGGGCTTCCGACTTCAGAATCTTTCTAAAGAATGTGGAAAAAATTCACTTTTTTGAGGGGAAAATAATTTATTGCTTTATAATTATTCATTCAAAATAATTCCAAGTTAATGAAAAGCTAAAACATGCTTACTTCGGTTGATGTTACTTTCACATCAATCGTGCATCTTTATCGCGAAGTTTAGGAGATAAAGGGCTGTTCAGGTCTGCAAATATACCCCAAATAGCAGATGTCGTTCATCAAGTTGTCTTTGTGCTCTTCTTGCCATGTGTTTAGACAATATTTTGCTGTGAAACAAGTAAAATGTTCCGCCGACTGTTCCATAATCGTTGAATTATCCGCAAATTTACCTGCACTTTTGACATCATCAGTTCAATGCCAGTGGCAAAATTCTTCAAAATTTGGTCCACAGTAGCTGGTTATGATGAATTATGGATGTGGTTTAAGCAAATCAGAAACGAAGAAATATTTTGAATGAATAATAGGATAATTTATATGGAATGATATTGGTAGTCTTTTCACTAGAGCCTAAATAAGCTAAGAAATATTTCAAGACAAGTAAATTTTAATAACTTCAAGTAAAATAAAGCTTCACACACAACCGATACGATTCTTTTTCACTTCAGGTTAACTTAAGGTTTTTTCCCATGCAAAATAATTAAGATTGATTGACATGTTTTGCCTTTCTCAAAGCTCAAGAATCCACAAGTCAGCTAAGTCAGTCATAAGGACGGGTTTCAAGCGGTCGGTGTAAAACGCAGACTGCAGACTATGGACTATGGGTAAAAATATGCAGACTGAGTGTAAAATGCAGACTGCAGACTGAGAGTAAAAAGCAGGCTGGGTGCTAACCTGAGATCAGGTCCAATGTTAGCAGTTCTCATACATTCTCTCTAATGGCTACCGCTTAAATTGGGCCTGATACAAACTCTCCCACGATTGTGCTCGTTACGGCCAGATTTTGGGCGTAACGCTGATTGGCTGTTAGAACAATGCCACAAGATCTGATTGGCTGTCGGAATTGCCGGAAGTTGAAAGCGCTTATTCCTCGCGTGGTTGTTTTCGTGAATGATCCGTCGTCAGTGGAGGGAAGGATCAAATTTGCCGTCTTTTTTATTGTTTTATGGTCTTATGGTAGGCAAATATGCCTTAATATGTGCCATGGAAATTCAGAAAATTCATATGGTTGTTCATATCTTCTCAGGATTTGCTTTATTTACGGAACTAATGTGAGTGTATCGCGGAGTTGAATCCCTCTGCAAGTTGTTGACCGCTAACAAGGTGTCTTTTGATTTACCAACAAACGAGTGCAAATCAAAATACTGTCCATCTTAAAACTGGTTTCATTTGAAAGTTTAGCCGGGAATGACTTCTCTGAACGGAGCACACAAGCGTAGGCTCACTGCGAAAGAAACCTCAATCGCCAACTGTGAAGTATTAGACGAAAAATATCGCATCGCTGTTCAAGGAATTTTTGTAGGCATTATTACTAGTAAAAAGGTAACAGACTGGTTGTTTGCCTTCGCTTTTTGTAAAAAATAAACCAGGAAAACTGGTGTCCTCACTCGTTGGCTATTTGCTTTTGTTTTTACAGATTTATGCACTGAAAATCAGGGAAAATTGCCGAGGAAAATATTAAGGCAACAGAAAAATAGAAATTTCAGTATTTTAAATTCGATCGCGCCTCGCTAAAATAATAAAACTAGTAGAACATCGTGTCGCTGTCTTTTCGAAAACTTTTTATCTTCTACGCCAACAGAAATAACCTTTGAGATTTCCCTTAATCTCGCAAGAAGTTAAATGTGATTGTGCTGACTGTTTTATTTTTAACTGAAAAAATTAACAGATAAAAGATTTTTTTAAGTCAGCCAGTCTGCATTTTTCCCACGCCTGAAAAATTTGCATACTAGAAAAACAAGCAACAGAAGTAAATCTGATTGGCTGATTCGGCAAATATAATGTCAATCAATCAAAAAAGTGGGTGGCAGACGTTTTGTAGAAGGTTTGTATCAGGCTCTCTTTTCCTTTTCATTTGTGCTCCTTCTTCTCCAAATAGGTGAAATAGCTAGCTCTTAAGCTGGTATCAGTTACACACCTCGCTTCCTAGTCGAAGTACATTGCATATTCGCCAGAAGTTTCAATGAGCATCTGAACAGCTTAAGTCTGTGTGCCTTGATTTGCAATACTTTCATAGAGGGTCATCCAAATTTCCTGCAGAACATCTTTCTTTGTTGTTGGAATGATTTCCTCCCAATGACTGTTTACACGTATTGGCGGGATTTTTTTGCCCTTAAACCCTTCCACAACTACAGTTTATACTCGGTCTGCATTTTACCCCAGCCTGCGTTTTACTCTCAGTCTGCACTCTGCATTTTACACACGGTCTGCATTTTACCCCTGGTCCGCAGTCTGCAGTCCACAGTCTTCATATTACACTGACTGGTTTTCAAGTCACTTGAAACTTTCTTGAATCGTTTCAACTTTCCAACTTTAATGAGATGCACAGTAAAGGTTCTTGAGATTTTACGTGGGCATTCAGACCCGCATTTTTGGTTAAGTAAAACTTAGCAGTCTTACTTAATTGCCTAGTGTAAAGACAACCATTATTAGAAAAATATCAAAAGGTGGCATTTAATGTCTTTAACCTAGGGTTATAAGCGTTTCTATAATATTTTGAAGGAAAATAAGAAAGGAAATCTGAGAGTTTCAAGTCCCGAATTAAACCGTTTGCAGATTGAAGACAGCACTTTCTCCTCCGTTATTTTAAAACATTTCGTTAAGCCACCTACCAGTAATAGTAGCTTGGAACTCTCTTGTCTTATTAATTGTAAAAGTTCGTCAGTGGACATATTTGATACGCCAGGGAATCGCATTTTCACGGCTTCTGTTGTCAACTTCATCGCCATCTTGGATTTCGCGCGGATTGCCTATGGGGTCCTGGGAATACGGAGAAGGATTGAGAGGGATTTTCAGTCCAGTCCCTCTCGCTGTGATTTTAGGTGGAAAGAGATGTGCCAGTTGTGGCGTGTTTTGTTTGTGTTGTTTATTTATAGCTCGGGTACCATAACAGAACAGGGTTTCTGCAAGGAAAAAGGCTGTTCAGAAGAAAGGGAAAGAGCGACACTTGCTAAATCACAGTCGGAAAGAGAAACAGTTCGTTCATCTGGCATGGAGTGGAGATCCCACGGGAGAGATAACAACGATTTAGTCTCGCAGCTCACGCGAAATAAAATTCTGAAAACTCAGCGAGTTCAGGAGGCAATGAGAAAGGTGGATCGTGGAAATTATTGCGACTTTTCACCGTACTTGGACTCGCCTCAGTCTATTGGTTATGGCGTGACAATTAGCGCGCCCCACATGCATGCACACGCGCTAGAAATGCTGAAGGATCATTTGCTCGAAGGAGCTAAAGCATTGGATGTCGGCTCAGGTATTGCCGAGATACGTAGGTAAACATTTTCACACGGCCGCACGTAATATAAACAGCGAACATGAATAGAGATTGAGTAAGAAAATGCGTACAATAAGAGGTATGGGGCTCTGTGGAAATTTCACTGGCTTGTGACTGCTGACACAGAAAGCTCAATTTTGTGCAGGTTTTACAGCGTGTTTTTATGGTACCAAGTGCACAAGTATAATTTCCTGCTGAGGGGGAGTGACCCTGTAGCCAATGTGGGCAGTAACTTATAGGGGTATAGAATATTTCCTTGGAAAACGTTACTCTTTGAAAATTTTGCCTCGGTCTCAAAATCTCGGAAGCGTTTGTGACAGGTCATGAAGTCTTGTTTTTGGGTGATTTGCATCTCGGAGTCTTACAGTTTTTTAAGTCTGGGACTCATATTTTTTAAGGGGAGTCTCAAATCAGAGTCTCACAAAGTCTCAAATTTACCATTCTATGCCCCTTAAATTAGACCCACCAAAAACTTTCTGTCTTCAAAATTACATACCATAGGTCCTCACTGCTAGCTGGAATTATTCGTGTGATAAGCCACTGTATGTGCATGGATAATTTGTACTTATTTTTGTTCTAACTAAAGGTAGAGATCAACACTTGTCGCTCTAAGGTCATGTGGCTTTCATAAACTTAAGGGAGGAGCTATTGAACAACTTTAAAATAAAATTATATTCACCAAAACACTCCTATCTTTCAGACACCTTCCCCTCAGAAGGAGTAACCCCATGCGCCAGAAGTATTAACCAGAGTGTTGGGTTTCAATGATTGTTCCTTGGTTATGGTGCATAGGGTGATCATCACTGACAGTTAACCACTTACAGTCTTTTTTAGCTTGAACATTAATTTTGATTTCCCATTTCAGACCTGGTCAGTGTTACCCAAATGTCATGATATTGATATGTACATGCATGTGGGCATGATTTATTAAAAGACAAAAAGCAAATTCCCTGGAGAACATCACATCATGTCACATGGCCTGAATTGAACCATAATAATAATATTGTTGTTATACATTGTACTCACTATCTGTCTTCTCATTGGCTAAGAACCTACAGCTTTTCTGTAGGTTGTGTGGGCAATGCATGATTTCCAGTAACAACATTATTCAGGTTCCTTGCGATGATGTGTTTGTCATTATTTTCTTCAAAACAATGTATAATAAAACAATTATTAGATTTGGTTTTTTAGATTTGGTTTTGTGATATGCGGCCCCAAAGGGTAGGGTTTTTCAACCGTTTTGGTCTCGAACAGGGTAACGATTTTTTGCACTGTAGTCTTGAATGCACTTTTTTAGAAGAAGCTATTTCCTTATCATGTCCCCCTAACCTAATAAAAGATAAATAAAATTGCCTTTAACATTGGTCTGAACTAGGGAAATAATTATAAGGCAGGTCTGAAACAGGGTATTGATTTAAGGGTCAGGTCCGGATGTCATAAAAAACCTCATCCAGGTCATAAATAATAAGGGTTTTATAAGTACCCCCGGGAAACATAATTATTGTTTCGGCCTTTTATTTAACTCTTACCCGATCTTGATTAGATGTCACAAAAACCTCATCTGAGATGGGCTATTCTGAGATGGGCTATTCCAAGAAGCAGCAAGGGGGGGAGGCATGGGGAGGGGTTGTGGAGACAGGTTAATGACTTGCTTAAATTTGTTATCTTTGAGGCAGTCAGTCTTCACTAGGCTGCATCACAGACATAATCTAATTCCGGTTAGTAACATCTGCGAAGCAGTGCCAAGATACTTGTTTTTGGCCCCCTAAAACATGGCTTGCACTCGAATCCTGGTACACAGGTGGAGCCAGCCCAGAACAAGGATTTTGGCGCTGTTTCAGAGTCAGACTAAACAAGAGTTCAGGTTTATCTGTGGTACTGGATTTGTCTACTCCAATGCATTCTTTAAGACCTCTGTTTTCATGTTTGTAGATGGGGTCTGTGCTGTTGCTGTCTTTGAGCTATTTTGTGTTTTTAATTTTTTTGTTTAATTCTTGGCTTCCTCACAACAGCATTCTGATCCCATTTCAGGGAGCGGTTACCTCACTGCCTGCATGGCTGAAATGGTAGGAAAAACTGGGAAGGTAGTTGGCATTGAACACATCCCTGAACTCGTGGAGCAGTCAAAGCAAAACATCAAGCGTGGCAATGCTGATCTTTTGGAGAGTGGTCAGGTTGTTCTTGTGACAGGTGATGGACGACAGGGATATGAGAATGGTAAGTGGAAAGGCAATAGAAAGAGTCAGAACCTTGATATGCTTGAGTGACAAAATAGGAGCAGTGGTGAGTGCAGTGGTGAGTGCACTCACCTTCCACCAATGTGGCCAGGACAGAGTTTGTTGTTGGTTCTCTCCCTTGCTCCGTGAGGTTTATCTCCAGGTACTCCAGTTTTCTTTCCAATTCCACTAGAAATGGTCAAGGAAGAACCACTTACTTTGTGCTGTGCTTAGCTATAAATCAATTTTATTTATATATTTAGAAGTTATATCAATTCTACTGCAGTTAATTTACATCTCTTATAAAACTTAATATTATATTTTTGTTTAATATCCATTACTGAAATATTTTACCAGGTCAGAGCATGCTAGCGGGATATATGGTACACTTCAGTTCTGAAACCATTTTTCAATGTTCAGAGAGTTCAGAGAATTTACTGATGTTAGGTTTATTACATCTTGTGTTCTGCATTCAATCGACATACAAGAAGTATTTATGTCCTTTCATCTTACATACCATTGTTGGATAGTTTCTTGGTGTTGCAGACAGCTGTGAGATCACCAAAGGAGTTATCACAGTCGATTGAAGATACACTGAACAATATGTCCACACTGTAATACAAAATGTACCCAACAGTGGCTCCCACAACACCAAGAAAGGACCCTTTTTGGAAGTTTCTTTTTTGTGTGTCATCACAATTTTGCTGTTTTGCTACACAATATACATTTTCATTTTTCCAACCAATAATCAAGTTTTAAATATAACTTTTGTAAATTTTACAGAAGCTCCATATGATGCAATACATGTTGGTGCCGCAGCTCATCCCATTCCAGATGCCCTCATAAAACAACTTAAACCTGGCGGCAGGCTGTTTATACCTGTTGGTCCCACCCATGGAGACCAGTGGCTTGAACAGATCGACAAGGATAAAGATGGAAATATAGTACGACAAAGGCTAATGGGTGTGAGATACGTGCCTCTCACAGACAGAGCACAGCAAATATGGAGAAATTGAAAATGGTAGATTTTATGAACTGAAGCAACTATCAGGACCATCCTGCTATCTATTATGGGTGAAAGCCTTTGTTTGGCTTACCCAATCAAAGTATTTACGTAAAGTGACCAGCATTTTGGAACCATTACAAGAACTTGCAATGATAGCTAGAAGAAAGAAGCTTAAAGTATTGAGGAAGTAACTTATGGAAAAGTAAGGCCATAAAATGTTAAAAAAAAAAACACAAAAAGCTTCAAACTTTATATGTGCAAGCTGGAACAAGGGCACAAAATTATCAGAGGCTCGTGTTATTAATTAACCTTAAGAAAAATGAAAAGGGTGAATTTCATTTTTTCCCGACCGTTTGATTGAAAGATAACTAGTAGCAGCAATGCACTGATATTTAAGCACTATCAGGCAGTGACGTCTTTGGAGAGTATAATAGTAATAAAGCCATTATTGACAATAATCTTGTTCAGTTCTTGTGGATACCCATTATGTAAAGGCTGGCTCACATGTACACGTAAGAGGAAATTTACCCTTTGCCTTGTCAAAAAAATTGTGAATAGATGACGTGTATGTGAAAGAGAGAAAATTGGAGAGAAACATACCACTTTAGAAAAACAACAACAACTAAGCTAAAGGAGTCTATACCATGTCAGGGGCATCCAATGTCGTTTTTCGCAAAACATCTGTTCGGAAGACGATTTGAGATCTAGAATTTTCGAAACATTTTTTGTAAAATTTCTTGCTTGCCTGCCTCTCCTAGGATTTTCAAACATCTAAAATATGGTGCCCAATTTTAACGGATTTTTACCCTAAAAAGGTCACCTACATGAAGAATTTTTGGGAGCCTTTTTTCTGGCTGAAATTTTCGAAAAGGTAAGTTTTGCTCCCTATAATTTTCGGATCATTAGACTTTCAGCTAGGAAGTCTGAACAGATGAAAAATTTTTAGGGGATGAAAATATGCCTATCTACCATTTAAATACTAAAATACGTTTAAGAATGCTAAGTTTAAGTGGTTTTGAACCACATTCTTGTTGGGTGCCCCTGACCATGTAGTATGACAGTCTAAGAATATGATTGCACCATCAAGTGGTTACTATATAACAGTAAACTAAAAGGACAAAATTGCTCATTGGTGCTATAACATTTATTTTTTTTTTACAAATGTCTACATTACAACTTAGTTTTCAAATAATATCCCTATAAATGTTGCAGTTGCTAGAATCTTTGAAAAAAGGTCGGCAATTAAATGGAAACAAACCTTCATGAAATATGAACTATTGTCATAAAAGAGATAACAATCATGGAGACAGACTATAGTTCTACCAAGGCTGGTGTCCACAATATTGCTAAGATCCCTCAGATCAGTGATTGAGACTTTTCAGTTATTGCACCACTTGATTATTTGGAAAACAAGAGTACAGGACTTAACATTAACATGGGAAAAACAGAAATTCTTGTTGGAAAATCAAATGATTCGGGAAGCTTCAGAAAACATGGGCAGTAAATTGAGGCGATGTAATTTCATTACTCTTTTTAGTCTGTTCAGCGGTTTTTAATATACTACTTTGTAGTGGGCACGCTTCTTCCACCACGTCAGTTTTATAGTTTAATGTTCATGCACTAGATTTCCACCTGGATGGTTTGTGTGGTAAGCGACCAAGGTTTACAGTTTGGTGATTCCTTCTACCTTAAATACACCCCTCAGATATTTCAAGGTGTACGTGGGTGAATCTGAGTTAATAAAATTGGCAAAAGTTTAAAAAATATAAAAGACAGTTTGGGCCAGTTATTTAAGCAAAGTCTAACTAAGGCCATGGTTTAAGACAGTCATCCTCCAAAGCTGTTTGGAGGTTTTTTTTCACTTTGTAAACCTTCTTGATATTGCATTAAGCTGGACACAAAGTCAACAGAGACTTAAGCATTTTTATCAATTCCAAGCCCAAGACTCAAAGCGCAGAAATTTCAAGAAAATGGTACAAATTATGCAAACAAACTGATGGAAAATGCTAATGGAAGCCCACCAATAAACTGCTTTGTCTTATTTTACAGTCTTAATCTACTAGTTGATGTTCTTTTGATAAGATGTACCCAAAAATCACCCAAAAATGAGAATCTGAGACCCATCAAAAACACTTACGAGATTTCGAGATCGACCAAAATTTTCCAAGACCCACGTTTTTCCAGGTACCATTCTATACCCATATAGCTGCAAGGCTGGGGCTTCATGAAAGTAATGATACAATAAATGTTATTGTATTGTGAGCCGTGTGAATTAATGTTGTGCATGCTTTCAGAGATAACTAATCTGGGGTTATTATCAGAAAATCCAAACAAGGATGATCAGCAACGTACACTTTGCAGTCTACTGAACACTTTCCACTTTTCACCAGGTACTCAGGAACAAGTAATTAATTTTCTTCCAGAATCTACTTTGAAGGACTTTTAATTATGTGAATTAGAACATTTTTGGAGTTTGCTACTTTCTACTGAAGATTATGGTTGGGTGGCTGTGATGAAGAGCTTTAAAAAAGCTATATGATCATAATTTCAGTCTACAGAATTTATATAGAAGTCTTCAAGTGTTGCATTGGACAAACTGGAAACTGTTCTTTAACACTCTTCAATTTCCACACCATCAGTCTTCAGGGAGAAAATATTGACTCGCCCAAGTTCCATCAATGCCATCAACACGAACAACACTATAAAAATCTTGTGAGAGTATGTCTTCACTTGGTTCATCCAGTTGCCTAGCATCGTATGATTTATCATATTTGACCTCAAGGACATCAATCTATAAATAATCCATACGATATATTCTGCTTATTAATATATATCAATTAAACACCAACGAATACCAGGTGAGCCTTTGCATGAAAAAGTGATAATCTTTACACTGGAAAATAACATGTTATCTTCACATGTGTAAAGATCACCATTATTGTGGCTACATGGGTTGGTATATCATTGGTGTCTATATAAAAAATAAAACATTACATGGCTGACTGGAGATACGAAATTTCTCCCTTGTTGAACAATATTTCATGCTCACTCGTGAAATATTTTTTTCTTATTTCCGCACGGCCATGTAATATAGTCTGTATATATAACATGCTAAGTTACACATAATAATGCATGTAAGCCTAATCCTTGAGTCCTGTAGGGTGGCAAGTATCTAAATACATTTTTGTCCTTATCATAATTTCGAAACAAAAAAGATCACAAAAATATTTATTTGGACCATTCGGTTTTTGTGTGATATGAAGAATTATGCAGATCCCAGCCGAGGAGGATAACACCTTCTTCATTCTGCATAAGTCTTCACATCAGGTTGTCAATAAATTTATTACTATTATTACATACACTGAAGCCAAATTTGGTCAATGCTTGCTGGTTGTAAAGAATTAACCAGAGGATTTAAGCCAATCAGAAAAGGAGAAATATTTTCATGAATGAATGATAATGTATATTCAAAATGTGATGCTCTTACATTTTACTATATGAAATAAATAATTATCTTTTACCTGTGTTGTTCCTTCTGTTTCTCCTATCATGTCAAATTTTGTTATATGAAGAACTGGTAGCTTTTCCTCATCAAAATGCTTAGAAAAAGCTTCACTAACATCAACTAATGTCTCCCGCATATCACCCATGAAGCAGAGTTCCAACTTCTTTGGACTGTCTTTTTTCTTGAGCACATATCCTGGGGTATCTAAAATGTCAACAGAAGCATGAGGTACTGTCAGAACAGAAATGCTGGGAAAGTGTGTAAAACCATGCAAGTGCAGTTTGGTATTTTTCTGCAAGTTAAAAATTCTTTTGTTATTGTCATTATTTTAATAATATTATCATCAAAATTATTTATCATAACCACTATATAAGTATCAGTTTTAGGAGCAGGGACTATGAGTAGTGATATTGTTATTATTTTAGTACTTTTAGAAACTTCCACAACAGTGCTTGACACTACGGCTAGTCCACTAGCCCCGTACTAGTGAAACTCCACACTGGGCTAGTAAAAATGTGCTCCTACAAGCCCTTAGACCAGTTAGTTTAGAGGAAAAAATAATTTTTCTACAACTCTATACCTTGGGAAAATATATTTCAAAAACACATCATCAGTAGTTAGTTTCTAAAACTTAACCGTATTAAATGTAAGAAAAAGACTTGCTTTCCATATCATGGAAGTATCGCACAATTGACTCCAGTCACAACACTGAAGCCATGTTGGAAGAGGAATTGCATCCTTGTTTTCATGTTACTCACTCCCCCATCTTGGAATTTATTCATGCACATTTACCACAAGAATGAAGCTTTTTATTAAAAAAAAAAACTACCTTTGTTGAGAAAGCACCCCTCAACAGCCAGTGATGCTGAAGCAGATTTTCAGTTTTTGCCAAAGACCACTCACAGCGTGAAAAGAAAAAGAAGTGCCATAAGTGGTTAAGAAGTTTTCAACCAAGTTGGAATCCTTGGTTGCCATTTACAGTGTGGAACTTGTATGGACTCAACATTTACTGCTGACAGATTAGCAAATCCAAACTCTGCTTTTGTCGCAGGAACAGAAAATTTCTGTCTGGACTCAATAAAGAGTAGGCATGTCATGAAAGTTTTGAACCCCTCATAGACTGGCTATAAACACTTTTTTGTCTTATAATGTTTCGAACCACTTCAATTTTTCTTGGACTAGTGGCTTGTGAATTATTAAACTCACTAGCCCAATGCCTAGTGTCCAAAAAAATTAGTGTCGAGCACTGCACAATATCAGTCAAAGAGGCGAGGGATAACTTTGCACATGACTTGAAGATCTCCTTAACCGTTCATAGTTCTATAATCCTACTCTACTCTTGTCAACCTCCATAATACTTGTTTTGTTGTTGTTATTGTTATTGCTTTTTTTGCAAAAAAAAAATTAAAACCAAGTGATGAACATAAAAGAGAGACTTTAGCCACAGACAAAATAAGACTTAAATAATATTGGTAGAGGCTTTTTTAGGCAGTCAAAATAGGCAGATGTTTACGTGTTATTTAACCTGAGTTATCAGGTCTGCAAATGGGAAGAGGGGGATATTATTTGCAGATGAGAATCAAGGAAGTCATTATGGGTTACAACAACAATCTGCAAGCTAAAATTCACGACATGAAAAGTGACAGGACAACAGTTTTAAGACCGCCTACAAGTTACTTTGAACGGTGCTTTGTTTACTGTATGACGTCACATGTCACAGCTATTGACTGATATTGACAGCCAAAAAGCTCAGAGATTTCGATTTGTATGGCGTCGAGTTGTGATCGTCTAAGAGCATTTTCTAATTTATTATTAAGCTTATTGCTTGCAGTTGTTTGGTTTCTGACCAATGAGATCTGTGTGGTTGACAAAAAAATTTTACAACAAAATATTTTTTAAACTGGCGAAGGCACATGTAAATCGGATAATATTTCTACGCGTTAGGGAGGTTGACAATTAAATTAGCGAAAAAAATGTCCACGTGCTGTAGCTCGCGTCGAGGCCGAACAAAAGGTGCACTCGCGTTCGTTAGACAAAAGAAGCTGAGGATAGCACCAGTTGAACTACTCAGAATTTTGAAAATCAACAACAAATCTGCCAAAAAACATATTTCATCATGATACGTAGTATTAAACTAAAGGCGTAAAATGATTGGCGAGCTTTATGTTCAGTCGCGCGCGTCGCTCCACGCGGTCTGATCACGGACGTGATAGTAAGAGACATTCGACAGGTTTTCGAAAGAACAAAAGGTAAAAGGAAACGTTTTTCGCTCACAAAATGCCCCCGAAGATGAAGGCGTTACAATAAAACAGAACATTACCTTCAGTAGGTTCTTCTAAATCTGCCAGAATGCACAAAACAGTCTCGGGTTCTTCCTCGTCAACCTCTTCGTCTTCTTCATCTCTTTCGTCCCTTTCTCCAGCCTCGTTCTCTTCTTCTTCATCATCATCATCATCTGCTTCTTCTTCACCCTCATCTTCATCAGGCGCTTCTCCTTCGTAATCTTCATCTTTATCGTCGTCTTCTTCTTCAAAGTCTTCTTCCTCTTCCTCGTCGTCGCTGGCGCCCTCCTTCGCCGCCACGCGATCACGCGCTTCGACAGCAGCACGTCGCTTTGTTCTCACGTTATTTTCAACATCTTCCGCCTCCTCGTCTTCCTCTTCGCTGGAATGCTTGCGTTTCCTCGGCATTGTTGAATGGAAAAACACCCAGGAAGACAACAAATGCAGCAAAACCGCCTCGCAAACGGCCGCGAAGACGAAAAGAATGAACAATGGCCAGAAGAAATAACCGCGGAAAAGAGGACGCGTGGAGGAAATCTCGACAAATTGAGACTGGACAAAGGACGCCAAATGGACTACGGGATTAAAAGCTTTGAGGATAACAAGAGAACGAACAATTAAGCACGTGTTACACCAAACAAAGGAAGGTGTGACCTTTTTTGTGGTATTCAATTTGAACGTTTATTCTTTAAAAAAAAAAAGTAGCAAAAGAATGGATATTCTTTTTTTGTTTCATTTTTTGTTGTTCAAGATTCTCACTCAAAATACAAGATCAAGAATACACTTCCAAATTTTAGAAATACAAAGGAATTACAAGCAAGTGCAAGGTCTAAGAGATGTCAGTATCAGAGTATAGAGAAAAACGAACTGTGTAGTGAAACGGCGAAAAGTACCGGGCCTATGGCTGAAAATTTGGCTGAAAACCGAGAGGACTTGACAGCTGAGTACCCGAAGGCAGCACCAAGACAATTGACCCCACAAGCTTTGTAGCTCTAACTCTTATTTTTCTTTATGTCACAATAAAGGTTTTATGTTTTAAGTTATATTATGTTATGTTAGAGCGCCATGAATTTTCAAATGAATCAGTTTTATTAGTTGCTGACAGCTGACCGTGATTCTCCTCACAGTCTTCGTAGCTGTTTCTCTAAGTGGTCCTTTCAAAAATTGTTCGCAAAATTAAAGAGTATAAGGTGTAATTTACTCTTCCACAGCCATCTCTTTAAAAAAGGACAACAAATAAGATGCAAAAAGAGAAACATGTAAGTGACTTTAACCAAGATGAAACGAAACCTGTGGCAACCTCGTCCTTAGGGCGCTTTTCCCTTGATTTAGAAAAAAGCGCCCTGGGGACGAGGTTAAACCTGTGGCATAATTTACAGTCAAAACAGGTCAAGGGTACCCCCCAACATTCTGTCAATGAATTGATTATTTGAAAAATGAACCCGTTAGTCGTTCCCGTAACTTGTGTCAAATTCAAATGGGAATTACTACGTGTGAAATGAGCAGTGAATAATTTACGAGAGCTTGTCTGTATTTGGTTAGAAGGCATTTACATCAAATTCAGGGAAACTAAGCTTGGAGAAATTTCGTAACTGAATCGCGTGTGAATTCATGGCTCATTACGCATGCAAGAATGTAGAGATGAATCTGAAATGAAATCTACAACTGCCAACTACCCTTCGAGCAGTGGTTTCTCCAGGGTAACTGCCAACGGACTCAACTTTCGAATAATAAATTTACTGATGGAATTTTGGGGGGTACGCTTGACCTGGCTTGACTGTAAGCACCGATCAGGAGCCTGGGTAGAGGGTGTGGCTGCTGTACACAGGCTAGAGCCTGGATGGATGGATCGATTTAAAGCTTAAAAGAGCAAATAAATTCAAGAAGTATTTTGATCAGCAGTGCTATAATGTAGCTTGTTTTGAAACGCTTTGTTAATCCCGTTTTAAGCTCTCCTAAGACTTCTTACGAAGATGTATGGGCCTAGGGCGAAATAGCGGAAGTTAAGGTTATCCGATCGTAACTTAATTCTATATCAGTGTCAAATTAGAAAAGAACTACATACTTGAACTTCTTTTCTAATGTTTTATGTCTGAGGTGAAATACAAGGTGGGTCATTCTTCTTCTTTTTCAATGGAAGTCTAAGTATAACCTCCACATGCGACCACTTCCCATGAGCGGCGACCACCTATAAATCCAGAGCATTGAACTTTTCCCAGTGAAATCACTACATCTGGAACCTTTCGTACACAAACACCTCTCGTAAGCAACTGCGACCACTTATTAAGTGACGGTGTCCATTGCTTTTGTCCTCTTGTATTAAAACGACAACTTAATGGCTTGCATTATGATCTCTATGTTCGTCTTGTATGCACTACACCGCAAATATACAATGCGATGTACTTTTAGCGTCAAATATGAAACTACTCATCATCGTATTGCATGCAATAAATTCTCTTCCAAGATGAAGATGTGTTCGGACGTCTTCTAGGCAGCCCCCTTTCCCCCCCCCCCCCTGTGGTTTGACTCTCGTAAGCAACAACCTGCTGAAAGTGACCATCTTCGCATTTTGGGTGGTCGCTCAGTACCCGTACACAAGTACGCATGCGTGTTTGCGTACCTGAAAAATGATCAAGAAATCAAAACAAAACAGAATATATCTGATATATAATGTCCGGGGAGTTTCAAGTTTGTAGATTAAGCTCAGACTATTTGTTTGTACATTAACACTATAGAAACTGTTGTAAAGGTAAATCCCTCATGTAAGGGAGAAAAAATAAGGTCGATCCAATGACAGAACCTTGGCAAAATTCGAGATTTAACACTGTTAAGTGTTAAGATGCGAACGCTACAGTATCTAGGGATCTAAAACCACGTAACGTTTTCTGTTGTGTTTTCTGTGTGTGGGTGGTCGCTGTGCCCTAAGCCCTGACTGTGTGTGAAGTCACCTTCTTTCTCACGTTGATCTAACAGATTTAAGACAAAACAGAAAAAAAAAAAAAACTCTACAAGCCAGAGCATGTTGAAACAAAAGCCTAACTCACATGACTAAGGTCAAATTCGCGATGTTATATCTTGTAGAGCTACCGTCTCAGACGGTTCATTTTACTCGGTTATCATGAATTCATCGGCCGCAGGAACCGCTACCGGGTTGAAGACCTCTAAATCTCAGCGAGTGAGAGAGTTTCTCCCATCGTTTAGGCCTTCTTATTTGTCAATTTTTCTAGCATTTGTCTCTGGAGTTCTTTGGCTAAAAAATGAAGCTGTAAATGATCGTCTTTTACTGCTTGAAAAACAAGTAACGTCTTTGACAGACGGATATCGGGTCTTTCCTCTGACTTCAACAAGCGAACACATTCCTCCAACAAACGAAGCCAAGGAAGCCAAGCGACATAGAGTGATATCAGGTATACGTAAAATCGTCCTTGAAATAATAGTTTCATGCTTCCTCTACACCTTTTTCGTCTGAACAGCTGCTGATACCAATAATCAGAATGCTGGCTAATAACAGCCTGGGGATACTTCCCCAGAAATTCAGTCTTCATTTTCGTTTGAGACGCATGACCGAATCTTTTAGATAGTTTCCCAGCAAGCCTGGCACAAATTATTTCAATGACTTGCAAGCCATGGTCAAGGTTCTGAGGCCATAAAATACAAAATTATGTTGAAGCGAAATGATCCTTTTCTCCCCGTTTTCGCCATAAGGATCAGTTTCGTCTGGCTGTTAGAGGGCCTGTCGTGGCCGGTGTAAATAAATTATCTTCACCGGAAATCCCAATTGACACTTTATTTTTATACTTCGCAGATCCTCTTAAAACATCTTCTATTAAACGATCTCGCAGGCACGCTCTGGACAACACAACAAGGATTATTACTTCTGAGGATATTAGCGTTGAAATTGCCTTCCAACTAGGGAAATACTGCAAATCCAGTGAGAGAGTATGCCCAGCAGGACCCCCCGGACGCCCTGGTCCAAGAGGTAGAAGAGGATCCCGTGGCAGTAGGGGACCAAAAGGGAACAAGGGAAACAAAGGGCTTCAGGGAAGCGTTGGACCACCAGGTGTAGCTGGAAAAACGGGAATTGTCGGCCCAGTAGGACCTAGAGGAGAGAAAGGAGACCAGGGTGACACAGGATCACCAGGAATAATCGGAATTCCCGGGGCGCGCGGAGAAAATGGAACAGTAGGACCTCCGGGACCCGGGGGAGAAAAAGGAAATAAAGGGGAACCAGGGCCAAAAGGAGTGCGGGGACCTCCAGGTAAACCCGGAGATATGATCGCCTTACCGAACGTGACGGTGACGCCGATGGAAGTCACAGTCGATGAAGGAGACAACATAACGTTTCAATGCCTCATCAGTGGAAATCCTACACCTAATATTTACTGGAAGTTTGAAGGCGTTAGGCTGTTAACTGGGTTCAAGTACTCTATGGACTCGGGTAAACTGTTTATAAACCAGGCAAATTTCTACGATACCGGAGAGTATTCTTGCGTGGCGAACAGTGCATTAGGTTCAGACGAATCAGTTGGAAACTTAACAGTACGAGGTAAGTCTGAAAGATGCCGTTCGTCGTCAGTTTTAATTCTCAGAAAATCTGACAAGAAAATTAAAGAAAATCACTATACCGTTAAGAAAGTTTGACTGACAGGTTCGCTTTTGACCACAGAACGGTATAGCGAACTGTTTCAGAAGCCTCAAAGTTTTACTATAATAAATATACATCAAATACTGACGTGCAAAAGCGTAGCACAGGGACCGAAGCATATCCCTCTGGCGACCGCCAGTGAAATTAGCAAATATTTTCCTGTTTATACTATTACATGAGAAATTTCTGCAATTTGATTGGCTTAGAGCAGTGGTATTTCAGCTTAATTTGAAATACCTACATGTGAAAATTACAAACCTTTAGCGGGTAGTAGTATAAACAAATAATAGCATGATTTGTACGTGATATTTAGCATAAATACCACTCGTGATACTTTAAAATTGTCTCAAATTTCACTCGCCTAACGGCTCGTGAAATTACTTATAACAATTTTGAAATATCACTCGTGGTATTTATCCCAAACATCACTACTAATCATGCTATTACCTATACTAATTGGACGTAATTATAATAAGCAGGGTTTTTTTTGCCGGAGCATGCGCTTAAGATAAAATTTGTACTAACACGAATCTTCTTCGATCTTTCTTTTTGGCTTTCTTTTGCCCTCTGCCTTTCAGCTTTTTTGTTAGTTTTTGTAGCCAGGACGAAATGAAATTTAATCTTCAAAGAGTAGTAGATGAATAGGAAAATTGGTAGTGGATTTTTCCTCAAAATGTTACTTGGTTTTCTAAGTGCAACTCTGTCAAGTTTGGACAAAATGTTCAAAGATCTATCCTTGCGGAATTTGCTTTCTACCAGCTTAGGCTACCAAAGCTGCAGAGGCGACCTGTATTGTTCAGTACTAAGTGAAAAACTGTGTTTAGCACACGGTGTCATCGACACTAAGGGTAGTTTTTCGAATTTGCTGAAAGCCTCACACCTAACACCTTCAATTTCACATCTTAAGCCGCACCTATCTTCGTAAAAAGACCACCATCGCTCACCATGCCATTTGAAAGCACTGATTTCTTAGAAGTCTGTCAGGCAGAAGGATTTCCAACCCCGGTGTCCAACTGGACCAGGCTTCTTCAGGCATTTCCCTCGGCGAGAACTGAAGTGAGTGGAGAAATCCTTACCATCAGAAACCTCACTACTACCGACAGTGGATTATACGAGTGTGAAGTAACAAACAACATGGGAACAAAGAAGACTAGGATGAACTTAGTTGTACAGACAGGAGGTGAGTATCACTTAACTGAAACTAACATCGGAGCAAAATCGCTTCTAGGCAAAAATACACAGAAAAAAAAACACCAAACACGAAAAACAAAACAAAAAAAATAAGAAGAGTAAAATTGTGAATGGTCACTGAATACAAGTAATTTATTGAGGTTTTTGTCGATGAAGACTCATCAAACATAACGTACTATAGCACTTGGTAGCCGTCATTTGGATGGTCACACTTAATGATTTCATCCACAGATTGACACTCAATAGTTTGAGCGACCTTGTGTTCAACATATTGTGACTCACAATATACAGGAAAGTACTGCTGAGTAGCTTCCATTCGACTAGCCACTCTTCAGAATTTTTAGAACCGCCTTGTAAAGCGTTATTTTAATAACGCTGTTAAAACAGTCCTACAGGACTAAAGTACCGAGTTTAATTTGAATGGTCAAACTTTAGGATTTGCTCGATCCACAGAATCAGACTGAGTTAGAGCCACCTTATACAGCTTATTAATAGTCAGTGCCACAAGAAAGTACCGTTCAGCAGCTTTCATTTACCGTGACACTATAGGATTTCGTCTACAAACTCAAAAGCTAGAACCACCCTGTAGACAGCTAATCAACTTACAGGCTTCATCCGATACACTCAAAAGGTACATAAAACCGCTTTGTACAGCATAATAAGTAGTCGCAAAGAAATGAATAGAATTCGGCTTCATTACTCATTGATCCGACTTTCAGAGACCTCTGTGACGTACGCAATCTTTCATGTTGATGATTCTACACCAGAACAATGGGAGGCAAGAAAGGCTTCCGGTTCCAAACGTTTTAATATACTTATCTAATGCCCTAAAAGCCCTAAAGCTCATCGAGGGTCATTTATCTTTGACACTACATTACAATTACAGGGCATTTAGTACAGATTGTCCTAGCTATACGCTGTGACTGCATGTATGGAATTCAGTTTTTTTGTTGCTGTTAGTAACGGCCGCTGTACAATTTTCTTACCCCTTTTTTAGTGGATTGTGAGTGTTGGATCTCAAGAAGCACAACGCCATCAGTTGGCTACAACTACAACTGGCGAAGATATCAGACTTCCCCGGCAGATGCTTTCAACTTTCAAACCAGTAGCAATGTCATATTACGAGGCTATTACCTATGGAATAATAGGAGATTGTTCCCTAGTAACGGCTTCAGAATTGAGCTATACCAAGGAAATACCACTATTGCCGCGAAAAATGGTACCTATGACCCCAGCCTTTATCGCGCATATACATTTCCAGTGTTCTTTCCCCGTGTGGTTCACTTAGAGGCAGGTGTTAACTATACTGCGGTTATAAAAGTTCAAGGAAGTAGGTCCTACCAGGCAGAAAATATCGCAGTGAACAACAATGTCTGTTCAGGGGTTAATGTTGCATTTGAGAAATCTAGCCTTTTGTACTCAGGCTCCTACCGTTATGCTCGTCAGATTTCTGGGTTAATCTTTCTCAGTTTGAAATGCTAATGGTATGCATTCTAAGTACATCTAACTCAGCTTCCTGGGTCCAAGTGTTTCCTTTTAACGCAACTGCGTGATCGATCGGCATGAATCAGACCCCTCTGCCTAGTACCAGACCATATTAGAACTGTATTTTGCAGCCCCGGTAAGGCCCTATTGTAGAAGTTTATTCACCAAAAAACCTTATATCCGTAGCTAACCGTTCAAGTTTCCATGTCAATTCTGAACAATCGTTTCTCTGCAAACGATGTCTGATTTCATGCCGTATCCAAGGGAATTGTTTGAAACAGAAACTGCCGACAAGTTTACATGTAGCCCAAGCTCGAAATACGAGGATCGGCATTCGAAATATTACACACTTAATGTCAGGTCTGGAGGGAAACACAGTTAGTTTTGATTTCCTGAGAGGCCTATCCTTTTTTTCTTTATTAAAAATGAACAGTAACTCTTTCTCTTTTCTAGTGTAGAAAAAGAACCAATCGTCGGAAACGTTTCAAAGCATGTACTCGAAATTATAATCATATTGGTGCGGGGACCCCCCGGTTTATTCAAAATTTAAGTTTCTACACCATAAACAACCAATCGGTAAAGTTTGACAAAAATCTCACTGCAGGTTCTATATTTCAGAGGAATGACCTTAAGTTGTTTGTTTCTTCTTTGCTGTGTGGTCCCCGAGCCGATTTATGACATTTATAGTCGGTGTGAGTAACTAAAGCTATCTTCAACCGTTTGGGTGACCACAGGTACCCCAAGCTCTCCCTATTGCATAACAGAAATATTGTAAGCGATCGTTAATGGCAATAAAAAAAACATCAGGACTTCTTACCTTGTCAAATCAGAAATCCTATAGTTCACGTAAAAACTTGATTAATATACACATACAGTAGTATTTACATCATTTACATTAGAACTCAGTGTATTAGTATAGGTAATAGCATGATTTGTAGTGATGTTTGGTATAAATACCACGAGTGATATTTCGAAATTGTAAAACGTAATTTCACGAGCTGTTAGGCGAGTGAAATTTGAGACAATTTTGAAATTTCACGAGTGGTATTTATGCCAAATAACACGTACAAATCATGCTATTATTTGTTTATACTACTACCCGGAAAGGGTTTGTAATTTTCACATGTAGGTATTTCAAATTAAGCTGAAATACCACTGTTCTAAGCCAATCAAATTTCTCATGTAGTAGTATAAACTGTATAATATTTGAGGATGAAAATGTAAAAAAGAATCGCCATTGATTATAATATAATTAATAGCACTAAACTATAACAGGGAATCTTCTTTGAAAAGCTCAGTGGAGCTTGCCAAGATCTCCTGCATCTGATTGTACTAAATAGGATATTTGTACAAATGATTGATGGGCGAATAAACGTTATTTGAAATAAAAATGGCGTCTTCTTAGCATTTTTGCCCGTTTCGTTACCGAAACGACTCGTAGCCTCGCGAGATCCAGACATCGCGAACAAAAATATTACTTTTGCAGTCTGAAGCTACGTGCAAACGAACGCAACAACTCACAAGGTTGTTGGGCCAATAATTTGGCAGTGGTGTGCAAACGGATGCAACAACTCCCAACAATGTTGGGACTACACTTCCTCAAAGTCCTTCGCTTCTCATTTCCGGTTCCGGTAGTTGGCCCCCTGCTCTCGCTCGCTTTTGGCGGAGAAAACATAAAAAATCTACCAAGTCGAGCTCTCGCTCTCGCGCTCGCTCTCTCGCTTTTGCCGCAGAAAACATAAAAAATCTACCGCTCGCGCTTCGCGCTCGTGAAAAAATCTGAGGTCGACTCGTAGGCATGTCTATGTTGGGACCTGAAGTGCTTCGTGGGAAGGATACAACCCGTCAATACTTTGGAGGCCATGTGTAATGCGCGAGCGTGGCCCCTACAATGTTGGAAGAGCTGTGCAAACGGATCCAACATTGTTGCGCCATTGTTGCGATCTCGGAACAAAAGAAATGTTGGGAGTTGTTGGTTCAAAAGTTTGACCGGTTGCGAACAATATTTATTGTTCGTTTCCTTTTTAACACACTTTGTTTGACAGACAATTGTAATTCATCATCAGCTTCTTGTTAAGAGAATCCGGCATACTACTTAACCAAACCCAAGTACCATACTGAGGAACATTAATTTGCCGAACATCTTTACAAAATGACCTGCTCTTCACTATGGTTCTAAGCAAGTGTGGTTAAGAAAAAGTCTATGATATGCCGGGTCAAAAAGTTGTGCTGCTATGCATTGCAGAATGATTACCTGCACTGCGTGCATGTGATAATGGTTACAAAATAATATTAGGCGCGGTTCCAGGATTTTTTTTTAGGAGGGGGTGCACTCGTCTCTTGCTCTACTTCAACACCAATAAACCACATAGTTTTTTTCTTTGCAGAATACCAGTTGTATTAGAAAACCGCAGGTCATCTCAGGGGGGGGGGGGGTGCGCCCCCCCTGCACCCTCCCCCTAGATCCGCCCCTGAATATAAGCTACATAGCAAAAAGAATTAGTGAACTAAACAGACCACTACGACACGTATACTAACGAAACATGAAAAAAGGGAAATTTAATCTGTACAAAGCATAAGAACTCAAACATGTTTTATAAATTACCTACATAATACAAAATTTAAATTGTGTCACATAACCCCAAAATAACTTGTATTCATTTCCCTGCCAGCATAGGTCTCGCATGCTACAGTGTGAAAAAATCCAAAAGCATATTTCATTATCCATTATGAATTTATGTATTATGTATTATGTCTGTCTTTTCTTTACTCAGTGTTTTCTCTGATTTTTTGCAACTATCTAGGCAGCTAGTTACAGTTGCAAACAATTTATCTGCTTCTCCAGGGCATAGTTATTAGAGGAGACTGGTTATGAAAAGCGGCAAACATCAATGATAAAAACAACAGTGCTGCTGTTTATGTTCAAAGCACCGTGAAAGTGCACAATCCTTTGTTTTCTGTTGGCAAATTGTTACGGAATAAATTAATGCAACGTTTTTATTGGTCAATACAATCAAAATGATAGGAATTCTTTTGAACGTTGTGCACTTTCAGGTCCACAAAAACATATAACAAAGGAGTCTGACGGGTTTCATAACCATGCCACTCAATTAACTATGTCCAGGGCATCTGCTCGGGGAAAGTTTGACTGTATGTACCAGTAGACAGTGACGGATCCAGGGAAGGCCCCCGATATATTTAGACCAAACTGAGGCCCGAAAGACCGAAAAAATTTTTTTGCAGACCGAGCCCCCCCCTTATCTCAGGGGATCTGGATGATAACCGCCACAAACGCCCCTCCCTGCCCACCCCGTTATCTGAAGGTCTGGAACGGCCACTGCCAGCAGATGATTAGGCCTCAACAGATCATTTCGAATATCAGCCCGTTGAGCCATTTAATATAAATTTGTCTTTTTCTAATGGTACACAATTATTTCTGCGTCATTTTAATTTCAACTTGAAAATGAAACCTTCTTTGTGCTGCAGCAATCCAAAGAACTTAAAAAAAAATAGGTAGTAATCATTAAAAACAATAATAATAGTACTGAATAACATCCTTCTGATCATACAAAAATGTCAACTGAATGAAAGACACCTTATCGCATAATCCTTTCGTTCAGTTAGCTTCTTAAGAGACGAGGTTTCTTACAAAAAAGCTGTTAAAGTTGCGTTAACACTTGAAATTGTGCAAAATGAATGTCTCTCTCTAATAAGCGTAACCCTTTGGAGCTTATTTTTTTAAATGACCACTCAGGGCATTTATTAGAATAAATATGGCGCATCAGAGACATCCTTTATGACCAAAAAGACTCTGGACGCAATATGAATGATTGTCTCAACCCAGAGCTATGAGAAATTGAGCAAGATTTAAAAAGATTATAAATAATTTTAATTATTCCATGTATAATTCTTGCATCATTGGAATGACGGTATGCTCTCAAAATTGTACCCTCTCTGGCCCTTTGTAGCTCTGTATATGTAAATTATGTGATATCCTGCAAAAAACAATTTCATAAGTAGGTTGAGTTTGATCGTCCGGGTGAACGTAGTCCTGAATAGGACTGTTGTTGTTGACAGTGACTGACGTTTCGACAACATGTGCGGTAGTCATCTTCAGAGTCAAAGTGAGTTGTATCACGTCAGTTGATGCTATTAAACTCTGACTGGTTATTGATCTGATTGGTCAGTTACGTCGCGTTGTTATGGGTCGTCTGTCAGTTAAGCCGTGATTTTATTGGCTATGAAGACTCGTAATGTTATTGGTGCGTTTCAATCCGTCTATTGTCACAGTCGTTAATAGGCCATTTCCGAGTTCCCTCGGGTCTCTGTATCAAAACGAGGTTAAGTGCTCAGCTTTTGATATGGAAATCATTTTTCATTCTCATGCAAATAAAACTCATTTTCACAAGAAAGGTTGTGCACCTAGCCTCATTTTGAAAGTGAGGGTTTTTGGAACTCGGAAGTGGCCTATTGTTAGTCAAATTGTCGGTTGTCCAGTCATTCTCCCATAGTTACATTAGAATGTTCACAGTCCCTACTTTTTCGTGAGATCGTTTAGATATACCGTGTATTACCGTCACTGGTATCTTGATTTTCAAATGTACCGAGGGGGCGGGCGTCGGAGATTATAGCTCCTCCTCCCAAACCGCCCCCGTCCCCTAGGTAGTTTTGACACTCATGCAAGATGGCAGCCCGTAACGCAAAGCGCTCGATCTCGATGATCTTACGGAAAAATAGAGGACTGTGAACAGTCTATAGTTACATTTGCTTGAGTCCGTCAATATGTCGTTTTTTACGGTGCCGGTAACTGTTGACTACGATACAGTGGCGTTTGTTCTAAGTTAGTAAACCAACTCTCTAAAGGGAGTCTGTAGAAAACATACCGGTAATACATGTCGCAGAGTCCCAGTCAATTTGATGTTTCGTCCGTAAACGGCGTTCAGTAATATGATTGTTGACGTTACCATTTCTTGTAGCTCGTTTGTGTTCGGTCAGTAGGTCCAGAATGTCATCTGTAGGTAGGTAGTAATAGTTCAACAGCAGAGTTCTTAACAGCGTTCTCAGAGCAGTGTAAAGCCATGAACAGTGATTTCAGATCACAAAACACTACTGAGTTTGTGGTCGTCAGGTATCTGTATTGTCTTCATGGCGTCAATAAAGTTCTCAGTACACTGTCCTTTATGTCCAGATTCGTCAGTCAAAGGTTTCAGTAAATAAAGCAAAAAGGGGGATAGAGCTATCCACCGGATAAATCACTATCCAGAGGATAAGTATTAGGGAAACCAATTGCACTATCCACTGGATAGAGATTTATCCAATGGATAGCACTATCCAGCTTTTGAACAACTGGGACCTGGAAATTAGGATTGCAGGCCCCTCTTGTCGCCCGCGAAAAGTAACCATTTTCCTCTAACACAAGCAGCAAAACATGAGATTATATATCAGCAGAATCACACATAGCTTGTTAAAATAAAGTTTAGACTTACCTCCAGGAAGAATGCATATAGCAGCACAAACAAAAAATATAACACTCTTCATTCCTGGATTAAAGAACAAAACAATAATAAACTTAGTAGCCTTCAAAACTTCGGAGATACATTTGATCCAAAAATATTCTGAAAATTTTATTACCATAAATCCTCAATTAAGAGGAGTTTTATCGGGGTGGAGATCCGGCAGTATCAGCGCTGTTCTCTAGCCGAGCCCAGTGGCCCTTAGCGCCTTACTTTTGATCTTGGGCGACTAGAAAATCTTAGTTTTTTCATACAAATCGTATGCCAGGCACCCTATAAGATTTTACAGGTTTAGAGGGCTGGGCATCCTTCAATTTTGCTTACAGCAAAGCCTTGAGTATCAGTACAACTGTAAAGAACCCTCGAAGTGGCCAGATTTTTTCGCTTAACCTCCTTCTTACGTTTAGGAAAAGTACCACGAACAAAGTTTGTATGTCGGATTATACCTTTAACTTTGTTCTGTTGTCTCGATCAACACGTTTTGTTTCTTTGTGAACGTCACGTGAATTTACTTTATTTTGAAATGCTACCCTCTCTTCTGCATTAATTTCCTTAATTCGAAAACGGTTTTCCATTAAATTAGCGTCCATTTAAGTCGCGTTAATTTCCAATACCTTAATTTCATGAAGCGTTAATTTCCTATAATATTAAAGGTATTTTAGAGAAGATGATGTTATCAATTCTCCATAAAGAACTAGAACGTGGAAAAGCATACGAACATGAAATTGGAGGTCATGTAGCTGAAGGTCGAAAACCAGGTCGAAAACAAATACAAAAATCTGGCAGCATGTGAATAAAACTATACTGGATCAGTCCACATCAAGTGTTACAGTTGTGATCACAGTGCGACTACTCAGATCAGGGCACTTGTATGAAGATTATCCAGTCACATTTGTTTTTGAAAACAAAGGATTCTCAAGTTTTTTTTTGGCCAACAGACCAATATCATTCATGAATTTGAGGGCTCTTTCCTGAAAGCTCAGGTAAGTTCAAACGGTTTTCAACAGTTACATTGTTGAACCTTGAATTTTCTTGGACCGTTTGCAAAAATACTTGAGAATCTTTTATTTTCAAAAAACGTTGTGATTGGATACTCTTCTTCCAAGTGCCCCGGTTCGAGTAGTCACACTGTAATACAGTGTAACCCTGTTAATACGGTGACCAAAGGGCCAATAAAAATTGGCCGTATTAACGGCTGACCGTATATCGAGGTTTTTTTTATAAAAAAAATGTATGGTCGTTTCGTCGGGCGGCCAAAAAAAAGTGGTCGTAATAACGAAGTGACCGTATTACCGAGGTGGCCGTAAGGTGGGGTTCCATTGTATTAATACAGTCTACCATTTAAGAGCGGGACAATGGGGGGAAGGAATTACCATAAAGAATTTATGGCAATTTATAAGAGGGGAGAGTACACACCATCATCTCCAGTTGCTGCTAATACTATTCCAGCTATTAAAAAAGCTAAAATGAAAAACACAAAAAATCAGTTAACTCTACTAGCTTCTACTGTGCTTTTAAATGACGCGCGAACTCAAAAGTGAAAAATTTAACCAACCGTCCATCTAGGATTTTTGAACTTTTCTTGTTAGCTGATTATATAAACAATGTTTTTGTTGTATTAATTGTCTTAATAATTATAAACTCAAGTTTTATAGTACGCAAAGTTAATTGAAGTCAATGTTGAACATTTTGAGGAAAGAATGGAAATTTTTTTGTTTACAAATAACAGTTTCATCAAATCCAAACTTAATTTCAGAAGTGCCTACTACATTTGCTACATTTTTTCCTTTTGAAGCACAGCTGATAAATTAACAGTTCACCTATGCTGTACTTGGATGAAACTTTGTTTTCCTAATAAGAGAATGGCCAAGATTTTTGACAGCTTTTGTGACAAATTATATAGAACCTGTCAGGGTGGCAGCACAGAAAATCATTTTTACAGCTTGCCATTCAGGCAAGCTGAAGCTAGCATTTACTAGCCCAGACGTCATTTCAACTCACCCCAAAAACTTTTTGACTAGCAGAATTGATTTCACAGTTCTTCTGTTATTTGAATTCCTCAAAAAACACCACCTGCTTGTCAGGCAAGTTAAAAACAGCATTCACTAGCCAGATAGATCAGCCCGATAGCAAAATCCACTAGCCCTGGGCTATCGGACACTACCTTTTTTGCACGCTGGACTGTACATCCTAGAAATTAACTGACAAGGCCCCTCTTTTCATGCATATTGACTAAAAGGAGTTTTTTGTAACCATTCTCTGACCTGAGGTGAGCCCCATTGAAACCCTTGTTCATATTAACATGATTACTTTCTCAATATCAAGCATACATACCTAGTCCTGCCACAAATAACAAAAATGCTGCTGTAACAGTTTTCCAGTTTTCTTTAATTTTTGGATGCCTCAGCCAACTATTAACAAACCAACATGAAACTATCACTGATTGTTGGGTAAAGTCAACACTTTTAAAATCTTTTACCATTAATAATAAACAACTCACTTTCATCAGCACACTATGAATCAAAATGGAAAGGATAAATTTTTCTTTTGTGTTTGTGAAAATTAGCTATGAGACTGGTAAAGAATATTGTTTATTATATAAACACCAATGAAATACCAGGTGAGCTTTCGCGTGAAAACTTGATATCTTCACATATGAAAATAATAACATGTTATCTTCACACGTGAAAATATCACCTTTGCTATGGCTACATAATAAATCGCACCTTTCACACCAAAAAACTATTAAAGTGAAATGGTTTGGTATTTCATTGGTGTTCATATAATAAATAGAACATTACATGGCCTTTTGGAGATACGGAATTTCTCTTCTCATGTTGAAAAAATATTTCACGAGTGAGCGCATAACACTTGAAGAGAAATTTCGTATCTCCGCATGGCCATGTAATATCCTCTATTTATCTATCAAGAAATTCAACTAATTTGTGCACTTTTTAGCTTTTTGAGTGTTCAGCTTGCTTCTTATGTATTAACAATTGTCTCAGCTCAAAGAAGTAAATTATTACGGAGAAAATTATTGCACTTTTCTACATTGTGTGGGACATTTTTCATTGATTATAGAAAAATTCTAAAACCACAAAGAATAGGAAACAGCACAAGGTTAAAACTACTAGACAACTCTGACACTAATATTATGTACTCACAAAAGCGTTTCTCTTCTCCACCCAGAGACATCTTCTTCAGAATCAAATGCTAGTGAATTTGTTCTACAGGAGATTTGAAACAGTGATCAGTTAAAAAACATCGCAAAGGCAGCAATATCATTTTCAAAATAATGGCAGAAAACTGAATGCAATGGGGATAAATAAAAAAAGAAAAACCTACCCTATGCTTTCAGTCTTCATTCGTGTCTCAGAATATGCACCATATGAACTTGATGAAGCTTGATACTAAAGAGAAAACATGAAAGGCAGCCGGCCTTTTTCATTTCTGTCAACTGATTCTACTAATAATTTGATCCAATGTAACACATACACAGTTGTACCACAAAAAACACCTTCAGATCCCATAATTGAAAGAGTAACATTATCGTTACCCTTTTAAATCACGTACAATGAAACCCATCAATACAGAAACTGAGGGGACCGTAAAAGTGTCTGCTCTTGTCCATATTAAGCAGGTTGAATTGAGGGAAATGTAAGAGCTGGGAACAAGGAAAACTGTCCATAATAACTAGGTGTCCATATTATTAAAATGGGTGTCTGTAAAGTGTGGTTCAACTGTACCATGCAAACTTTGTTTGGGTCTTAATTTTTAAGAATTTTTAGATCTTTGTCCGTGGTAACCCCACACTCTGGAATACTCTGCTGTCTGACATTAAGAACAGCTCCTCAGTGTCCATTTTTAAAAACAGACTTAAAAGTTTCCTTTTTAAAAAAGCATCTTTATAACTTTTTTTATAACTCTTTAGCCAATTTTATTTCAGTCTTAAGATTTGAAGCTTTTTCTTAATTTTTTTGTTTACTTTTTTTTGTTTACTTTTTTTTGTTTTTTTATTTTATTGTTCTGTTAAGCACTTATGAACTTTAATGATACTGGCACTATATAAAATTTATATTATTATTATTATTATTATTATTAATTCACTGATTACATTTATTGATTAAATACTAAGCAGAATGTCTTGAGTCTTTTGAATTTAAGATGCGACAAGGCTACATTGTAATATTGGCACTCCAAGAGACAGGAAAATTATTGTTTTAAAACACTAAGGTTGTGCAGAGACCTGTGAATTTTTTTCCAAATTAAATTATGGGAGAATAGGAGAATATTACTGACAAACAATTTCCACCCTTATTTGCTAGGAACATACTTGTTTATCAATCATGAGGAAGGTTTAGGATCAATCTGATCTCTTCAAGTTTTTGGCTTCCAAGTCCATAAAACATGAAAATATTAGTGACATCTCCCTTTCAAGCACAACATGTACATAAGCAATTAGAGCACTTAATCAGGCCAAAAACACAAAAGAATGTGCATAATTTTAATCTTTGGAAATTCAAATTGTCATAAATAATGGGATAATAATAGACAGGTTTTGATGGGATTAATTGTGAAAATTTACTAGTAAATTTTTAACTCTTGCTACAACAAAGTTTTTTTTTCTGGGTTAAAATACAGTGCAACTACATATTTGTGCATAACCCAGTATAATAAAAAAATTTGAGCTTGGCAGGTTCTGCCCAAAGAATTGATATTTAGCATTTAAACATCAATCACAAGACCATTCAGAAAATGAGTACTTTCTTGAAATATTAATTGGCATCATTTTAAAAATGGAAATATGACAAGAAGTTCTCAAAATGAATATTATACAAGATTCTTATAAGGCAGTGATATGCCTGGATTACCAAAACCTTAAATTTTATTGAGAAATATCTAATTATAATTAAGGCTGGAATTAAATAATAAACTATAAAACTTTTAATGATTTGTTCAGTGCTCAAGACTAACTTTCTCAGTTTATAGCCAAAGGCTAGTGACAGGTTGAATCTAACTAAGCAAAGTAAATTTTTACTACCCAAGGACTCGGTGATGATAAATAATGATTCATCTTCAGACAATATGACTGAAAGACACAAAATATCACTCAAATTCTTTTAATTCAAATTTAGTGGTTAAAGCACTTCCTTTACACTCTATTATGTTTTAGTTATTGTTTTATTCTTTTTTTTTCCATCTGGTTTCTAATCAGTCCACCAGAAATAAAGCATATGTTATTAAAATGTATAAGGTACTTGCTTTCACTAGCCATCTCCAATACTTAATATAAAAGTACTAGAGTATTAAACAGAAACCAGACTTAAGGGAGATTTTGTCATGAGTTTTTATCTACATAATTTTTACTGTGACAGATACCCATCTAGTACTCTAAAGTATTTCAACTGTACTGGCCAAAAAGGGTGAATTAATGATTAATTTAATTTCTTTATCAATGTAACCTCATGACAGGATAGCCATTAACCTTGGCTGGTAGGTTACATTGTACCATTCATATGCAAACTCTTTGGCAAAAATTTGGCATAGCACTACTTAATTCTTAGAAACTGATAACTTAAAAACAGAAATTTTAGTTTTCTGTTACAGCCATAAGTGTGAAATGTCAAGCTGTACAGTATATAACTAGTAGTTTCCAATGGAAAGTGAAGAGCTGCGAGTATAGCGTTGCATTTCAATTAATTTGAATCAGTTGCAGATTATTTCTATTGTTGATACGTATTTGACATTAACAGTGTTAAATAACTGTGCATGTAACGCAACACGACGCAAAGGCGATTGATAAAAACTGAAATTTGAACCAAAATAAGTCTTTGTATCAAGCTAGCGGATCACAAGACTTATGCATCAAGCAATAACCCTCATGAAACTGTTTTTTTAGTTAAAGGAAGAGCCTCCCTCTCCCCCAGATCAGGCAAAAAAAAACAAGATAAAGAACAATATGTGAAGAGAAAGAAGAAATAGAAGTTACATTTATTGGTAGTTTATCAATTCAGAATCATTAATCATTTATTATACAATTTAACCAGCTGGAGATATACAGTTGCCTGTAGCAAGAAAGGTAGAACTGTGATTTCAGAATTAGACAGTGGTATGCTACTCAGTAATATTTACTTTTCTTAATCTTAAACATTTTAGTTTCCAACTATGTATTATCTGCAGGTTAGTTTACTTCGATCGTAGATCACCTGCTATGCAGATTTTTCCAATTCACGCCCACAAGTCGTTAGTCATAAATAAATAACGAGCACTTTGTGCAGAGAAAATAGAGAGAAGACAGTATTATAATCAGACACCGATCGTACCGTGTTCAGCATCAAAGAGCTTATTATAAACATTCCGAGTTTGTTTAATTGTGTGAGAGAAAACTACGCACGATCCAAGAAAACTTTACGAGTCATCCACGTACAAGCTAGCGTGACTCCATCAGATACGATCAAAAAACTTCGTGTGGAGTTTTACCTTATTTGCTGACCATATATCTCCATGGCCTAGATCTTTGTCCTCACTTACTTCCCCGCTCCTCCCAGCATGTTCTTGATGGTTTTGCACTTGAACGTTTGGCTCAATCGGCCGTGGCGGTCGCGTTTTCTTCTTCGCAAAATATGTAGCTTTCGTCCGTGTTGCTATATCAGCGGTATCACTGTCTTCGTCATCCGATCCCGAATTCAACAGCTCGTTCTCCATGCTGTACGATGCGTTGGATGCCACAGTTATGTCTTACAACTGCTGCGAGGCTAGAGCATGTTTTGAAACGATAAGGTGACAGGAAAGGCAGTCACACGATCTCCATGTTGATTTTGACAGTAGCCTCTCTTTGAGAATTGCGTTCCTTTGGCCGAGGAAGACTGTACCGAACAAGCCTCTTTTTGAAGAAGTGAAAAGTTGTATTTGTCGGGGTGGTGGCTAGGAGTTTTGCTCGATCAAGATGGCTTCCTCGAGTGAAAGTTCTGATGAAGACTTGGAAAAATTTGCAGCTATAGCTGGTATTGTCGACACTGGTAAAATAACTCTCGTTTTTTTGTGAAAATAGATTAGGCTTAAAATATTACAGTTGTCTGTAATATTCTGAAAGCATTGTTTGTTTTTGTTTCCTTATAAACATCATTTAGAGGTATCTAAAAAGTGCAATTCGGATAATTCCCGTGGAAGCTCGAAACCTCACACTAAGCCAAGTTTGAGGTTAGTTCTGGCTTTTTTTGTTTTCAAAAATAACCTAAGATCGTCAAAAGAACCGCGCGATTCCCCATTTTTTGACGTTGATCAGAATTTTATTTCTCCATATGCATTTACAGGTATCATTGGCTTTCCCATGGGTTTACTCCCGGGACAATCCCTCCCAGGGGTTCACTCCTGGGAGACTCCTGGGGATTTGTACTTAGGGTGAAAAAGCCCCAGGGTATGGGATATAAATGGCAGACTTAACTCCTCTGCCTGGGTCAAAGACCTCAGAACATATGTACAGTATTTATCGACCATAAGGCCCCTGAAGAGAAAAATGTGTGCAAGATACTGAGAAAGCACAGGACTTTGCCTAAGAGCAGGCAGTTACTGGCAATTATATCAAGCAAGTCTGTTTTCTATTTCACCTGTTGCTTGCATATTTATGTTTCAGTATGGTTTGGTAACACCACACTGGTGCCGGAGCAAATGTAAAAATACTAAGAATACCAACTTTTGAAGAAACCTGTGAGGCTAAGCCCAGGGCTTTTGCTGTTTGTTAGCCGAAGATATACAATGCCCCTAAAATTTCCCTTTCACCTCTCCCTCTCCTTCTTCAGAAGAGCAGAGCTGAAGATTAATGTGACTGGCCTTAAAGGGTCTGGTGCCTACCTTAGCTTTACAAACCAGTTTTACCACCTGAGTCGCTGGTCCCTATTTGTGGTGATGACAATTTGTGCCTTATAGATTTTTTTTTCCTTACTGCAGACACTGGAGGGAGGATGAAGACACTGCCTTTTCAACCTCAGAGTTAATAACTCCTGAATTTAGACAACATGTTGCAAAGAAGCTCTCAAAATTTCTTGACAGCAGCTATATCTGGTAAATGTTCTTGCTGTTTACAATAACTATCATCTATCATCTACTCTCAGAGGGTAGGTGTTGCAGCTGTGACTTCCAGTTATTCACCCCCCACCAGATTGCCTTTAACATTGTTATGCATATGACAAAACTGGAGGATTGTGATGTTACCCCAATTGGTTGCCATCTTGTATTGCCCGAGTCTGACCGCATTTTTTTTTATCCAATAAAAATGGTGACTTAGCAGGGTTTTTTGTCGTTTCAAGAAAAGACAACATTTGCAGCTCTGTGTGTGGGCCTTTCAGCACTAAATCTCAGCGACAGTACCCCTTTATTAATCTCATATTTCTTTTTTATTTCTTGTTTGCACTGTTAGTACTCAAGAGGCTGAACAAAATGGCTGTCACAATAATTCACATAAGTCATCAGGGATCAAACTGCTGTTGACTTCCAGCCAAAGGTTAGGAGAAAAATCTGTACAGGAAATATCAACAACAAACAAGACAAAGAAGAATAGGAAGAACTGCTCAAGCAGCAGTGAAAGGTGTGCGTACAAGAATATTAGGGAGCTTAAGCAATTACGACGACGACGACTACCACAATGACTTCAAAAAAACAATAGTTTTAATGGTCAAAACAACAGCTCTGCATGTGCATCACACTTTTTAGTTCATTTACTTGAATGAGTGAAGCGTTTTTTAATCTCGGGTTTGATGAGGTTGGTTAGACCTCTAGCAAAAATATGCTAATAAGCCGAGGTGAAAAAAAAAGCAAAGAAAGCAAAACAAATAAACAAAATAATAGAGAAAGAAGGGGAAATCCAAAAACTTATTTACAGTATAAAGCCTAAAAATTACGTGACACAGCTTTTTACAATAAAAAGCCCAATTAGTTAATAGAACATAGATATCATATAGAATTAGCTAAAACCTTAGCTGTCGGACTGCTTTTTTAAAGGCTGACAATTGTGCTTAGGGATCTTAATGTATCAGAAATCCTTGACGTCCACTGTACGACTTCAGCGTGAAACCTCCTAATTTGCCATTTTATGGGGGACGTCACATGGAGTGAACATACGACGACAAATTTTCCTTCCTCTTTTTGAACCTCAATAAAATCCTTAAGAATTCAACTCCAGGAAAAGTCGCCTACCTTTGACATATTGAGCGGGTCCAAATAGAAGCGATTAAGTTTGAAAGAACACAAATTCTTTTTTTTACCAATGTTTTCACTGCCGTCGTCATCGTCCTTGCTTAAGGTCCCTATTTCCTCATTTAAAAAGATAGGCCCAGGGAAAATGAAAAGAGCAATTTTTCATTTTTCCTAGAACATCCCCTCCCATGGGAATGAAAATTCAAAAAGCTTACTCTATTGGTTTTTTTGTTTGTTTGTTTTTTTCCTCTGACAAAGGTCTGGCATTGAAAGTGAAAGTTACTGAAACTATTTTTATTTTTAACTTCTCATTGTTTTCCAGTGATACAGATGAAGAAGAAATGAACCGTTTAGCAGAAGCAGCTGTTTCTGGTCACTCTATCATCAAAAATGGTAAAGTTATCTTGCACTAGCCACTAAAAAGAGGTTCAAATGTGCTTTGTTCTCCACTTGTCTTTTGACATTTGTGGGGGCGTTAAATTTAATGCTAATAACCTGAAAGGTTTGCATAATAAAGGAAACTGCCATTTTTAGCTAGTTGAGCCCTTTTCCTGACCATTGTGTAGCAACTAGATGAGCTTTATTTGTTATTGGACAAGCAGAAACGTAGGCAAACTTGGTCCTTAGTCTTACCATATCTCTTATTAGGAGTCTTTTTCTCTAGTCTCGAGATAACGCTAGAGGTGTAGATATCACAAGACTTGTGACTTGTGACTTGTGATATCTTAGTGTGGATTATTAAAACTGCAGAATACTCTTCCTGCCTTTTTTTCCGCGTTCTTCTATCTTCACGTTTTAAAAACGACAAATAAACACACTACATGTTTTATATTCCACATTGGCAAGAAATTCCTGGGGAGCACACCACGCCCCTCACCCCGCTATTTACAGGCCTATCCATTTTATCAACAATTATTTCCCATTATAACCCCGGTTGTAGGCTCAAAAAAGTCATGTATTTGGTGCCAGTTTCTCGATAGTTGGATTACTCTTTCCTGCTCCTTAGGCCTTTCTCAGATCACTAATGAGATTGGAACGTGGGCAGGTCTCAGGGGGTACTTCCAAAAAAATTGGGTGGGGGTGTGTGGCACGCTTCCTGAAACCCTTACCCTATTTCAGACGAAAATCTGTGATTTTCCCTACTCTATTTCATATCTGATCAAAAATTTGATACCCTATTTCAGACCAGCCTTATAATCAGTTCCCTAGGTCAGACCAGTGTTAAAGGCAATGTTTATACGCTTTTATTGGGTAGGATACAAAACTGTACAAAGTTTCAAGCTTAAAATTTCACACTAAAAAGCAGGTTGCATAATGCATCATCATAAATACAGAATACGCGCCTACGTAACATCAATATGATGACTAATTAACAATTATTCCTCCAGCCCGAACAGCCCATTCGGCCTTCGACCTCATGGGCTATTGACTCAGAGCCCATGAGGGCAAGAGAAATAATTGTTTTAGTAAAATCCAGCTACTTGGACAAAAATATAGAGACAAAACAACTTTAGCTTGCAAAACGCGATTCAGGCGCCATTGTTTTGGTTTTCAAAGCCAGCGCTTTTCTAGTGGGCTATAACATATAGCAACATTGATAATAGACCACTAGTTGGATTTTACTAATATACTATATGCAGGAACAGTACAATAGTGTATTTTACGAACTGTAACCTTGGAATACAGGAATTCGAAGTAGCTTCTTCCAAAAAACATACCCAATGCAAGACTAGAGTGTACAAACCATACCTTACTTCAGACCAAAATGGTCAAAATTGATACCCTATTTTGGACCAAAACCTCTAAAAAACCATACCCTTTGGCGCCGCACATACCTATATAGCCTATATAAGGGAGTACCCCCCCCCCGGGGGGGCGGGCAAGTTAGGCTAGAGTTCCTTAGATCAAGCGATCGCGAGCGAGAGGTGAATGGTAGGGTTGGCTCTGTTCTACTAGTACAAGTAAACAAAATTAGTGACAGAAATCTTAGTATCAGGGGATGGTTTCTCTAAAGTCCCGGATTCAAAAGATAGGTGGGTCCTAGCTAACAAACCAGGCCATTTTGTTTTGTTAACTGATAGTTTTATCATGTTATGTACAAAATTACCGAAACCTCTGTCTTGAATACCAACAACAACAGCTTTACGAGCCCGTTATAGCCTGTACACAGACGTTGTTTTACTTTTCTTTTCGTTATTTTCGAAAACATCGGCGAGCGCGCGAAAGAAAAATAAAGAACCTATTTTCTCCTTTCCCACCCCTACCCCCTCGCGCTGGCGGTCAATAAATCCCCCGCGGTTTTTGTTTTTTATCACGCGCGCTCGACGGACTTTGAAGAGAAAATAGAGGCTCTGTGAACAGGCTAGGCCTGTTATTTATCGGCAGTTTTGAGAAACGGTCCTCTTAAGGGAAAGTGGTGAGGAGATTTGATAGTGAGATAACCTTAGATCAGGCGTTATTATTATTATTATTTTTTGCTTCTTTGGCTCGAGAGGGAAAAAAATAATAGATTATAGAGACAAAGGGAGAGGGCATGATCGCAGGCTAATAGTGAGATTACCCAGTGAAGAGCCACTCAAATAACATGCTTCTTCTGTCAACAGTTTCCACAGGAAACCAAAAAGGAACTGAAACAGATGACGAAACCACAGAAAACAGCAGCGTTAAAAGAAAGAAAGAAAAGAAGAGGAAAAAAGAAAAGAAGAACCAAAGACTGGAAATAGAAACCGAACACAAGAAGAAGCATAACAAACGCAAAAAATACAAACTCAAAGAGGAAACTTGACTTAGCTCCCATGTCTTCTGTTCTGGGAGCTCCTATCAGTCACCTGCAACTGACTTTGATTAAAGTAGGAAAGCTGTCAGCGCCTCGCACCCGCGTCTCCTTTGGCGTGTAGGTCTCGCGTGACTTCTCGCGACTCCCCCAAATTGAGAGCTTGCCTGCAGGCTAGTAAGCTGACATCCCACTCAGCCGGCAAACGTTAGTTAATAGTACTACTGGTTGCCTCGGCAAGGGCCACATTTTAACTTGATGTTCATCCAGAAGCTCATTGATTCACTCATTTCGAAAGGCGCAAAAGAGTGAACTGTTATGGGATGACTGAAGACTTTTCAACTGTGCTTGATTAAGCGACTTGAAAGTGAACTAACTTCGGACGTAATCAAGCCAAATAATTGCGAAGACGACTTACTTTTTGGGCAACAGAAATTCAACACGGGATTGAAAGAGTAGTAATTGTACCTGTGGAGTTTCGTCATCCAGAGAATCACATTTCGTATGAGAGTGTTATGACCTAAATTCGAACTTTTCCTGTTTTACGGAAACTCTGATTTGACTGGGTCAAAGAGGAAGAAGAAACTGTCCAAAATATAATCCTTCCCAGAAGGGGGGCAGTAACTACAAAAACAAAGGGAGAGAATAAAATTGTTTTGTTATCTGAACATCTCTCGTGTAACGTGGAAAATTACTAACACAAGGCCGCGATTGAATGAGTAGCAAGCGTTTCCGCTCGAGTTAATGCGCGAAGCTGGAACGAGAGCAGAAAAAATAAAAGAAGTGGGAGGGAGTAGGAAAGGTTTCCTTCTTCTCCCCCAACCACGTTCCCAGGCTCCTCTCCGAGTAGGAGAGGAGCCGGGGAACCAGGTTCCTTTCCCGTTACCTTCCCCTTACCTCCCTTTGTTTGTTTGTTTGTTTGTTTGTTTTTGTTGTTTTTTTTCTCTCGCTTCAAGTTTTTGCGCAATAACTCGAGCGGTAACGGTTGCTACGCGGGCTCATTTAGAGTTAGAATCTTTTGTCACAGGGTACCCAAACTCCAAACAAACTGTGTGACCGTTCGTATGTTAGAACGATTTGGAGGAGAACTAACGGTTGAGATCAGGTGACCTCCTAGTCACGTGGTCCTTTTAATAATCTCATTTTACGTACTGATCTACTTTCATTTTCCGCTATTCATAACGTTAACTTTGCACAAGTGTTACAGGTTCTCTTGCTCTTCTTCCCGCCGTAGCCCCACCCTCTGCTTTTCCAGCCACTTCCCTATGGGAGTATGAGCGCGCCAGGTGCTTTCAACTAAAAAAAAGGACGCTGAATTAAACAAGTTTCTAGCTCTTTGTTTATTCCATAAAGTTTCACAATTATCTGCGCCGATAAAATTAAGCGAGGAAAAGACTAAGAGTTGATTTCCACTGAGGCGTTTTTGGGTACGCACGTAAATTTTAATCACGAAAATGAAAAAGAGGCCAGATAGAAAGTGCTGAGCTTAAACGAGAAGTTGAGCGAGGTTCAACTTTTACGCTGACGAGCGACCTTTCATGCATTGCCTCTATTTTATTTGCGAACGTAAATTTTACGCGCGTACGCACGTAAAAATTACGCGACACTGGAAATCAACCCTAAAAAAAAGAGTTAGTATGTGTAATCAAATGGTGAGGAGTGTAAAGGCTCGGGAAATTATAAGGATTTGGACAAAACGCAAGTGAAATTATTCCCTAATTTCACGAGTATACCATTTGATTACCTATTAATATCATGAGTGACGAATTACGTTAGCAATCTTGGATTTTTGACATATTTATCCTGGATCGTATCGATCGAGAACTCCTGAACTCTCTCGAACGTTTAGCGCTTAAATTTGGCTTAAGTTCAGAGTTTTTGGACAAAATACCTGTTAGAATCCTTCTTGATGTGCTCTTTCGTGTGTTCAGGTTTTCTAAAGCGTCTTTTTGTGCCCTGACATCTTAATTCATGACATTTTAAAACTTCGTCGCCATCTTGACACTGAGACGTACGGAAGGTTGCCATGGCAATTGTGAAATTACAAATTAACGCTGAAATTTCGCGCCAAAATTAAGGAGTAATTCGTCACCTATGATATAACCGTTATAACTTACAAGAGTTAATTTAACAATAAAAGCAGGAGCTGAATACCATTTGAGGAACAGACTACTATTCTTTAGGAGGAAAAGGGCTGAGTTTTTTTAACAAATCCATTCAATCAGTTAATTGGTGTTGCGAATAAAATTACTCAATTCCAGTGAAACACTACATATTTGCCACTTGCCTGGTAAGATTTTTTTTTATCTTTAGGAAAAGATAGTACTTTTTGCTAAACGGGCAACACTGGTTTTCCATAAGAATTAAAACGGTTTGTTCTTTATATCTTAACAAGACGGCAACGACGCGTGTATGATATGTATTTTATTCCATTGGTTTAATTATTTTATTTAAGCCGGTTTGAATGCCGAAACAAAAGCTTTTCAAATACAAACAGAAATGATGTAAATATATAGAACAAAAAACTTTAAAAAGAAATGATGCGATTTAGAAATGAATGTCGATTTGGAACAGATGCGATTTACCAAAAAATGGTTTTTCACCTGCTGAGAGCCAATCAGATTGCACAGATAGCCAGTGATTTCAAAGTGGATGTAATAAGAATTAAAACGGTTTGTTCTTTATATCTTAATTAAGACGTCAACGACGCGTGTATGATATGTTTTATTCCATTGGTTTAATTATGTTAAGTGAATGACGTACAGTCAAATACAAGCGCGTGATAGTTGAAATAAACTTTGCTCGAGAATTTGTTACCAACAATTTTTTATCTAGGAGAGGCCTTATTGGAAAACGTATTTTTACTTTTCGTCTTTTATTCACATTTTCCACGTCATTCAACAAACCCATTCTACATCTAATTCTGCTTAGAGCGATTTTCGTATGACCTTGAAATGAAAACGCGCGAACAAAACAGAAACAACAAACGAACGGAAATAGAGCGACTTGATTGGTTTATCGAACGGATACAAACAAGCATGGCTTTTGGTTGGTAGAACCGGGTGAAAAAACTTCATGTCGGAGAACTTCCTACAAATCAACTGATACTTCGCTTTGACGTCATACTGCAACACGATTGGCTAATCAAAGAATGCCTTCTCCATATTAGGATTTTCTTTGGCGGGAAAACGAAGAGGCCATGTTTTGATCTTTTCATCCATTGGCTGATAAAACAAATAACGAACACTTACCGAAACATACGAAGGTCAGACGAAAATCGCTCTAAAAGTTCCGTGTAAACTGATTGAAAATATCGAACGGTCCCGCTCGAACGAACTGTCCGGTCAAATTTTTCAGCCGGTGGAAAATTCGTCCGGTGCCACGTAGTATAAATTAGGAATAATTTCGTCCATCAATTTCAGAACACCATCCCATGCTAGGTGAAGCAAAATACACCTGACGTCATCTGTGGGTCTCTAGTAACGCCAACAGATCATGAAAAGACCAATCAAATGCGTGTATTGTATAGAACCTGCCTTTGTACCCCTGACAAAACCACTGGAAACCAATAAGTTTAAACCCTTAATAGACTAAGAGCAATTCGGTGTCTTTCTCAGCCCGGCCACAAAACTAAATATTCTGGCCATTTCTAATCAAGCAGTAGCGTAAATCAGGCCCAGCGGTGTCAATTTTCAGATTGCCTGAGGTAGTGTTGGTCTTATATTCTTGTCCATAGTACGAAGAACACTCTCTCTAGTTTTTGAGTTCGAAAACACCTGGTGAAATCCTCAATAAGCCAAGGCATAACATCGGCTTCCCGCCTGTTTCATGTCGCTACTGTTAGTCACCATAAATAAATCAAGACGTTTGAAACACAGGCTGAATTGGCTGCAAGAATTCCTCCTGGATAACAAAACTGCCTCCCTGGTTCACTAAACCTAGGTCCATAGTAGGGAGGTATTTCCCATAAGGCCCACCAACCGGGGAGGTGACGTCACTAGAGTCCACACTGCTTTGATTTTGCGCATAAGTCGACCAACCTCCTCGCTTAAAGCGTTTCAAGAAAATTTCCCATCTTCTTCTCCTTTTTAGTCTTGGGACTTGCCTTGGATTCACGTATGCCATTGTACAACCAAGACCAAGCTCAACAAGGCGGCATAACGATTCGAAAATCAGCCAGGGCCAAGGTTCGGGTGTTACCGAATGATCTTTAGAGTACATACCGTGTACAACGAAGATAGAGTATAATTGCAAACCGACGCTGGCAAAACCCAGCAATACTGTTATGTAAGTTATTTTGACCAGTTTAGTGACATTTGGATTGGAGCTGTGCGCATGCGCGGTTTTCTGGTCCATAAACCGGCGCACTGAGAACCGCGATTCTTTTACTGACTTGAGAATTATTCTTCCACTGTAGATGAAACTCGTAGAGAGTACCAGGCTTAGAAGGATGAAGAATGTCTCGCAAACGATTGTGAATCCAATCCAGTCGGAATTCAACGATGTTACTACCACTGTGACTGAAGCCAGGGTAAAATGAAAGGCTACTACGCAAGTCACAAATTTAACGCTCTGTAACTTTTCCGGGTAAAGTTTAAGTTTGGATAGTTGAAGAAACGTCAGATGAAGGAGAAAAAAAGATGCGGTGATGCACGGTAAGGCGATGCTGAACAATACTCTAGATAACATTACCGGACAATCAGTGAAGGGTAAAAAACACTGTTCAGATTCGTATGGATTGATAAAAAGAAAAAGAGCTCGCGTCAATCCAAATATTAGAAGCAGAGAGCTTATAGTGATTGCTAGTAGCGGTTTCCGTCTGTGCTTTTTTCCCGCCAAATCAAAGAGCGACCACAATGCATAGAGCGCGAGTAGAGCAAACAGTGAACCGAGTCCTCCCCAGTGTAGGTCCCAGACCCATTTCCAAGTTTCTTTAGCTTCGTCCCAATCCGGTAGGGGCTCTGCCTCTATCAGGTACGTTGGCTCCGTCATCGGAAATGATTGCGAAATTC